TATTTCAACAATTCTGAAAATGCCAGGAATTACTGTAAAATCATATATATTCATGGGGTTCAATATTCATGTTTTTTCTGGTTTTTTTTTTTTTTTTTGTGAGGGAGGGGTGGTTAATTACTATTTTGTGGACATTCATCTGGTCTTATGTTCTATAACTATTCTTCCTGAAATAGTATTTCCAAAACCGAAAATAACGAAAATGACGCAAAAATCAAAATGTATTTAAGCACTTTAATGACAAAACATAATGTTCAAATGTTTCTGTGAAAAAGTGTCCAGGGAGTTATCGCAGTAGTGTACACATTGCACTACAAAATCAGATAGTTAACGAGACGCAAGAATGCCTTTAATGATAAATATATTGAAGATATGGTATATGAGTATATTGATATCACAATCAGTAGAACACCCGATTTTTAACATAATTTGAAGATCCGAGGTGTTTATTTTGATCTCTACCCTGACCGGTTTCTCTTTACGTAACCGAGGTAACAGACAGACCAGTGTCGCCATGTTTATGGCCTTGAATAAAACACTTTACCACAACCACTTTGAAAAAGCATGCAATGAGCCTTCCGTATGTTATTCAACGAGGTAGCCGCCAAAATGACCAGGCTGTTCACAGGGTGATGAATATAGCAAATAGTGAGGTAGTATAGATCTCGATATATATATATATATATCAGTGGAAGGAATTTTGTAACAAAAAATTATAAATATTGATAAGACAACCTGCATAACCTACTTAAATCTTCTTCAAAATCAATTCTTAAATAAATTGTATTTCTTGGTCAGTATTTATAACATTTATGGAGTTACACTGAGGCTAGCTAAAATGATTACACAGCTGTGGTTACACGTGCCATATGACTCACGTTTTTGATTCACATGAAGAGAGTCACAGACCAGAACTTCACAATTCTTTTTTATGTATATACGTTTTGTATTGCAAATTTATTGAATTATCGGGTTGTTGAATATTCCAGTCTATAGTGACACATTTCTTAAGTGATTTAAAAAAAAAACGTTATCTTTCTGATACGTGATGTCTTAGCATCACTGACCTTGTCCTTAGAATACGAGACAGCTGTATAATGCATTGTATGATGTATGATGTTATGTTAATTAAGGGAATTGGAGACAAAAAAGGCATAAAACATTAAATAAATAAATAAATAAATAAGGTTAATTTATTTGAAACGCAATTCAGGGTCAATGTGAAGGAAATATGTATGGATTTGGATAGTATATATAAAAAATCTTTAAATTTGTGATTTTGCAGTTAGTTATGTAGATAATATAGGCCGATATCAATAAATACATTCTAGGGGCCGAGGTAGACATTAACTGAAATATTAGGTGACGCTAGTAGTGTGTGTATATATACTGTAAGTTAAGATGATTAAATGTATAGGTATATAAACCTGCACGTGGGGAAACTACTTATCAGACACGTGGGGCTTAAACGTATCCCTTCGTGTGGTAAAGGTATTATAATCAATTAACTTGTTTTACATTAGTCATGATTAAACGTAATATCAGTACACGTAATGCACAATGTTACTATAATCATGTTACACACGACACCTTAATTTAAAGTCGCCAATAGCGTAACGGTGTATAGGTACTCGGTAGGAAGAATTTGGAGGAGGGCCAACTGAAGGCATGTCTGTTTATACCATTCTAGGTTCCTTGATAGAGTGAAATAAAGGGAAGTAACTCTGGTTTCATGAAGAAAACCGGTTCGTAGGTACTTTATGTGTAACATTAAATGTACTAATCGGGACGGACCTTCAAATATTAGTACAGACCACGAAAGCTTATAAAAAAATCCAAAGATGATCAGGTATGTCCCAGCTTATTTGATGATAAACGACCCTGGTCGAAGAGGTCAAACCGATTTATAAAAGAAAACCCTGCTTCTTCTATACATTTACAGCACAAATTACTTCTTTATTATGTTCACTATATCGTATTTCAAATTTGTAATGAGTTCGTCCTTATAATTGAAAACATGTTTGTTCTTATTTACAGTGCCTGTAACATAACCTAGTAATCTGACCTACTCACAATTAACAAATACCACTTCTCCACTGAAATGAACGATACTATTTTGAAGGATTAATTCCTTTATTCAGGATGGTGTTTTACAAGGCTCTGTTCCCCGACAAGTTCTTTTTTTATATCCTTTAGAATTTTTTCAAGAGGTATGGTGCATAACTATGACAGAAAATCTATTTCAGATCATCGCCTTGGTCACTAATAACGAGTGGCTAACATGCATTCGCATTCACTGTGTCTAAATATAGAACATGTATGTACTGAAAGGGGTAGGTTAACCTTATATGTCGCTGGCGATATTACGATTAAAGCTGGTGAATGTACAAGAAAAAAAAAGCAAAAATGGAATTTAATTGCTGGATTACTGGTCTGCTTAATGTGCGAAGTTTCATAACCATAAAGATACATTGAACATTAAGATGACATTTTTTTCATGCTTCCAAAACGTGCATTATCACTTGGGTTTGGCTAATGCATATAAATACGAAAACGTAATTAAATCAAACGACACTCACTAATAGTATTATTTTATTAAAAATGGTGTATCAAAACAAAGAAACAAAGAAACTGCGACCTCATGAATATATTATTAAATGGGGAGTACTGTCTCACCGTATGTGCTATTGATACTGATAAACCGTAAACGTAAGATAGAAAACATAAGCACTTCACATTTTAGGTCCAAATTCATTTTTTCAGTTTCAGTATCAACGCACGCTTGTACTAGTGTATGAAACTGTTATTTAAGTTTTATCTTACCACGCTGGATTTGGCTCAGCTGCCTAAAAGTTGGTACACATGTGCGCTCCGTATTTTAGTGCATATTGTCTAAGCTAGCAACTTAAACGATCTTTCAGTTTTTTTCCTGATAAGGAAACATTTACATTTAACGAAAATTATCACTCTGAATTTTCCAAAATAGAAAATACATTTCGGAAATTCAATGGCACATGATTCATGATTTAGCTGCTGGTAGGTAACTTTTCAACTTCAATCTTTAAAAAACTCATGACACTACTAAATGGTTCATTAGAAGAGATACATCTAGTTTAAACTGATAAATCCTTATAAATCTTGGCTTGTGAGACTAGGGAGACGGGGAAGTAGCAATATTTTCCAAGTACTCCTTAAATTTCTCCTTGTTACAAAAAGACAAAATAATAGTATACATTTGTTGACTGGGTATGAGGTCAACATGTGTTGTGTTAAACCAGAGGCACCAGTTTGGTCCGAGGGTTCAACATAACACATGTTGACCGAAAATCCAATCTACAAATCGAAAACCCAATTTACAAATGTTTTGTTATACATTTACCGTTGCTATCAAAGAAAACGAATAATTATAGATTAATATAAATGATAAGACAGCGTCATTTTAACACTATTGTAATGGCGGACATTGTAGAGTAATTACCAGGAAGTACCAAACGGTAATGAGCTGTGACGTAAACATCGAGATGTTGACCGGAAATCATTGTTCTGGAGCAAACATCTGGAATTTTAGATTTATTTACTACAGAAATGTTGTGAACCACCTATTCTTTCAAACAGATAGCATTTTTACCAAATATGCTGTTTAAATTGCATATTGCACTATTTTGTTCCAAAGACAACGGAACAGACACATGTATCTATCAAAGGGCTGTAAAATGTCTAATTCAACTGAAATTATAATCATTCAAAGGAGTTGAAGATTGTTCACTTGACGAAATATATGTAACACTTTCTAATTTAGACAAGTCAATCGGTACTTATAATCTGAAACAATCATCACACGTATTATCCCGGTACCTCACTAAATTCAATCAGCCTAAACATGAACAAAGGGACATAACTCTCGCAAAATTGAGACATTACCAGCATAAATAATAACTTATTTGAGTGTTTTATGTGAAATTTAGCCGAAAATTGCTGCATCAAAACAGCATGGTCAGTCGCCATTCAAATACATCCGACATCTTCCTTAAGACTGTGGAGACAAAAACTTAGAGGCATACTTGTTTGTGTATTATTTTTGATGGGTGAATATTACTGATAGACTTGTTTTCAGTCGTGTACAATTAAATCTTCACTTTAAGAAAGGTGTCGTGTCCTGACCCAAAACGGTTTTTCACAGAACATATCACACATCATGGCGGTACAAACTACTTTTTTTATTATTGCGCTGGGCGGGACTATTTTCAGGAGCCGGACAAGGAAATTCCTGATTTACATGCAGGATATGGTAAAATACATCACATGTCTCCCTTACCAATTTTGAAGTGATTTAACCATGTCCATCAAAATCAGTTCTTGCAAAATAAACTAATTAAATTCACCGATATTTTTAGTTTAGATATATGCCAAATTATGGTACAGGTACTTTTGAATTGAAAACTGCGTTTTGTATGAACTTTAACATAACAACAAAACTAGTGTAACATATATAATTCACTAACAGTAGTAGCACCGTGAATACTTAAAAGTTGACTGACAAAGCATCTGCCAGATACTTAATTACAAATAAAACAACTAAGGAACCTAAGTGGTTCCTGCGATACACACGGGGATTATTGTGCCCCTTGTCACGGCGTGCTCACCATTATAACTCAAGATGTCTTAAAAGTCTGCTACTGAACACAGAACCCTAGATCCTAACAAAATCTTGAAGTCTCTTTGGAGGAACGATGTTGCGACGCGGATAACGACGCTCAGGTGTTGACACCTTTCCTGACTCAGTGACTTTTTGAGATGATGCACAGACTTCAGTCGATGACTCTTGATGTATAGTCGACGGTACTGAAGACGAGTCACTTACAGGTTTTTCCATGACAATTATTGAAGGTTTCGGCTGAATGTCACCCTTCATTGGTAAGTTAACTTCCAATGTATTCTCGTCTACTTCGGTGGAACGAATCTGGTCCAAGTGTCTTCGCCAGAGAACACCAGGAGCAATTTCAACACGATAAGAAACGTCGTTTCGACTCTTGTTTCCATTGTTGTTCATTAACGCGTCGTTGGACATCAGGTTTGATCAAATCCAGCAGTGACGGTAAGTTGCGTCCCATGAAGAGTTTTGCCGGGCTCTCATTTGTAGTCATATGTTTGCTGTTCCTATATGCCAATAGGAAGTTAGCCAAGCGTTTCTGGATCGACCCAGAGTCTTTCTTACTTGCTTTCATTGCGCTTTTGAAAGATTGGACAAAGCGCTCCGCCAGACCGTTCGTACTCGGATGGTACGGGGCGGATGTTGTGTGTTTAATCCCGTTAGACTTTATAAAATTGGCAAAATGTTCAGATTTGAACTGTGGGCCGTTATCACTCACAACCTGAGCTGGAACTCCATTCCTGCAGAATATTTCTCTGAGAACCTCTACAATTCGCTCTGCCGTTGTCGAAGTCATAGCAACCACTTCCGGCCACTTTGAATGAGCATCTACAGCTACGTAAAACATCCTTTCGAGAAATGGTCCCGCAAAGTCGATGTGAATGCGTTGCCACGGAATGGATGGCCATTCCCAAGGATGGATAGGTGCGGCTGGCGGTGAATTCTTGATGTCTTGGCATCCTACACAAGACTTACAAACATGCTCGATGTCAGCATCAATGCCAGGCCACCAAACGTAGCTTCTGGCGAGGCTCTTCATCTTAACCACGCCCAAATATCCTTCATGTAGTTCGTCTAACACTCTCCTTCTAAGCGCCTCGGGGATAATAACACGTATTCCCCATAACAAACAATGCTGATGAATGCTTATTTCAGTACGTTTATTGTAGAAAACACCGAGGCATTTGTCTTCACCCTCGGTCCACCCTTGTTGTACGGTGGTGTACACCCTTGATAAGGTTTGGTCCTTCAACGTTGCATGTGCGATTTCCTTACTGGTCACAGGGAGAGTGTTCATGTAAGACACCATAAAGGCATCAACAGTATCTTCTTCCAGTACTGGCCTTATGTCTAGGGGTAGACGCGATAATCAATCGGCGTTTGCATGTTTTGCTGTACTTTTGTACTTGATGTCGTATTGGAAGCCTGCTAAATACAGTGCGTAACGCTGGTGTCTTGCCGCGGTTGTCACTGGAATACCTTTCTCTGTGTGAAAGATCGATGTCTGGGGTTGATGATCCGTCAGTAAAATGAAATGACGCCCATATAAATATTGGTAAAATTTCTTCACACCCCAGACAATTGCAAGCGCTTCCTTGTCAATCTGCGCATAGTTGCATTCAGATTTTGAGAGCGAGCGTGACGCGAAGGCTATCGGCCTCTCGGATTCGTCTTCCATAACATGCGATAATACCGCGCCTATGCCGTATGGAGATGCGTCTGTTGTCAGTTGCACTTTCTTGCCTGGATCAAAATGAGTCAGTACTTGTTCCGATGCCACAGCTTCCTTTACGCGCTGAAATGCAGTATCGCACTCTGCCGACCAACCCCACTTCCGGTTTGCCTCCAGAAGCTGGTTCAATGGGTTTACCATTGATGACAAGTTTTTAATGAACTTAGCATAGTAATTCACTAGTCCCAGAAATGATCTGAGTTGGTTGACGTTTTCTGGGCGCGGTGCATTAACAACAGCTTCCACCTTGCTTGGCATCTTGTGTAGTCCATCTTTGTCAATGGTGTGCCCACAAAATTCGATCGAGTCTTTGAAAAACTCACACTTTACCTTGTTAACGCGCAAGCCGAAACGGTCTAAACGCTCAAGTACTGTTTCTAGATTTGCCAAATGATCTTCGTCGGTCGTGCCCGTAACGATCATGTCATCCAGGATACACTGCACGCGTGGAATGCCTTGAAGAATTTGGTCAATGGATCTCTGCCAAATAGCTGGCGCCGACGCAATTCCAAATACCAACCGATTGTACTGAAATAACCCACGATGTGTGTTGATTGTCAGGTAATGTCGGTCCTCTTCGCGTACAACCATTTGCAGATAAGCATTCCTGAGATCAATCTTCGTGAAATGTTGGCCTCCAGCAAGTGTCGCGAAAATGTCGTCAATCTTGGGCAGTGGGTACTGGTCTACATCCAGAACCGGATTTATTGTGACCTTGAAATCCCCACATATGCGGATGCTTCCATCCCGTTTTGGTTTGGTAACAATCGGGGTTGCCCATTCGGAATGTTGAACTTGGGTCAATATGCCAGCGCTCACTAGGCGGTCTAGTTCTGCCTCAACCCTCTCTTTCATCGCAAAGGGTACGGTCCGTGGTTTACAGATTTTTGGATTGGCTCCCTCCTTAACCTTGATCCTGGCAGTGATGTTTCTTAGAGTGCCTAATTCATCCTTTAACACACTTGGAAATTTCTGAAGTTGCTGAGCCACACTCAGAGGGGGTTTCGAACCACTGGCCACTGCGACAGACTTTATCTCGTGCCAATCCAATTTTATCTTGTGCAACCAGTCTCTACCGAATAAGGGTGGTCCTCCATGTTTCACTACATACATGTCCAGACACTTATGCTGATTATTTAGATCAACTTCCACTGTACATATCCCAAGTGTACTCAACTTATCACCACCATAAGTTTTAAGAATTACTGAGGTATCCTTGAGGTCATGCTTTCTCTTGGGAAGGTACTTGTCAAATGCAGATTTGCTGATGACGGACACTGCTGACCCAGTGTCTAACTCCATTGCAAGTTCCACCTGGTCTATCTTTGGGTATAACCAGATGACATCTGAGCCACCCGATCTGTCAGAAATGTTAAATATTTCCAGTGAACTGATAAGTTCGGACTCAGACCCACTATCATCTCGCACTTTGTGTACAGGAGCACTTCTATTTCTAGGCTTACCAGACCTGCAAGCCTTCTTGATATGTCCCTTTTTATTACACGCGTGACAAATCGCGTCCTTGAAGCGATAATCATCTGCTTTGTGTGCACCCTTACAACGGTAACACTCTGTCCCATTATTTTTATGAACAAATGGTTTCCGTGCAGTCTGTGGCTTACTTTTCCATATTTTATTAACAGGGACCTTCACGTGCTGTTTCTGTAGCTCTACCGCATCCCTTGTTGCTGTTTCCACGACGATAGCAACCTCTAACGCCTTCTGGTACGTTAAATCAGACTCGGTTAACAACTTTTTCTGTATGTGTTCTGCCTTCAGTCCACAAACTAACCGGTCCCTCAGAGCATCATTGAGGTTATCCCCGAACGCACAATTTTCACTAAGTTTTCTCAGGGCTGCGTTGTAATCCCTAATATTCTCCCCATCCCGCTGGTCCCGTTTGTGAAATCTGAACCTTTCTGCTATCACTAGCGGTTTTGGAGAATAATGTTCTTGTAATACCTTGGTCAACACGGCGTATGTTTTGGTGGCTGGGAGCTCAGGGGCGGTCAAATCACGCAACAACCCACATGTCCTTCCGCCGATTAAGCTGAGGAGCGCTGGGACTTTTTTATCTCCTTCAATAGAGTTTACAATGAAATATTGGTCTGGCCGCTCCTTATATGCATCCCACCTTTCAATACCCTCGTCAAAAGTGTCAATTCTTCTCACTTTACCTGCCATACTGGTGTAATTTAATGTTGGGGAAATTCACAAAATCCCGCACCGACACACGTGGTCCGACAAATGAAATCTACCTCAAACAGAAAATACCTTAAACCAGAGGTCTCCGGCAATAATGGAATGTCTGTACTCAGCGGTAACTTCGCTCACACATTTCCTGAACGATTTCCGCCATCCTCGTCGCTAATTTGTCGTGTCTTGACCCAAAACGGTTTTTCACAGAACATATCACACATCATGGCGGTACAAACTACTTCTTTTATTATTGCGCTGGGCGGGACTATTTTCAGGAGCCGGACAAGGAAATTCCGGATTTGCATGCATGATATAGTAAAATACATCACAAAAGGTCTGAATTACATTATCTCAAAGTAAGCACAGCTTCTTGAAATTGCACGAAGACATAAATTATGTTAAAAGTTGAATAAAGAGAAAAAAACTTTTTCTCAAGAGGCCAAGCTTTTTAAACAGACGAAACACCGTGACAAGTGTCATTTCACAAATGAAATCAATAAATTCAAACTGCACAGATTGCTCAATTTGAATGAAAGAAAAAAATGTTCATAATTAATTTCTAAGTAACTTTTGAAAGGTAACATACCCGATTGTTATGTTATGCGGAACATGTTTTTTTTGTGTGTGTCTAATGGATAATATCTGTTAAAATTAAATAGGGTGAGTGGGAAAAGTCTATAGTGGTCAGATCTACTTTCTACAGTGCAACTTTCCCAAACTGATCCTTCTCCAAAACCGATCACCTCTAAAAACCGAACGAAATGGCGATGTACGGAATGACGTCCTGTTCATTATAGTAATAAAACCTACCCAATACCGACCCCTCAATTCCGAATATCGAACCGATTTTTATCTCCAATGACAAATTAAAACCAAATCGACCGAGTCCATCATTTCATCGAAGCGAGACACGGTTACAGCTAAAGTGAAAATAAGTACTGATGCAGAGTTAGAATGCCGTGGCGGCAGCTTAGCATCTAAATTGCAGGTTATATGTATATGTTATGTGAACACAAACAGAATGGAAAGATCGAGTCTGGTTTGAGAAAAGATTTTTTTTTAATAATGATAAACAGAAACACATATTCATCAAATATATTGGTTGGCAACTCTTTCGGACAAGCCGACTGTCCGACCCGGACTACGTCGGTAACGTTACGTTACCTCCGAGATCGCCGGCAATGTGCAGACTTCTTGTCGACTAGAACCACACGTAGAATACAAGTATCATTGGTTTTTCGCTTATACTTTCAGTTTTTCACATATATTTTTACTCTATAAAACTTATTTCTCTGTATTCAGTTTGACACAGTGTAAATGCTGAAGAATTAAGGTAATGTACAGAACGGAATCGATTCTACTATATCAGAGTCCGGACCGGTCAACTTGTTTCACTTCTACAAACCGAACCCTCCCTAAACCGACCAAATATTCATGTCCCATGCATGGTCAGTTTGGAGCAGTTCCACTGTATTTCTATCTCTCTACCTAATTGACTGGAAAGACAAAATTGGCCAAAGTCTTCAACAAAATAATTCTGTCTTTCCATTCCGAGCCAAAGTTGAGCTAATACTAAACGTTAGTTTAGCAAGGACATTTAAACTGTTAGATATCAACCAGTTACAAAGGGTGCCATCTTAGTATTCAAACTGTTTTATGATTATTAACATTGACTTCCCTCTGTGAATTGAGTCAGGTGATTACGTTTTAGGGAGTTGTACACTTCGAGACAAATGTAACGTCAAATTTGTATTTTTTGTCCTAAGTCACTAATAAAAATCAAGCATTGCAAGAATAAAAAAAAAATAGAATTCTATAATTCTCAAAGCATTTAATTTCTAATAATCGAATGAATGTATGTATATGATTACAACTGATTTCTGTCATTATGTAAAATAGAATATATATATATATTTAATGTAATATGTGGCAGTTTTGTTCTGACTGTGGTTTGGGCAGTTGTAGGATGGTATTCGTTTATATTCACTGTTATTGAAAACATACGGTTTATAATCAATATTTTCAAGTCTATTAGGTGAAAATTACTGTAAATCTATATATTCTAGTGGTACTTTTGGCACTTTTCGCGTTTTAGATATTGCGCTAAAATATCATTGAACTTATTGCTTATGTATGTGGTTAATAACAGTCATTGTGAATACTAGAAACATCATTGCGCTTATATGTTTAAAAAATATATTACGCTAAAATTCCGCTGAAATAATTACGTTTACAGTGCTCGATATACAGAGACATTGCAACTAATTTATGATAAAATGCTTTTCGACAAAATGATATAATGTATTTATTTGAAGAATTATTTTTTCGATAATTTTCTCTCGATCAAAAATGTCTGCATTGATGAACACACACATACACCATCACACACACATCATAAAAATATAAAAATCCACACATGCACTTTAAACAGTACATTACATCTCGCGTGTCATGCATATGCATTATATCATTTACCTATTAGTATCGATCAACACTCTCTCTCTCTCTCTCTCTCTCTCTCTCTCTCTCTCTCTCTCTCTCTCTCTCTCTCTCTCTCTCTCTCTCTCTCTCTCTCTCTCTCTCTCTCTCTCTCTCTCTCTCTCTCTCTCTCTCTCTCTCTCTCTCTCTCTCTCTCTCTCTCTCTCTCTCTCTCTCTCTCTCTCTCTCTCTCTCTCTCTCTCTCTCTCTCTCTCTCTCTCTCTCTCTCTCTCTCTCTCTCTCTCTCTCTCTCTCTCCGTTTCATCCTTCAGACAAGGTAGAAATATATTATATTAACAATAAACTTCACTTTTGCAATTCGTCTCAGAGTAAAAGAAAACATATCCCGTGAGGAGTTGCCGTTAGGTCACATCCGGATTACCGTACATTTTTCATTCACAGTTCATGAACCAAGAAGTCATTTTCTAAACGTCACGCCTGTATATATTTATATTTTGGTTCAGTTAATGAAGGCACCTGATCGCCGGTTATATAGTTACACAGCTGCCAATAAATTCTATGTTGACATTTAAGAATTAATAAAACATGAATATGGCTTAAAGGGCGTTTTAAAAGATCACACAAGGGGATATAGGGGCGTTTAACACGGGATTATCCCAATAATCCTCTTCTGCAATGTTTGACAACCTCCTGATAAATCAAGGGAGACTCACGTTATGTTGTAGAAGCACCTAACCCATAAACAAGGTACAACACAAATCTAATCATACGTGGAAATGGGGAAAAGTTCTTCTAAATATAAATGTTCATTCATTCTTTGGAGTAGGTGGTCTGCACTTTGGCGACCTAGTACGATATCGTACCATCATCGGTGGTGGTGCTTCCGGTTTCGCAGGAGGTCTCCAAGACTTGGCTAACTGCGGCTGCCATATTTGAAAAAGTCTATGTATAAGTTCAAGACCTACAATATTACGTCTTTTTCCTTTAATTTCTGAAAGCACAATTTCCTCAGTTTCCTGTCCATGACCCATCATGCCTGGTTCTTCCCATGCCTTTACAACCATGCGTCTCGGTAACAAATTTGATTTTTTCTGTGTATGATAACCACTTCCGGTCCTCTTTGTACTTCCACGACGTACAGAGAAACGAGAATTGTTGCTTTGATGAGATGAACACAGAGATTGAGCGGAATTGGAAACCGAACGGTTTTTTGAAAAACCCAGAGGATAGGTTGTAGATTCGCTGCTTCCGATATCCTGATTTTTTCGATTTGCTGCTAACGCCGCAGACGATACTCTTTTCCACTTGTTAATATTTTGGGTGTTTTTGTCACTGTTGGAATTCTTTGCACTAGATACCATCATTGGACTTTTGAGAAGATTTGCTTTCACTCTCATCCATCTTGTCTGGCCACTTGGGGGCTGAATAACAATAGTAGGGTTCGCCATAGTTTAATCTTCGATTCAATTCCTTGTGCACTTTAAAATCGAAACGTCAAATGAATTCTCGTTCTTAACTCTTTACATTTTTTCACGAAATAACATTAGTTCTCCATTTTCATTCACTCACAGCCAATGATTTTAACCTCTAGTTGCCGAAGAAATATCTCCCTTACTTTCCTTCATAGGTAAAGCGAATCCCTTGGAATTTGCAAGAACATCCAATTTTCACATTACTGTTTCTGCTGGTCGCGATCCTATTTTCACATTACTGTTTCTGCTGTCGCGATCCTATTTTCACATTACTATTTCTGCTGTCGCGATCCTCTTTTCACATTACCATTTCTGCTGGTCGCGATCCTATTTTCACATTACTATTTCTGCTGGTCGCGATCCTACTTTCACGTTACCATTTTTGCCGGTCGTAATGTCTTTCTAATATCATTGTCTCTGGATAGTCTAGGGAAGACATAGCTGTTGGAAGCTTTACACCAATTAAGTTGTCGTATATCTGTACTCTCAATGTTTGTTGTACCAATTTACATTTATTTCACAAAGACCTGGTCATTAGTGCACAGGGTTAAGTACACAAAGCAGGATTACTGGCAATGGATTAGCACGCTAAGATATATCCTCAGCGACAAAGCGAATTCTCTATCTCCATTTGGGATTTATTGAATATATTTTTGATCGTTACAATGTAGTTATATTTGTAAATACTGGAACAATACACTACCATAAACTTGTAACGCCAGTTAATCAATATTTGTACATACATGAGTAAATTCATAAATAAGGGATTTTATACACACCATATAATCCTTTCATAATCAATCAAAGTGGCTAGACAAATCGCTTTAAAGATTTTTATGATTAAAATTTGAGAGCTCCATTATTATTCTGATTTATGTATACAGACAAGGAAAGACATTTTCATTTAATATACATGTATACTGCAGGTTACATTCGTATAACACTGCTATTTGGTGCTATCCATATATATAGCCAAAACATATGAAATTCTTTCATATTGTTTTTGCGGAACAATCAAAAATATTTATCAAGAACAAAATGAACACACGAAAACACGTCACCAGAACAGATGAAATGATACCCGGACACGGGATGTGTCACGGAGACGGAAAACTGTAAATAAGTCAATCAACACACGAAAAAGAAACTCCATTATAATCAGGAGACACCAGGATACAATTCCAGTGATGTGTCTCTGTAGGACATGATGAATATAATGCTAGTCTATCTATTTACACGCGTGTCTTCTGTTTCATCGTACATTTTTAATTAACATCTCCTTTTTGTCACGAAGAGAGTTTTAGCAATATCCCCAGCACAGAATGCAAAGCGACAAAATAAATACATTGCTATTAATTTGAGTTGCCCACTTATCTTTGGTTCTCAAATCAGTATTCCTTTGAAAATGGAATATTTGGACTCGATTATAGTTCTTAGTACCAAGTCAATCATATGTCGTCATTTAGTTATGACGTCATAATAATGCTATTTGGTGTGTGATACTGCAGACATGAAAAGTTGTATAGTTATAACACACTGCACGGCATATTCAAATACCTTGTTATATTTTTTAATTGAACATATTCACATACATTATCAACACCCAATATTTACATTTGCTGCGTACTCTTTAACTTCAATGTAACTTGTAAAGAGAAAATACAAACACGAGTTTTAATAATATCTGTGGCTTAGTGACTGATCCTATATTTTGAATATAATTACTTGCTGTCACCATGTATAAGGAAACTAAAAATACGAGAGTGGCAAATAATTCAAATGTATTGTAAAAGCGGCGGGTTGGTGTGGCTCGTATAAAGCGTTATAGAGTCTCTGTCACTCAGCTGACGGGTCGGTGTGGCTTGTATAAAGCGTTATAGAGTCTCTGTCACACAGCTGACGGGTCGGTGTGGCTTGTATAAAGTTTTATAGAGTCTCTGTCACTCAGCTGACGGGTCGGTGTGGCTTGTATAAAGCGTTATAGAGTCTCTGTCACTCAGCTGACGGGTCGGTGTGGCTTGTATAAAGTTTTATAGAGTCTCTGTCACTCAGCTGACGGGTCGGTGTGGCTTGTATAAAGCGTTATAGAGTCTCTGTCACTCAGCTGACGGGTCGGTGTGGCTTATATAAAGTTTTATAGAGTCTCTGTCACTCAGCTGGCGGAGCTTGCTTCATCGGTTCAGCTGGCAGAGTCACGATAACCAAAACGGAAACCCGGGGTCGATTTCTGTATGGGCACTCGATAGAAATGTGTATTTTGTCCTGTTTTTACACACAGTAGTAATTAGCAGTTCATGATTTATGGAATTATATTATAACTATCACATATTGGGATTTATTATAATAAACATCAGGCATTGACCTTTCATTATCAAGTTTTTTGTTTGTTTGGTTTTTTTTAATAACCTAAAACCGCTCTACTGAAAAAAATGACGTTCAAAGTTATAAACGGAAACTCCGATATATAGAACATCAGAAAACCAAATGTTTTTCACGCCAAGAAGAAATCATACTTAAACAAAATCTATCTTCGTCTCATAGTAACAAAAGATCAACACATCATAACCATTACGTAGATTTTATTCATATCAAATCGATCAGAAAGACGAAGAATATTGATCTTTATCGTTTGAATAATTTTATTTCAAAATATAAGTTCAATCTAATAAATCTATGTTCGGATATTTGATTTTATCTTTAGTAAATAATTTTTGATGTCTTAATCGGGCAAAAACTAGAGTTATCATTCCAAGAAATGATATAATTCGATTTATTTATATATTTGTGATTTTATTTCATTTTACATTTTTAAAAAATTTATATGTTTATGATAGAAATAATACAAAGTTATCCTTTAGAGCTGACTTCAAGTTTTTAACATAGAAAACATTCAGACGAATGTCATAAGTAAAATCGCTATGAAATCCGTTGTTTAGGTTGACTGTTTTCCAGTCGTTTGCGCCGTAAATTGTTATGTTGCTGATAAAAAGTTCAGCAAAGTCGCCAGGATTTTGTGGTTTTCTATCTACGGTTATAGAAAGATTATTTGACTTAAACGAAAAGGACAGGAGGTAATATTGATTGTTTTCAACTGTGTCAGTAGATTTCCCATCATCCCAAAAGAGATCTCCTTCTGCTGATCCATGTTCATTCAATACTACAAGTAAACCCATTGGGTTACGCCTACTATACAAAGTAGTATTAGCCGCGAGTTGTGTTGCCAGGATATTGCCGCCGTACACAAAAAGTGGAATAAAATCACGAGGTGCCTGAACAGTCTGGAAAGAAGAGGAGCTATTTACTTCTAAACCTGAATAATAGTCAAACCAGCGACCATCTGGAAAATAAACGTCTAATTTGATTCTACCTTCATGTAAAACTGGGGTTATCATGAGTGCTCTTCCCCACATGAATTGTGTATCTATGGATAAGGTGGTTTGATCGCTCGGGAAATTGTGTGCTAGAGAACGGATGACGGTACCTCCACTTACGTGGGCGTGATAAAACAACGTATAAAGGTAAGGAAGCAGCGTGTAGCGTACCACGAGAGCTCGACGGGACGAATCTGCCACAGCCGGACCGAAGTACGCCGGGTCTTGATCCGCAGTGTTGATAGTGTTATGATTCCTGGAAAAGGTATAAAAAGCGCCAAGTTGCATCCAGCGCTGACAAAGCTCCGACGTAGAATTTCCGAAAAACCCACAGATATCCGCTCCAATATATGGGATACCGAAAAGGTTAAATTCTAGTATGCCTATTACAGAGTCATGAAGATCGGACCATGCACTGTCATTGTCGCCAAGCCAGTGCCCAGCATATCGACCACTTGACGGATACGTTGATCGCGAGATGACAATTCCACGTTCACCAGTTGCCTCCCTTAGACCTTGGAGAGTAGGTTCGGTCTGACTCCAGCCGTACACACTATGAACATCATAATGCATTTGTCTTTCTTTGTGTTGCGCCGCCACCATGCATAAGGTTTTGTCGGACAGCCGAGGCCCGTATATCGCTTTTGGTTTATACGGAGGATCATCCCATCGGGAAACAGGACATTTTAGTGTCCAGTAAGGTTTCACGTTCTCATCCCAATTGAATGGACGTTCCTCGTTCGTACCAAAATTAGCCGGCTCGTTCATGTCTATCCACAGGCCATCAAACGATAAGTTTTTATGATGACTAACTATTAGATCTCGCCAATATGCATGTGTGTCAGGGTTTAAGAAATCTGGGAAAACAACTTTACCTCGAGGCCAAACATACCCAAGCATGTCTGTCCGATTGTATTCATGGTAGTCGGGACTCAATGTCCCATTTGGCCACTTAATGAATATGTCTTTCTCGATTCCTTTAATATAGGGGAGATAATCCGAGGCATTTGTGATGAGTGCTGGATCAATTATGATAATGGTTCGTATGCCTTCATGTTGCAACTCCTTGAAATATTCTGGAAGATCGCCAAAATTGACTGGATCAACAGTAAAGTCTCTTCTCTCGTGCATATGATCTATGTCGGCATATTGAACATCATACGGAATATCAGATGATTTCGTTCTTTCTACCGCCGCTTTCATGGACTGAATATTATCATAACCATATCGGCTTAATTGGAATCCAAGAGCCCAGTAAGGAGGTAAATAGGGATGTCCAATCACACTAGTGTATTGCTGAATCACCTGCTCTGGTGTCGGCCCGAGGAATATATAGAAGTCCAGAATACCTCCCACGGTTCTGTACGTTAACGATGGTAGAGGATTTAGTTCAATTTCCATTGCATTGCTATTAAGAAGTAACACACCATGAGAGTTTCCATTGGAATCTTCTATGTTTAAATAGAATGGATGTACGCCGTACAGGTTTGCGTAATCACCCCAATTCACGCCATTGTCACGAGAAAACATGGGCCAACGTTTGAATTCAAAGTCATGCTGGAAGGAAAAATGCCTATTCTCACCAAACCCGTACATTTGTTTTGAGGGTAACTTCACCACCATCTGCAAGAATTGTTCGGCAAAAGTAAAACCTCCTAATGATGTATCCCAGACAGTTGAGTTAGTTCTTTGTCGTATAACTTTGACGAAGAAAGTTCCATGTTCATCCTCACCCTGCTCAACACGGTAGTCATCGTCTTGTTTTTTTCTCGAGGTCATATTATTAAATTGGACAGGTACTTCATATCTATGATATTCTAAATCCATGTACTTTAGTCTGAGAATGTTCTCAGATATGCGTAGAACAACAAATTCCACATGAGGTATGTTACCTCCGAAAAGCTTGGTCTGGTTTTTCCATTTTAGAATTGTGTTATTATTAAATTTAGTTCCATTGTCCACGTATCCGTGACGGGCCTTATCAATATGACATGGCGGAATATTTTGGTGGAAAGTGTTATTCCAGATGCAGCCACGCAGCCGACATTCGTCCTCCGCATGCACTGACGATGCGCTATCCAGATCAGGATAACAATTGATCCTTTCCAATTCATATATTTCTGCTTTGCGATCTGTAAACCATTCTATATTGAATTCTTCCGTCAAACTAAGGGCGAGATTTGAAATAATGAGGGTGTTGTTTGTCTTATGGTGAAGAATATCATGATGTTGTAAACTGCCGTTGATATATGCCACAGTGATATTCTCAGTAATACCGAGTACCCGGATCTCGTCAATAGTGAAATCTTTTGTAGGCGAGTTTCTCACACGCATTTTAAGTCCCCTCTCAGAAGCAATGAATTTGGCAATGACGTAGTTTCCATTTTCGTATGAATCAATTGCTTCGCCATCGTCCAAAAATAGGTCTCCTTCTGCTGATGTGCGTTTACCGTCTGAGGATAATGCTACTGTTATGGTAAACGAGTTTTTTCTACTATATACAGTATTATTCGCTGGGGCCTGCATAGGGATCACATGCCCTCCTCGAATATGCAAAGGGATTTTGGAATTTTGATCAACCTGAACAGTAATATGTTGGCCACCGTGAACTGCCGCTGCTGTATAGAAACTATACCACGTCCCATGGGGTAAGTATATTTTTACCTCCTCTTGGCCTTCCTCCAATATGGGCGATATAAGCAGTGCTGGTCCCCACAGAAATTGCGTGTCTATACCATAAGTTTCACGGTCAGTAGGAAACTCATGGTGGAGTGGCCGGATCACTGTGCTGCCCCTAACATGAGCATGATGGAAAAGTGTATACAGATAAGGAAGTAGCCAATACCTTGTCTCCATGGCTTCGCGAGAAGCTTTAGTGACACTTTCATCAAAAACAGCAGGATCTTGGTCAGGCTGTCCTTTAGTGTTATGATTTCGGCTAAATGTGTAGAAGGCTCCTAGCTGCATCCATCTCTTGCACAACTCAGGTGACGGGGTTCCGAAAAAGCCGCATATATCTGCCCCAATGTATGGTATGCCAAATAAATTTAACTCCAGAATACCGATAACGGACAATCTCAAGTGATCCCAGTCCGCCGAGTTATCCCCTAGCCAATGTCCAACATATTGGCCACTTCCAGGAAAGGTTGACCTAGAAATCACGAGACCCCGTTTGCCACGGTGTGTTTGCTGTAGACCATATAGTGTTGACTCTGACTGACTCCAGCCATACAAACTGTGGACATCATAATGACGATAGATGTCCTTTTCGCCTTGCCTGGCTACCATACAAATCGTCTTCTCTGATATTCTGTTTAACCTCTGATCGTTATCCGACTGAAACGCCGCCATAGATCTATAAGGCGGATCATCATATTTATCTCCAACTATACATTTTAAGCTCCAGTCTGACGTATTAGCCGGCCAATTCCAAGGACGCTCTTCGTTGGTTCCAAAATTTGCCGGTTCGTTCATGTCTATCCATAGACCATCAAACGGAATTTCCTCTGAGTGATTGGTAATGAGATGTTTCCATACGTCCTGTGTACTTGCTTTGAAGAAGTCGGGAAACACCACTTTTCCATTGGGCCACACCTAGTTATAAACAAGAAATGGTCAAAAGCACAAATTTTCATGTTGTCATTTTGTTGCAAATATGTGAAAAAATTACATCATTAAGTACTACGCTATTACAAATATTCAAGCTTTTTAATTGGATATGTTTTTAAAACGATTTTATAATGTTTAAGGTAATTGGTATACATAAACTATTAGATTATAATTGTTTAAAAAATTGTAGCCATTTCTATGATGCTCCGTAATTAATAATAGCGATGCATAGGAAATGGTCAAATGTTCAGATATCACTTTGGGGTTTTGAATTTTAAAACTTTTACTCGTCAAACAGATACTTATATACATACACAAACACAATATATATATGTTTATGGGCAAAAATGTCCATTCCATTGAATTTATTGAAAGATCAAAGGACCAAATGTGATTAAGATTACTCACATAGCCAAGAAGCGCTCCATTTTCATCTGAACTGTCCTTTGGTATAGTGTAATTAGTAGGCCATTTGACGAACCCATCCTGTTCACTCATCTTCTGATAAGGATTGTATGTGTTATTAGCCAACAGACACGGATCCTGTTAAATAAGAAAGATGTTAGAAAATAACAAGATCGATAATGTCAAGTTTCACTCTTATTTTGTCTCCCCGTTAATATTGAAATAACAATATGCTTAAGAGTCAACTTTGATTTTCGAACTGATATGTCATGTTGTATTTGAACAACAAATAATGAGATTAATAGTAATTTTGATCAGTTGAATGATTTTTGTTTTCATTTTTTGCAGACATACAAGGGATATACGTGTATTTAAAATATGTGTTCATAATGATATATTGGTTTCACTTTTTAAAATCTATGAGCTGAAGCATTTCATGCTATTTGTTATTTCACATCCAGCAGTAACGAAGTAATCACTAACCAGTATAATTATAGTTTTCATGCCATTGTTACGCAATCCGTGGAAATATTCCTTCAGTCCACCGAAGTTGTTCTGATCAACTGTAAAGTCCTTCTGTTCGTCCATATGGTCTATGTCGCCGTACTGCACATCCTTGGTGTAAATAATATTCTTTTATTATCATTATCATATGCAGAAGGAATAACATATGTGTAATACTTCGGATTTTGTCGGTATATATTAAGACGAAATCTCTAGACTCTTTCTTAGGACATTCAGAATTCCAATGAATTCTTAAGTCTTCATGTCATTCAGACTAGAACAAAATTCACTTGGTCTATCGCTCTGTATTGTTCGTGTTATCAAACAATTTCTTTTCATTATCATTTTATGCACAAGGAAAATTGATTATGTCTTTCGACGCAGGCTTAAAACATTCAAAGTTCAGTTTCGTTGGATAAATCATTCACCCTTTCGTGTCATGCAAAAATTAAAAAACTGAAATTACATTTTTATTTGAATACTGGCTAAGCAATAATACACAGAGTAAGTGACAATCAAACACTTACAAACGGGATCTTTGCAGTTATAGTTCTTTCCACAGCCGCTTGCAAATTTGAGATATTTTCGTAACCATAACGACACAGTTGAAATCCTAGGGCCCAATATGGTGGCATCATTGGTCTGCCTATCACCTGCGATATTGAATTACAATTGTCATTTGTACTTAGTAATGTAGTAAGTTTAACAGCCAGTATATGGAAAGTTGGGGAGAAATAAACAAATAATATAATATATACCAACAACAACCATCGTTGTTCGAACTCGAATTTTATTATTCAAGGTAATTTTTCATGAAACTATAGTAAATTTAGCTTAATTTCTCAATTTAATAATGAGTGGTGGGAAAGGATGAAAGAAAGGTAAGGTTCAGTTTTACTTCCATAAACTGCGAGTCATTCTATTTTCGCATTAATTTCATTTAACAAATTTCAACTGTAGCTTTTAGTCGCAATTATAGTCACCCTTGAATAGGGAGATGATTTCAATTCTGAAACCTCTTGATGCAATATTATATAGTAATTACCCCTGTGTATTGCTGAATAACGTTTTCCGGTTCCGGTCCGAGAAACATGTAGAAATCGAATATTCCGCCAATGGTCCTGTATATCAGCATGGGTAACGGTGTAAAGGCGTAATCTATAATCAACGTAATTAATATAACAAATAATTCACATAACAAATAATTCACATAACAAATAATTCACATAACAAATAATTCACATAACATGTAATTGGTATAACAAGTAATCAATATAACAAATTATATAAATATATTTTATCGGAGCAACGCCAACGCCACATGAAGCAAATAGCACCAACAACATCTTCATGCTTCGTTACTGTTGATGGTTATATACTTTTAGTCAAAAAAAGCAGAAACAAGTATATAGGAATTTATTAACTTGATAGAATCCTATATTAAAGCTATTGTTAATATAACTTTTCCTGTGATAATATATTGTTCTAGTTTTGACCAATTACAGCTGTGCTTTCTCGTCACTGCATTTAAATTCGCCGGATTTTCTGATCGAACGTAAATTCAGTGAAAGATTAATGAGCTGGTTTTCTATCAAATAATTTCCGAGTGCATTTCTGATTTTATCTTAGTTGATATGTATAGTATGTTAATCGATTCTTACCAGATAATATCATAATATGGTAATGCGCGACGTAGCCTATGTAATGACGTTGTCTTGTTGTCAAGCGTAACTGACGTCAAAAAGCGCGCTAACATTTCCCGGAATGTTTTTTAACACCGCTTTTTTCATGGTATCAGGATCAGTTTTGCTTTTGTTTTCTCTTTAAAATGTAATAAAACGAAAATGGTTTCAAATTCACTCGTTTGACCGAAAATATCTATATTTTAACTCGAGATTAGCACTTGTGAAAAATAGAGATATTCTCATGAAATATATATGATATCAACCGGAAACCCATAAAATATTCTTCAATATATTCTCTTGTAATATTTATAACCTTAAATATTCTCTTTATGTTTTATAGTACACTATAATTGACTTTTCCCATGCTTACAAATCGTGCTGTGTATTAATACCTACCCTGTGAGTTACTGTTGAGAAGGAGGACACCATGTGAATGACCATCCTCTTCCATACAAGTATAGAAAGGGTGAACACCATACAGGTTCTTGGGGTCTCGTGGATTCTGCAGAAATGAAACCATTGAATAAATGTGATACAATTTACCAAAACAGACCATTATGTCACCTCAGCATTTACATGTACTAATATTATATTGATAAATCATGTGTCACTTTATGAATTCAATTATTGCTATATCTCAAAGACCTATCTCCACATTATAACCAAGAATTACACTTGGTGTTTTTCGGTACGAAAACTCTCTCTTTGCGATCACACATACGCTCAATGGCTATCGTACAAAACGCACCCAAAAATTCTAAAAAAGGAAAAAAAGGGGAAAAAATCCTTGAATGATGATTATTGATACAACCTCTTAAGATAGTTCTTGCTCCCTATAAAGGACTTTCGGCGTTCTCTTCCGTTTTCGATTATAGTTTAATAAGTTTATCGTTGTTTTATGTTCTATATAAGCGATGTAACAATATTTTGTATCAATATGACTATTTACCGTCGTTATTACTTCATTGATCTATTCCATAATTACGCGTCCAACGAACATTTGTTTGTTAGAATCCTGTACCAATATTGGACAATGCCGGCGGTATTACTAACTAAATTCAACACACACACATATATATATATCCGTTTGCAAACTTGCGTGCTGACTTTATCTTTTTGAAAATATATATTGGTTTTCTTTATTTTGAGCTGTGTCTACGCTTAATTGGTTTTCACATCAATGCTCATTTCGAAAATAAAATTATAGAAAAAATTAAGAAAAATAGCGAAAACATCAGATTACTGAGGAGAACCACGCATACTTTGCCTGAGCCTGGGGGCTGGTCCCTAGAAAACATCGGCCACATGGTCCAATTCATGTCGTGCCTAAGGGTCGTGTGTACATTTTCACCAAAGCCATACACATTTCTAGACGGTAGCCGAGTGGCAATCTGAAGGAACTGGTCTTCAAACGTCAGACCGCCTACGCTTGTGTCCCATCTTATAACGATAAAGCAGATTAAAACAGCGTTAGCAAAAGGCGTTCACTGCTGGCTTTATTTTCTCTAAAATTGAATTTGGAAGTCCACTTAATGTTATGAGTGATAATAAAGTAATATGATTGATATCATAGTTTCATTTCATTTGAGAAAAAAAAGAAAAATAATTAGTGTATATAAAAGAATTCCCAATTTAACAAAGCCCGCTTCACTATGGATTCGCTTACAAAATTTCGTACTTATAAGGCAAAATCTGTACAGATCACGATCTGGTCCGATATATTTCTAGAAAGTGTCACTAGAAATCATGTTATGACAACTTAACCCAAGAAAAATCACCAAATAAAGAGGTAACTACAAAGCTATCAGTGATATTTAATAATTTAGATTCTGCATTTTTGCCGAGGCTTCAATTTTTTTTCCATCAAAAACTTAAATCAATGGTTCAACCTATTTCACAAAGGTCATGAAACGGACCAGACTTTTATCATAAAGTTCAGGTTCAAGGTATCTGGTTTTCGTAATTGTATTCCTGATCGATAAAAACGAAAATAACAACTTTTACGGTAAGTAATGAAATTATCTATCTGAAGGAGTATTTTTATCATAACCCACATGTCAGCTTCAACTCAGTATATTATACAAAAAAAATTCAATTTCACTTCGATTGCATAAAATATTCACAAACGTTGAAGCAAAGACACTTACAAGACTGTCCCTGTGCTTTTCCTCTTCACTTGGAAATGGAATGGGTTTTTGTTGGTGATGGTGATATCATATCGTGGGTCTGCAGCCCGTCTAGCGGGAGACGGAATGTTTAATGGAACTGGCACTTCGTACCGAGATTCGATTGGATCATAAAGCTGTAACATGGTATTTTAGTTGATATCTTTCAAACTTGTGTATAAAGTTTGATTGTAAAATGTTTTAATTGATACTGAATAATGTTCAATCAAATGTTGATATCCGTTAAAGTTTATTCCTCTATTTTTTAAACGAGAAAATCCATTTTTAATTGTTCAATTAAGTAATAAAGAGATATTATATTGAAAAGATGGTTTAAAAAGTTGATTTTACACCAGTTTACTTGGCTAGCTGTTCTCAACATTCGTTTCCCATTATATAGTACACTTACTTTAAATCTCAACAGGGCGTTATCTAACATATCTACAGCGAAGGTAACTGTATTGATAGGTCCAGGGAAAGGAGCTATACCATTCCATGTGAGGTTTACCGCCAACCCTGTTTCTGTCTGAATCTCATCCCCTGCGGTAAAACCATAGTCTGGCGGAAAGAAGCAATCAGGTACGTCTGTATCCACAGCATGGAACAGACAACCGCGTTCGGAACACCTCTTTTCGGTTACCTCAATTTGTCCACCGAGACGTTCTGGATAGCAATCAATCCTTTGATTACCATTTCTAAAAAAAATTATAATAAATCATTAAACAAATTGCCAATTAAAAAGTTTCAAAAAATTTAAGTGTAGTGAAATCAACATTTACCTTGGCAGAATGCAAATGTCCCTTTGTAAGCAAAAATAAATTTTAGCGGGAGTACAGTGCATATAGTTTTCGTGGTTACAACTCGGTTGTCATAAAAAAAAGTAACATTTTTCGACTATTGGTGATGTGCGATTTTGTCTGAAAAATATTTGGAACAGAACAGTTACGGCGAATATGTCGTGATATTATTTCTACTGATACTTCCTACTGAAGCTTTGTTATAAATTTCTATACCATCTACTGCGTTAACGTTGTTAACTATGATATCACTTTAAATAAACGGTTACATAAATATAGGTTAAAGTAATTAATGCGGAAATATAAGAATATTGCGTATTTTTCAAAATCAGTTTTCACAATATGTTTTAATTATTTGACATTATTCTTCATTTGTTCACATGCATAGCAAGTCAGTTAATTAGTAATAAGAGTCCTTATAACTATGAGAGTGATATTGTAGCCACACAATTAAAGCTTTTTTCCAAGATAATCTCACCATTTTACAAGTGATTTTGCGCCCGCTACTTAATTAGCATCTGATTATTGTTCTTTGTGTCTGTTGTATTGACATTTTGTACATACATATTATAGTTTTATTTCCTCAAGTAATTGAAATTTGTTTTGTAGTGAAGTAGATTTATAAAGGCTTCATTTTAACAAACATAAATTCAAAGACGTTCAGATAATTAATGTATTTGATTATTTATGATCATTTTTTACGTATTGTATATTTGCAATGAAATAAAAAGACATACTTACAGCCAATTTAATTGAAAATCAGTGTTGAGCGGCAGGCTGATATTCCTTATAATCAGAACCTGAAATGTAAAAACAAACGATAGCAAACAGGAATGAAAACAAATCCAGCGATACAAAGATTTTCAGGAATTTTAAATACGTGATTTTTAAGGATTCTAACATTTGAAATAATTTCAGATAAAACACGTTGTCATTTCTGAGTATTCGTGCTTATTTAAGTCAGCTGATAAATGGAAATACATGTTAATTAATGCAGCTATTTCAATCACTTTGAAACTTGTTTAGAACTCAATATACATAAAGACATGTACTTAGAACTATTTTAATTCGATAGATATACCTGGTTCGAGGCATTGTAATCGAAGTTCGTATGATATTTGTTAGAAGAGGTTATGTGGATGTCATGCACCTGGGTCTTCACACCATACACATGTATCGTGTTCAACACCAGACTATTGGCCCATTTACGCTGTCCATCAGTACTCATTGACAAGCTTTGCTACAAAGAAAATGTATAATTAATTTCTAATGTAAATACTTAGTATCTTGAACTTATCTCCTTAAGAATGAAATTTGTGATTTGTCAGTATAAATCACAGAAATGCAGTGAATATAATATTTTCTTCTTTCTTCAAATCATGCCTGTTTTATTTGTATATTTATTTCAATTTCATTTTTAAGAAAATGTCTCTAGCACGAGATCATTAATCATATAAATAATATACTTGACGAGGATGTTTAATCACAGGCGATGGTATAAAAAGTATGCTTACATTTTCAGCACGAAATTTCATCAAAATGAAGTTACCATTTTCGTATGTGTCTGGAAAGAAAACAAAAGCATGATATACTATTTTGTACCTAGTTGAATAACAGAAACTCCTATTTGCTTATAATGCTTTAACGTAACCCACATGCACTTTTAAGTGTTATTATATTGATAAATACAAGATATAAAAAGAAATGAGAAGACCTACGTCAGAGTTGAAGCGACATTTTCATTTGCTTGTTAATATTCGCAGGTGCTCTCACCAATTGATGTTCCATCGTCCCAGAACAGTTCCCCTTCAGCCGACCCTCCCTCCATGTCAGGTCTGTCTAGGGCAACCAGTAACTTCATTGCGTTCCGTCGACTGTGGGCAAAAAGTCATACGATATCTATTTAAGTACGTGCAATACCAAGGATTTAGAGAAAACTAGTTTGAAACGAATAACAATTTGACAAAATTAATTAAACACGTGCCTGAATGTTGTGTTTCGGGCTGGCTCTTGCATTGGGAGGATGCTCCCGCCACGAACGTGAAGGAATATTGGGGAATTGGCATCTATTGCCAATGTGTTCATCTTCGGTCCTTCTGCAAATTCTCCGTACTGAAGTAAGAAATAAAGGATTAGGTAAACACGTTTGCATTGCAAAGATAAACATCAAACCAGACTTAAAAATTATCAGTGTACAAGTTCAACAATAACTAGCTACTGTAATATCACCTTGTAAAAGTCGTACCATCGACCCTTGGGCACATAATATTTCAGCTCTCTCTGTCCCTGAAAAAACAAAAAGCAACATGTTTTTATTATCATTATTATTATTAGTTCATCACTATATCTTTTAATTGGCACTTCATACATAAAAGCATGCAATGTTTTAGTTCCTTTGAATAGTGGCGCTGTTTAGAATATATACGTGTACATGACTTTTTTTCTGAAATTATCGCCAATATGAAAATTACGAAATTTATTGAGTTATAGTTTTAGTCCACTTATTTATAAATAATGTCACTTTTCCTTCGATAAACCCATTTTCCTTAGTCTCCTCCTAGGTTTCAAAATTCAGGCCCCATCATCACTGCCGAGTCCAATAAGGACGAAAATGCTGCATGGTGCGGTTTCATTATGTTGTACTACTGTATCTAACGCTAAATCTACATCGAAATTTGCTATTTACTTTCGTTGGCTTTGGCTATTACATCAGTGACTAAAACTCTCAATCTAATTCCACTTGTAATTAATGTCATATATGTTGATTTATTATGTGTATTGGTTATTCAGCAGTATCATTAATTGTTATAAACAAACATTCAACTATCTTTTTTGGTATCCTTTAAAGTAACACAATTTTCAGTGGTAATACCGTAAAATCGTTTCGTGGGAGATTTAATTTCGTTCACTCCCCGAGTACTCTCTGAATCCACGTATAATCATGTCAATGAAATGATAAACAGATACAAGGTGAAACGGGTTATAGTGGATCTTGTAAAACTCGTCCATGGAATCAAGCCACAACGAAAACCACGAAATTTGTGCCCTAACGAATACCTATGATTACACAACAGCTGGAATAACTGACTTTATTTTACCTGTTCTAATATTGGTGAAATCAGCAGAGATTTTCCCCACAAGAACTGTCTGTCTATTCCGAGTGCCACGTTATCCGTCGGGAACCTATATGTAACAGTAAAGATCGACGATTAAAATGTCTTTACCATCAACATTCACGGCCTTAACTCTTCTTCATGTAGCTGATACACTTGTGACATTGAGGAATGCTTTATAAAATCATTTGAAATAGCAAAAGTAAAAACAATAATATAATCTCGATATCATTTAGGTCCTAGACTCAAATTGAAATATATTCTTACATATAATGTTCAAATTATGAACATTTGTCACTTTAAATGGATGTACATATCTGCACATTGATTCATGATACGCAATATCATTCCTTTTTGTAATGATCACTGCCAGCGAACATTATTTCGGTTTAACACATTTGAAACGTCTTAGAGTGTTACATTGGTTTAACGTTGTAAAAAGGAATTCTGAAAAATTGTACCTGTGTTTCTATTTCGCCTGTACAGAGTACGATGGAAATGACTACTATGATAGTTAAGTATCACTATTAAGACTCTATCAACATATCGATAATCACGATGAAAGGACTGAATATTTCATAGAAACACTAAACGGTTACCATCCAAGTCTAGGGATTTGTACATGTATACTCTAATCCATACATCTAACAGATTATACAAAATACAAGCAATTGAAAATGCCCGATATGATTATTACACGTAATGTGTACCTTGGTTTATTCTGGAATAACTACACTTACTCGTGATGTATGGGTCTGACGACTGTATCACCGTGCACGTGCGCGTTGTGGAACAAAGTATAAAGATATGGAAGAAGCCAGTAACGTGTTTCTAGGGCTTCACGTGCTGCCTTGGCAACCTCCTCCCCCAGTGCGCCAGGGTCTTGCTCCTAAAATAAAGATTATTTCTTCCATCAGGCAAAAAAAATTATACTTCCATTTTCTTTTGAAATCATCCGATGTAAAATTTCGAACATTTAACCTGTGAAACTCATCAACTAATGTTTTAAGGGTATTTTCGTTGATTTCGTAGGTTCTTTTTATCCATATGTCCACGAACTGTTGAAATCAGTATCAGTACATTGGTGTTTGACTGTAGAATTAATTAAAAGTAATTAATTAATCACGATTTTTTAAACCCGCCAAAATATACTATTTCACAGTATATGGGTATAAGTCTTATTCAAGTCAAAAAAGAAAATGATGTTTTTTTACCATGAAAAATAAGTCCCCCGAATATATGAATATTAGTCTTATTTAAGTAAATTGGAAAGTATGTCTACATGAATTACCACTTGTATGAAACACAAACGTACCACAGTAGAAGTGAGAGTATTATGGTTCCTGGAGAAGGGATAGAACGCGCCAAGCTGCATCCAGCGTTTACATAATTCAACAGTAGTGTCACCAAAGAAACCACATATATCTGCTCCTATCTGTCGACAGAATCAAACAGGTACACATATTGTTAAACACGACACACGTTTCTGTCTGTTTCGTGTAATCATAACATAAAATTAGGCTTCAAATTATGTCACAGCAGTGAAAAACGTCAGAGAATCTATAGCATTTAAACAAAATTACGAATCCTGGCAAAAATCAAACGAGAACAATCAAAGGAAGAGGATTACGATGATAAATCAAAATACTTACATATGGAATTCCAAACAAATTGAACTCCAGCATTCCTGTGGAAATAGTTGAGTACAATTATAAATTTCATATGAATATTTTCTCGACTCTCTCTCTATCTCCCGTATTTTTTTTTCTATTAGATAAATCAATTACATCGTTTTATGTAGGTTCGACTTTCACTGTACTGTATCTTATATCTTATAGATGTGATCCATGTCATTTTATTTATCAGTTTCACCTTCCTGCTTACATGATATATCCTAATAACAATTCTCACCGATGATAGATGATGCCAAACCCGGCCATGCGCTGTCATTGTCCCCTAGCCAATGCCCGACATATTTTCCACTTCCGGGGAACGTGTTCCGAGACAGGACCATACTGCGTTCACCACTTGCCTCCCGTAACGCACTGTATATTTATATTTAGATGCAAGTCATTTGTAATCAACATATTTAACCAACGAAAAACCCAGCAGTTTGAATACCATCTGTTCTTCTCTACCTTAATGTAGAGACAATCTTTATTGTAAGGTACAAGCCAGACTGTTTACATCGTATTACCAATGGAAATCGCATTAAATATACAAAGTAGAATGTTCTTATACCTTATTGCTGATAGAAACCACAATGTAAGGTTCTACAAAGAAGGCCGTGTGGATACCTAATTGCTGAAGGAATCTGAGTTGTAGTACTTTATGAAACAATACTGTAACTGTACCTTATTGTTGGCGGTGACTGACTCCACCCGTATAGACTGTGAACATTATAGTGGAGAATATCATTGTTTTCTCCATGTTTTGCCACCATACAAAGCGTCTTGTTAGACAAACGGGCGGTGGCGTCCTGATAATCATCGCCATCATGGACATAAGCAGCCACTTAAAACGTAAAAGAAGAATGGGAGTTACACTGTAAGTCATTTCATAGATACAGATGTACTTGGAACAAAAGACCTATAACATGATGAAAAAGGATAAGATTTTATATAATAGTTACTGTAAATCTTTGTTGTCTGTTTCGCTATTTTCAAGGATGAAATGTTATCGCGAAAAACAGAAAACAACATAAAAAGGCAGACCTACAAACTGTTTCTTGGTTTTTATTTGCGACGGTAGCACTTATTTCATCAGCGTGACGAAAAGTGAAAATATGACGTTACATGCTACAATTTGAAGCTATAATACACAAAAAATGCCAACTTTAGAATAGGAATATTCTAAATATCAAACATTACCTACAGTCATACCTGCCTTAAAGATCATCTGTTTACTAAGGCCACCTGTAAACAAAGGTCACGTGCCGCCATTCTCTTGAGTGGCCTTTATTCACAGGTGACAATTAAAAAAAATAGAGTTTCTTATGATTGTCTATCATTGAGAACCTTTTCAGCTAACATTTATATAGAGGTGGCCGTTCTAGATAGGTGTCCTATATATAGAGGTGACGATAGGTTTGACTCTATCCACTATCAGTCAACTATATTTTGTATTATCAGAATTCAGAAAAATTATCGCTCTTGGTCTCACTTGTCCGATAGGGCGGGTCATCATATTTGCTCCGAGGACATTTCAGTGACCAGTATGGTTTGGCATTTTCATTCCAGTTGAATGGCCTGTCCTGGTTTGTTCCAAAATTTGCCGGTTCGTTCATGTCCTTTAAAGCACCGGAATAAATAAAAAAAACAAGATAAAAATATATACACTGGCTATATACACATAATCTCTCTGTAGATATAATTACTTAGCTACGTGTCCGAATAAACAGGAAAGCCACTCATTATTTGTCATAAAAAAGTTTGTGTTTCACAACCCTCTACAAGCAAGCCACGAAAGTATTGTGTCTACCAGAATGGAAATATTTCCTTTTTCCTAAGCAAATAGATTAATTATTAAATTCTGATTGCAGCATGATTCATTTCTCTAAAACGAAAATCACCTTATTATATACTCACAATCCACAAACCGTCGAAAATCAACCGTTTTCTATGTTCCATTACAAGAGATCTCCACATCTGTCGTGTTGAATTCTTAAAAAAGTCTGGAAACACAACTTTCCCATTTGGCCATACCTGAAAGCAATACATCATTAAAAGGTATTTTATCAAGAGTATTTTATATGAATAGTGCACATATATAAAGATAGAAACAGAGAGACACAATCGATCATTGCCTAAGATTATTTTGACAAACAATCAGGTTTTTGGCCAAACTGCATAGATACTTTAGTTAATGAATGTCTTTTTCATCTTTTGTGGATTTCTTTACTTTTAATCTCGAGGCTCCAGCAGAAACAATAATATTTCTTATGAATACACTTTAACTGTTACAGCTGATGAAATAATAAAAAAATTCTATAACACGGGCTGTAATAGAAGGTTAGAAATAACGCCTAAGAACTACTAACGTAGCCTAGGATAGCTCCTGTGGTGTCCTTGGTATCGTTCTCGACTCCTCCCTCCCACATTACTCCACCTCTAATCTGACTTAAACGGTCGTATGGTTCATAGCCACTCACATTACTGACGAAGCAAGGATCCTGAAATATAAAGTATCTATAACATATATAACATATATACAGTGTAACACAATCGAAAATCTACTCGTTTGCTGGGTTTAATGTCATGGGGATGCCCATCGTATACAACCCAACGACACAACCAATTTAGAACAAAAAAGGGCGGTTCTCTTCTCAGCTTCCTGCTAAACGCAACCTGTCTCACATTGATTGGCTGACTAAATTACGTGATACCATGATAGAAGCAGCTGAGTTGTTACGGTTTTTTTCTTGACGTGGCTAATCCATTTCAATAAAATGAAGTATTACCATGTCACATAACTGTCTGCAAACGTCAAGATGAAAAGAATCTTAAATCCTCTTTTTCTCGAATTCAAAGAAAACACCTTTGCTTATTGTTGTCATCAGTTAATTGTTATTTGATATGCTAAATACTTACCAACATAATAACTGTTCGCATCCCGCCGTTTCTGAGAGCAGTGAAGGAGTCGTTCAAACCGGCGAACTCCACCTGATTGACAGTGAAATCCTTGGAATTGTTCATGTGATCAATGTCGGCGTATTGGACATCCTGAAATGACAGGTAGACAGAACGTGTTGATGTAAACGGCATTTTAAAATAATATGTTCTAATCAGCTATCGGTAGACATCGGACTTTGCAAAGACTTTCTCCTCATTTATACTTAAAAATTGGGAGAAGAAATACACACAAAAAATATGATCCAGTGAATCGTGTTTGCACAACTTCAATTTGTAACATCTGCATGTGATATAAGAGGGTATTTTAAAGACAAAGGGGAAAATAGGTTTGGTGTCAGGAAAGCGTATGGTAAGTTTCATCAGGCACATCCGCCATGAAAATCTCGGTGAAATTGTAAGTCACGTTTTCAGTTCGAGAACTGTGGCAGCAACAAAGCATGATATCCAGGTATGTTATAATCATTGTACATTTTTCACTGCAGTTTATAGGTTTCTATTAGCCAGAACGGACACGTGTGTCAGAACATTGTAAACGTGATGTTAGCAGACAAAGACTTTTCATCTACAAATGGAATTAAGAAAGGGGAGCAAGCAAGTTGAGATTTCAGATATATTTCAAAACGTTATTGTGATTGTTGATCACATTCGAAATATCAAGATCAAATTGAATGTTTTATTTTATGTTTTTGTTTTATCATTATTGTTGGTCAATCTATGATTAAGAATAATATCAACCTCGGACGCTCGATATTGTTGTTAGTCGGTGCAATAAAACAATAGATTGACCTCATCAACATGTTATAATTGTACATTGTCTTGTGTCACCATATATCAATGATATGGAAATGAGACTCACATGAGGTATCCCATAATCCCGTGTTCTGTTAACGGCAGCCATCATATTCTCTAAACTGTTGTAACCATAGCGACAAAGCTGGAATCCGAGTGACCAATATGGCGGCATGAATGATCGTCCAATTGCCTGAAGTTAATTAGAATTTTACAAAATAAAATCAAAATCTGCAAGCTTGGGGAATAAAAGGGAGGATACTGAATTAAATGTTTATCGAAAACCTTGCAAACCCCTACTCCCAACTTTTATGAAGAAAAATTGGCAGGTGAAAATCTTGAAAACAAAGTGTAGTTGAAAGTGTTTTTCTTAATGATGATTGGGTATCTAATTAACAATGAACTCTGATATATCATTCTCAAAATGGAGGTTTGCAGCGATACCTTTGTGTATTGTTGGACGACGTTTTCCGGGGAGGGTCCTAGAAACATGTAGAAGTCCAGCACGCCACCTATCGTCCGGTACGTCAGCATTGGTAATGGTGTAAATGTATAATCTAGAGACAAAATTGACAAAAAAATAATCCACGTAATTAAAACAATTCTTAGGGGAAGATGGTAGGTCATTATATAGATATGATTCATATCACCCTCACCCACTCCCTTTCCCCCCCCCCCCCCCCCCCCCCCCCCCCCCCCCCCCCCCCCCCCCCCCCCCCCCCCCCCCCCCACCTTTTTTTCCCCCCTCTCTTTTTTTAAAGAGTAAGAAATTTTGGATATCGATTTCTTCCAAATGAATTTACACAAATAACGTGACACGGAATCCGTGTTAGCTGAGAATGTTCCATATCGGAGGTGACGATATGAAGCTAGAGGGTTACACGTACTTTAACAACAACAGCACGTGACCTGAACTGGAATCATGCAATGAAATTTATTGTAATGGCATTTAAATGGTATCCTGGTGCCTGTCGAGTGTCCGAAACAACCTAGAGTTCTTTTAACCAAAGGTATCAGACACAGGGAAACTGATAGGCTCAAAGTAAGCACTACAAACAAAACTGTTTACATAAACTGACAAACTAAGCAATAAAAATTGAACCAGAAACTTCAATATTCTGTAATATGTTCCTAATGTAAGCATACTTGAGATAATGTAACAACTTTCTCTCTGTTTGTACCGACTCTATCATGACAAAGTACAAATGAATAAAAATAAATAAAATGGAAAAAAAGAAATAAAAATAAGTAGATAAATAAATATGTCGGTACAACATAATGCCCCAACACCCCCTTTGTGTGGGGGCACAAAAACCTACACACAACGTCCAAATTAAGGCCGAAATTTATAAACAAGAAAATACCGACATGTCAGCAACATCTAAATAAAACTCGAAATAGATGAAACAACGGTAATATATAAACAAAAGAAATATTTGCACTGAAACCCCCTAACACTTACACAGAGACCAAGTGTTCTAGAAGGATCGCCGTCTTCTGCTTCGACGACAACAGCCAAATGTAAATCTTGGTCAAAATGGCATATTCTCAGTTGAGAACGACCAGAAACGCTAACAACAGCCAACACATCAAACTCTTATCGGACAAAGTAATAACATTTTCAGATGAAGACACGGTAGCAACCACACAATCACAGACTTTTTTTATTCATTTATCATTTATCTATTCATTTATTTGTTTTATTATCATATCAGAATTCCTTAATAAATAAAAGAAATGTTGGAATCAGCCTATCAAAATAAAAAAAAATATATGTACACTTTGCCTGCGTTTGATCTTACCAGACAGCATCTTAACAACAAACACTGGACAACAGATCTGATTTATCAATATCTTAAACAGACTTTATCCCATGAGTCAATCAGCCAGATGTCACAATTCTGGGTTTTTTTTTTTTTTTTTTTTTTGTTAATTACAAGAAGTTTTAACGTTGACCCTGTTACTTTGAATATTGGTCAATAATCATTTCTGTTTGCAAACCATGCTGGGTTTGATCCCAGGAGTCTATCATTCAAATATGTTCCTAGATGTTTCGATTAATCAGAAAAAAAAGACATTTAATATTTGGAACATATTTGACCCCAGTTACCTTTAACATTATTCAATGTCATATCTATTTGCAAAGTTTCGTGTTTCCATCTAAGGATCGACCCAGCCGAATATCACGACTCTTGACCAAGTGGTTCTTGAGAAGAAGTTGTTTACATGGAAAAGTGGACGCCAAACAGACGAACGAGAAACGGACGACAGACGCTACATGCCGGCATAGTCCTGCAGGCTATATGAACTAAACAGGAATTAATCACTAAATCTTGCTATCGATGGTCAAGATGGTTTAACAAAATACCAAACTGACTTGATTTTATTTCAAAATAATTTATGGTGGTATTGATATCTAAATAGCCTTAACTTTCCATGATATATCCCAATACTTGATGGTTTATGCCGTTCTATCGCAGTGCCTACGCAATCGTTAGATATTATACTTCGTTTTTTTTTAAAACCTTGTCCACACATTTCTCATAACTATCACACGTACCCGTAAAACTGGACTGGATAAGGTAAAATACCTGTAATACGCAGGTTGTTGAGCAAAACAAGAAACTTGACGCCGATATTCAGAAAGTTTGAGAACTTGAAGTGAACGATCGATTTTATGACCTAAATAAGATTTCCAATTTAAAAAACCAGGAAGTCTGTCATGTGACTATCTGCAGGGGGGGGGGGGGGGGCTATGAGTCGTAAGGCTCGGGGCTAATAAAGAAAGAAGAAAAGACGTGTGAGGTACAGTTCACGGTACACGCTTCTGTATTAGAATGAAAAATTATTTTTTATTACGGTTTTATGTTGTGTGGTGGTTTATTCATTTATTGTTGTTGTTGTTGTTGTTGTTGTTGTTGTTGTTGTTGTTGTTGTTGTTGTTGTTGTGGTTGTGGTTGTGGTTTATGTGCATGTTTCTCACACACTAGGTCACTCTGAATGTTGATAGAATTTCTAGATGTGAACATTAAAATTAACCAAAAACATAATTAATCATCTGCTCATGAAAATGACACTCATCTCGTATTTTAAAACAAATACGGGTGACTAAGTGCGCGGCACTGAACATCTTGTTTGCCAACTTAATCACCTTTGTTGTTATAAAGACCTCTCTCCTCCTATCTTATATCCACAGGGTGACAGATTATATTAACATAAAATTTTTGTTGGATAAAAATAAAAACCTGCAGCCGTATCATTTGAGATGAGATAGAGAGATCACAAATATCGCCGAGCGTTTGACAATTCCAGAATTTTCATCTCGGATTGAGATCACAGTAACACAGATATCAAAATATTTTCACCAAAAACATACCTTGCGCATTACTGTTGAGAAGCAGAACCCCGTGTGTGTTTCCATCCACCTCTACACACGTGTAGAATGGATGTACACCATACAAGTTGGAATTTTCCTAAAAAGACAGTCTTTTATTAAGTAAAGTAATTCCGCTCAAATGTTTCGATAAATATTCTTTTTAGACTTGCTCTGTCAAAAAAATATAACTCCTTTGGTAACCGCTTGACGTTACAGAAAACTTAAAGAAATTGAAATAACATCCATTAGAGAAAAGCATTTTATGGTTGAATCATTCAAACCTGATATAGATATCGAAGTAGAGTTAAGGCTTAGATATAGACCGGAAGTTACCTTGTGAAATGGAGGCTGATCCCGTGAGAACATTGGCCAGGAGCGATAGTTGAGGTCGTGTCGGAAAGATTTGTGCATATTTTCTCCAAATCCGTACACATTTTCTGAGGGTAATGATGTCGATAGTTGTAGAAACTGGTCCGTCAAGGTCAGGCCACCGACAACTGTGTCAAACCTAATGGAGATAAACCGAGAAATCAAAATTACTCAACTGCATGACAAAAGACAAAAATGGAGGTTCGTTTTAACGATTGTATTTAATCCGAGAAAGTCCAATCCTTATTTGTAGCATTAGTTTGCTACAAAATAATATAACAATATACTAACTGTAAAATAATTTATTTTTGTGGGGATTTATATTCGTGGAATTCATTGGTACCCACGAATTCATATGTCCACGAAATGATAAACAGATAAAAGTTGACATAGTTATAGTATTTAGGATTTTGTGAACAAAAGGTTTGTCTATGAAATCAAGTGCTAACGACGGCGCGTTTTTTAAGGTGGGAGAGGTTGGAATCCTCAAAATTTAAGCCACACAAAAATACCAATTTTACAGTATTTACATGAACATGTCGCGTATAGCGCTTTGAAATTACAATTCTGTCTGAGCCATGATTGAAAGTCGAATGCCCTTTTATGTTACAGTGTCTATTAGATACAATAAACAGTTGTTAGAGCATACTCACAATATAGTCCCGGACGACTTTCGGATGATTTGGAATGCAAAGTTTTCCTTGTCCGTAATCTTCAGTTCATACGCCATTTTGTCGGTTTTCTGATCCGCCATTGTTAGATCAAACGGCACGTGGAATCTGGTTTCAGCTTCATCATCAAACTGTTTAAAACAAGTTCAGCTTGCGGCTTTGATATTATTGAAAACAGCAAAGACGGTAACCATTTCCTTTCTACAATCTGACAGACAGACATTCTAAGCAGCAATTTAATCTTTTGTTACGATTTGTCCAGCATGAGACAATTACTGTTTCAGTTATTGATAGGAAACATAATGTAGAAAACGCGAAAACACTGCTATAAAACTTAAGATTTCCGAACATGGGTCTATTAAAATTATTATGTCCTTATATGGTTTATAAAACGAGAAATTCAATTACACGGCTCTATAACACGAAAAGGTTCTTTACACGGGTCTGTGAAACGAAAGATCCCTTCCATTCTATAAAATGAAAGGGTTCTTTACACGGGTCTGTGAAACGAAAGATCCCTTTCATTCTATAAAATGAAAAGGTTCTTTACACGGGTCTGTGAAACGAAAGATCCCTTTCATTCTATAAAATGAAAGGGTTCTTTACACGGGTCTGTGAAACGAAAGATCCCTTTCATTCTATAAAATGAAAGGGTTCTTTACACGGGTCTGTGAAACGAAAAAAATCTTAACATGGATCGATAAAACAAAAGGGTTCTTTACACGGGTCTGTAAAACGAAAGATTCCTTTACACGAGTTCATAAAACGGAACATTTCCTTACATATAAAGAAAGAGGTGATCGATCTAAGCTTATGGTTAAATACGTACATGAAAGTTACATCGATCTCCGAACTTAGAAACAAGTTAACAAGTTAGTCATCATTACATCAGCGTCTACAGGCAAATTTTTATTTTCAGAGAGAAGTAATTCTGATTTAAAAAACAAAGCTAGATTAATGAAAAGCAACCGTTTCTGCAGTTCATAGTTGGGACAATCAAAGAAAAAAAGGAAGAATTTTCACAAGGGTTTCCATGTGTACACAAAATGAACCATATTTCAAAGAACTACATCGATGACGTAACTTTGTATGAATTGGATTAGGACAGACATCAAAATGAATACACTCTGCTAACTCAATAAGTTATTTATAGCTCGCACCCGTTTGAGCCATATTTCAACGTAATATATTACAGAAAAAGGAACGACAGCGTTAAACATGAGAAGATAACAGGCGGTCTAACACTGTAAGACGACCCGTCAAGATGAAAAAATCTACTGTATTAAAAACAAAAATAAAATTTGATGTTTAATTAAGAATTTATATAAATTTATATGTATATAGTATTTTTCTTTTCCTTTTCAGTTTTCACAATGCTCGGCTGTTAGTAATTTGATCATTGCTTTACCTTGAATCGAAGTAGATTTTCCTCGGTCATCTGAACCTCAAAGTAAGGTTTAATAAATGGCGTACTGTTGAACACGGGAACTCCTTTTTGCTGAAGAAATACCTTCCATCCTAACGAAGTAGTCACTGCATTCCCGTCTACAGAAAACCCGTACTCTTCCCGCACTGGAAATACACATTCAGCTTCCCAGGCTGTGGTTGCAGGAAGAAATTCGCATTTTCTATTTTCACACAAGTCTTTCGTTATCTTAACGACGTTCCCATCACTCTCTGGGATACAGTTGATTCTCTGTGGCAGACGACGAGGCTCCCGCGCTACGGTAGGTTTAGGCCTATTTCCAGTCTCTCGCTTATCCTCCCTCGTTACGAAATAAGCTATGGGTGCTATAATTGCAGCTAAAACTACTAACACAACTGCTATTATAGCTATCCGTTTTTTGCTACAATCCACCATTTTCAGGATTGCACAAACTGTGCACAAACCTCAATTTTTTTTAGTATTTCTTGATCTCAGTGAAGACAACCCAGCGTGTGTTAATGATATAATAGACGAACTGACGCTGTTTTTCACAAAAGACCGAACTTACTCGTAGTCATGTACCATCGTTGATATTATCTTTCAGGTACTGTATATCTTTGAAGTAACTAGCTACAGGAGTATGTTGACCTGCGCCCCAAGCGACTTTCCGAACAGCCAATCACAACAAGAACTGCATATGAATTGGGACAACTCCAAGGATTCCTGCACAATCTAAACAAAAGAACGATATATAAATTTAACATAGTTGTATTTGTTGTACCTGACACCGGGCACACATATGAATGAAGATAACATATGCCGAAGTTTGTATATGAGTAATGAATGTTTTGTTAAAGATATGGCCATCTTGCCCCATTACACTCCTTGAATCCAAATATTATTGTTATTGAAGTTAAAAATATCATATATTTAAAGACTTGGAATAGAAAAGAAAACATATTTATCGATAACCTTTGTTTTTTATCCTCAAGTAAACACTCGGGCACTTCGCATAACCGGATGTGCAATTCTACATAACCGTTTAAAATGTCAATTTATGACGGAAAAAAGGGAATGCAACGATACGTCGGTCAACATAGGAAAGTTACTCACAACTACACTTATATAAAGGGTATTGATATTGGATATGTACACAAAGCTTATTCTGACACCCTACCTAATACGGTGTGATTTCGTTACAGAAAGGTTATTAAATAAGACATGTAAATCCATTTACTGTGTGTAATCTGGACAGTATGCGGTCTAACAGGGTACCAGATTAGACAGGTTTCGTTATGTAGTTTAGACTTACTTCTTACTGTGTCCGTCATGCAAAGCTCTCGTAGTACCACTATTACAGCAACGCTTTAGAGGACCGCGTGTAAACAGATTGTGACAAGAGACACAAATGGACATGTGATGTACGGGACAATTTACGTATTACAGTGTATATCTCACAGATCCGGTAATTTTACATAATTATGTCGTCAGCGCTAACTAAGGACGTTGTTAATGGCCTCTGTATGTACTGTATACGTGTGTGTTTATCGTCACTTGTTTGTGTTTGTAGTATACAAATTGTAGGTGTGTGAGGATGAGAGAGTGTATATATATCTATGTAAACTGTGTGAATCAACGCACGTATACAAAGAATTTAAAAAGTTCTCTACTTCACCCAGACATAGGTGTGTGTGAACCGAGGTCACGTACATATGATAAACAATAAACTCACATCAAAATGCACAATTAATGTTGTGTCTAGTCATACATAGATAACAGTAGGAAATGTTGTTTACCATTTTATTTGTTTACTTCATCGCTTGGTCAACAGCCAAGGTCATTATAGTCGGAGTCTCCTTGTAGCGGCTGATGGCTACCTTCCTGAACAACATACAGGAGGTCCGTCACATACAATCCAGAACGATTTATGAACAAAGAACAAGTACTTGCTTTGACTTTTTTTCTTGTTTTGGTTTTTGTTTGTTTCTCTTTTAACAACTTTTTTTTTCTTTCCAGAAATGATGATACAGATTTTTTTGTAACTAATAATGACAATAGTGTTATGTATTCTTTTATAAGAAATGTAGTACAAGCAGATACAAATGATAGATGTTCTATACAGAAACTAAGACTACATTCATGGCGAAATATTTACTATCAAGGCTTAATACGATTGGTATATTGATCGTATATTCAAACTTTTCACTTAATACGTGTATTTATTTTTAATCACACAATGACTGTGTTTTGTTTATCACCTGCTTGTTGCGCCCTCCCGGATTTACATTAATCAGCTTCATATTTTCATACTAACTTCCTCTACACAACAACAAATTATGTTGTATTACATTACAAAACATTACAGATAATATCATATCATTTTGAACTTTTACATCAATATATCAATATTCATCACGAAGTACTTCTTGCAAAATGAATTTGTCCATGTAACAATTTTGCGTTTATGTCACTAGTGTATACACTGAAACGTTTTTTAATGGCTGTTCCGGTCAGCAATCGATTGCGATGTAATAATATGAACAATGCCGTAACGTCTCTGTTTTTTCTTTTATTTCACCTGTCAAAATATAACCTTTATGAGTTATGTGATAAAAGGGTTTTTTTTTTCATTTCATGAGATTTTATGAAACTCGTCTGGCCAAAGCTCGCAAAAAATCAAAACTTCTAAAAGTAGTTTCATAATACATCATATGAAACGAATTTAAGAGTATATTGCTTATGTAGAGGGGTAGAGGTATATATGGATATAGAATTTCGTTTTAAATGTAACCAAATGAAGAACATTTCCCCCCGGCATTTGGGGTTTCAAATCTTGGAGGGTCGTCAGAGTACAGTATACAATACCAGAATACCAGTGGTAGGCGGATGACAGTGCAGTCATTTGTTAAAAAATAAACAGAATTTATCCCGCCACTGCGGTGACCGTATAGTTGGATGTACATACGGGTTATATCTACCCCGTATGATAAGGATAGTGAACTTCGCGTGACCTTGGTGTACGCTTGAGTTATCCAGGGAAATCTGTCGCAATATCTTAAGGTCCCAGCGAATTCAGTCAAGGTTCGGAGATCTGAGAGTTCATGGGACGAAATACAAGCTTTCGACCATTTCCTCAGGGACAAAAGGTACACGTAATGGGAAATTTGGGTGACATATTTCCAAAATTATAAACTCGTCACTGTTTACAGTGTCCCACAGACTGGCGTGAATGCGAATAGCGACCGAAACTAGCTCTTGTAACTTCCAAAATGACTATATTTGAAATCCGATACTTAAACGATTCAAGCTCAATGTGTTTAATTGAAGATCGATCTCAGGACCCCGCTCGTGCCGGAGAGTGTTTCTTAGGAAGCCGTGATCACGAACCTCCCTGTACTGTACAGTGATTGTGTCTTTGTGAAAGACGCTTTACCCCATTGTTTTGTATACTATGTGACGATCCTCCCGCATGTTGTTCGGTGAGTTACCACCAGACACTACACGAAAACCCGGTCCGAAAATAAGTTCGAATATTCACAAGGCGATAAACCCATTAAACAAACAAGTAGGCCAACTTGGATAACATCCAGTACATTAGAATGTGGGATATTTACGAGATTGACAATACCAATGATATAATTTTGGTTTGGTATACTTTTACAACCGGCCAGAATTTAAAATAATTCAAGACCTATCAAAGAATAGTATCAGAACTTTCAAGCAAAGATAATTTTCCATAATTTTCACCCTGCATACCGTCTCAAACTGCTAAATGTTTTCTTTACCATAACACGACCAGTATTTTATAATCCAGACAGATATTGCTGAGTGAGATTGTCTGCTTATCGGTAGAAACCAGAAAGTGTATAAGGGTCAGAATCCTGGTAGCTAACTAGTAGATTTACAAAACACAATCTTACATTAACGATATCTCCTCGCTAGAGCCGTCGTCCAGGGCTCCATCCAAAAACACAAAGAGGAACAAACGATACCAGGGGCAGAGTACATATCGGTACACAGCACTGATTCAGTTAGCACAGGACTATCATACATTTACTAGGCAGGTGTTACAGCTACTTCTATTTAACAATATCATTACTTATACAACCAGAACGTATGAACGTTCATTACAGATCTTATCTCTAGATTTTACCGGAACGTGTGAAGGAAAAATCATTAGATTTCATATGGGTTTTAAACTAAATAGGTGTGCTCGCATTTATGACACGACTCGCAAGTATCCAAATTGTTTTCAATTCATAATTCAAATTAATGAATAGACTTTTGATCTCTAACTATTAACATGCTTAATTTGTATTTTTTTCACATGATTTGTATTCCAACATTCCAAATAAAGATATCTTAAAGTTGCCTAAATCACACTTCTGTGGGTTCGATTCCGTTTTTTAATGTCCGTCATAGGTTTTCCAAATTAGAAAATGAATCTTTACATCAAGGATAATAAAGTTTTTGATAGTTTGCTGGTCACTAAGCCAACCACTGATAACAAGAAAACACCATTCATTAATTATTTTATTTTCAACAAAACGGCATTAAGTCGATACTTATACCATGTACAGGTTTTTACAAGGAACATTTTACAATATCAATTTCAAAAATGAAAGTTTTCTGCACAAGGACATTATGTTTAAAGTTAATCCTAATTCTACATATGATTAATTAAGAATCGTTCATCTAATTTATCCAGTAAAATATACTGTTCGTGAACCCGAACTTTGTAATGTGCACAGTTTCACCATCTCTTCATTTGGCCCGTCCTGAACCATAAACACGCAGAAACATTCGCTCCGTGTTTTTCAATGCCTTCTCATAAAACTGGCCATTTTCACCCATTGTTAAATTCGCTCTAAAAGAAAAGTCAGTTATTTCAACTTACACTGAAAACTTCCATCTCACCTTTTATTTTGGCCCTATTTACAAGAGGTTAAAACGGTCAAATTTTCCCATATACAGAATCAACTATATGAAAAAAGAAGCCTTTCAATTACCCGAAAATCCCAAATTTCAATATCTTTCACATTTTTTTTAATTTGTGTTACCTGTCCTTCTATTTATAGTTCACAGTTATGCTATGTTGGCTGCCCAACGCTATGATAAAAGTATGTTGGATTGGAAGTACTAAAGAGGAACTGAGGAGATCACAAACTTCGATAAGTAGCCTGGTTCAGTCTGTTGGCACATTCCGATACCAGCAAATTCATCGTATCTCACCATCGTTCGAAACTTCAACTCTATCAGTCAAAAGGAATGTTGCCCTACAGTGGAAAAGGAATGAGACGTTTGTCAGATCATTTAGAGGGAACAGTCACAGCAAGATGACAGGTCAAACATGTAAACAGTTGATGAGATAAGCGATTAGAAGGCGTCAGACGATATGGTATATAGTGTAAGGAAATATATTGATTTTTTCACCAGATAGACCACGATTTTTTCACCAGATTGACCATAACTACACCAATGTAAAATCAAACATTTCCATTTTCTTCCAATACTCTAGATAATGCTCTCAATACATTGGAATGATGCGTGTACAAAGGGGCGTCACTCTGCAATCGCGACAAAGAATTACTTTCGTTGAGATTTTTTATATACATTTATTTTAGAGTGTTCTTGAGAAAACATCAGAATATAGTACATCAGCACCTTATAACTATTATGGATAAAGGTTCAAAATTTCCCATACTTATGTGTTTTGTGAACATTATCATTTGTCCTTGGTCTGTTAAAGAGTTTCAAAAATAGCTTCAACTACTAAAGTTTCGATTAACTTACGGCTTATTAATTGGCTAAAATATCTCTACCTAGAATGAGAGGGAAAACTAATGACTGCAAAATCGACAGTTTTCAAATTTTCATAACCAGTTCAATAAATCAACAAGGAAATTTCGGGTATATACCTGAATTTTAAATGATGAAATCAGTTACTAATGTGTTAAAAAATGACTTTGTATACAAAATACTTCAGGGTCACAGCATTAACCATTGTTTCGGTTTGTTCTTTTGAAGATGATTTTTTTCTTTCTTTCATATTCTTTCCTCTGTTCTTGATGTTAATTAAATGAAATTTGTAAATTCAACAAATAACCTAAATAATAATTAATTGTCAAGTCTTTGTTTCTGATCAGTCCGGTCATCAAAAGAGCACAACTAGGACCCAAAAGAATCTACATATAAAATTTACCATCCAGTATCAGCAAGAAATAGAAACAAGAATCCATACAAACAGACCATGGGCCAGGATTTTGGGCATTTTTTATGATAGTAGGCTAATACTATAAACAGTACAAATATTACTGATTATTAAAATATATCAGTGACTTCTTTATACAAAAACGAAATGATGACATTACATAACATTCGCATTTAAAAAGAAGGCTGAATGCTGAGTCCTGCATACGGACAAAATTCAAGATTATCTCCCTTTATTAAAGCATTGTCCAGTTTGGCCGTTTTTGTTTACTGGTTTGACAAGTAGGACAAGGGCTATTGGTGTATGAAATAAAGACAGACCTTACAATGTTGATTTATTTTCTAATGAACCTAAAACCAATCTTTTAGAGGCATGTACATAAAATGTTGATGACACTGCTTTTCTGTATCAGGGAAAGTTACACACCGCTGAATGACAATGACTAAACTTACTGGAATAAATTTTTTGCACACTATTATTGTTGTATAATATTAAATTAATATCTAGTTCTGAAATAGGATTAAATGTGATTATCAGTTAAAGTGGTTGTCTCTGGATTTCATAAACAATTTAACTGGCAAGAATTAAACTATAATGATTAGTTTCAATTAACAACACAAACAATCTATTTACTTTTTTTTTGTTTGTTTGTATGGAGTTATTTAACTGTCAAGGCCATATGAAAATATTCATAGCAAAGGAGAATTAGTGTTAAGATGAGAGTAAAGAATATGTTTAGGAACATGAGGATTCCTACCATAGAGTAACAAATTCAGATTTTAACAAAAGTACACAAATATTAACAAGCAAAACAAATATATGCAGACAAATGTTTCAAAACACTAAGTTTGAAATACAACTACTGTATACACCTTACCATGTAAACATTAATCAATTTCTACTCTGAGACACTATTGGTCCATGGAATGGATCAAAAATCTTTAATTTGATGACTTTCTCTGGCTTTACAAGAAATGAATCATAAAATTACTTTTATCTCTAAAAGGATGCAGTCAACTTTCCGTAGAGATGCACTTGAATAATTATTTGCATGATATCCAAATAAGCCATCAACTCTACCAACAAATAAACATGGAAATAAATAAATCTCAGAATTTAAACAGACATGCAGCACTTTAGTATTTATTCTTAATAACCCCAGGGAAGATGGGGGTCAACAGGTGGTCTAACAAGACAATTAAACAGCATCTGTTAATATGTCTTCTGAACTGCAGTAAAAACAGCTGGGCTTATTACTATAACTAGTAAGTATTTTTACCCTTGTCATCACAACCACAGAAGGCATTGAGACAATGTAATGACTTCTATCATTGTCTTATCTAATCTATCTAGTACAGTAATTGTGAGATTCATACTCCATCTTCTCCATACAAACTTTGTACAATACATGACTTCAAATGCAAAATAAGTATGCGACTAAACAAAAACATTTAAACTTGGAAAATCATTTTGTATACCTGAGCAAGGATTTTTTCATTTACAGCAATGTTTTGAATGCATAGCGTTGTGAAATTATATCTCAAAATAATCAAAGTTTGTGTTATCCTCCCCAAGTAGTGTATATTACTGGTTTTCCAAAAATTCACCATTTCGTGGCATTGATTTCATGTATAAATATAAATGTCCTTAACTTATTATATCACTTTGTGGACATACAAATTTCTGGATTAAAAGTACCAACAAATCAATGAAAATAAATATACCAAAATTAATTATTTTACATGTGATGTGGCTCGGTATGGACATAGCACTAGTTTATATAACTAAACAATCAAAGTGGTAGCCTGTGTGGTGTATTTCTTTCAGGTGTGTCACAGAGGTAGAGCATTGTAGTCAAATAATCCAACAATCACAGAGTCATACTACTAGTGGTGTGTCCAACTAATCAATCAGTAGCATTGTCACAAAACATCCAGCAGTTTTCAATTTGTCGCAAAAATCCAGCAGTTTTCAATTTGTCACAAAAATCCAGCAGTTTTCAATTTGTCACAAAAAATCCAGCAGTTTTCATTCTGTATCTCCTGATTTGTTTCTCTTGCATCACGTCATGCAGAAAGAGCCACACAGGTAATTCACATCATCAGTCATCAAAGTCTTCAATAATGAACTCCTCCTCTTCCTGAGAAGTTCTGACATTTGATTGGCTATTACTGATGATTTCATCATCATCATCATTATCATCTACAGTCGGCACCACCAATTTTTGGGACGAAGGAGGAGTTTCGTCAAAATCAACATCTTTCTCATCCAACTTTACAGACCTGTAACATTTAATATGATTTTTATCACATGTAAAATATTTTATAAACTGAGGTAGCATGAGGTAGCATGAGGTATGCAAGATATTACTTCTTAAAACTAGAAAAAGTCTGTAAGACATGACTGCAATTGCTCATATGCATAGAAGTATCATTGTTGGACAAATTTGTGGAAATGTCTGAAGTGATCCTTGACCTTCAACCTTAATCATTGACTACCTTAAAAGAATAGAACTTGATCTTAGGTTACTATGAGGTAATATCTCTATCGGGAGGTTCTAAAGATATGACACTGATTTGGAAATTGGACGCGATACAACATGCCAGACATGGCAGGGGTATAAAAAGAAATAAACACATCTCTATATCACAAGTTGGAAGACATTTCATTCAAAGAATACAATCAGGGTAATTAAAAATTTTCTTCTGTCCCTAAAATGGACATTTTCTTTGAAGAAAGTATAATTTGGCATCATGTTTCTTCAAAGTGTTGTCAATTATGGGATTTGAGATTAACACACATCACAAGCTTTTGCATCAAGGCTACAATTTAGATAATGTCAGAGATTGTTACACGCAATGAAAGATGGGCAAATAGATAAGTGATATATGTATGTCTTTTACATTGTACTCACATCAGAACATGTATATAATTGAAAACTCATTTGAAAAGCTGAATCAAATGATGAATTTGATATGATATTGTTTTCTTCACTACTGATTAAATCAGTTACCTTCCAGGTATCTTCAATTTAGAAAATCTGCAAATTTCTTGTAAAAATGAAGCTTGACCTGAAACAAAAACAGTCATCAGCTTTTACTAGAGAAAAAGACTATAAGAGAGAGACTGACTTTCTCTCTGCCATGCCAATCAAAGCCTAAACAGAGAAAAGAGGAAAAACCAGAGAAAGGTTCGTAATGAAGAAATACATGTATATTTTTTTTTTCGTAGGTATAAGGTTTGAATTAGAATTTTATTAGCATGCCCTTTTTCTTGTTGGTGTTTAATTTTAGTTGCTTTTTCTTTCATCCTTACAACAGTCGGGGTCATTTAAAGACAGGTATCCAGAGAGATACCATAGAGTAGAAAATAGTGTACTGAAAGACAAAACAAGGTCAGAAAGAAAGCAAAATATGCAGTCCTTCCAATATCAACTTAGTAGAAGACACGCCAGAAAACCCAACGATTCTGCAAGAGGCCCACATTAAGTCACCTCCAATGGTAATTCAATATAATAAAACCGACCCTTAATTAGACTCTCCAATAAACCATCCTTGCCCCACAATTAGTCATTTCTTACAAAATTCAAATGCTCGTGCATGGGCTGCATGTTGGTAAAGAAAGTATTTTCACAAAGGTAATAAACACTGCATCGACCACAAGTCATCTAAATCCTTCAGTAGTACAAGATATATTGTATATAACTAGCAGGTCCATTATACTCATCTCACCTGGCTGGTGCAGTGTGGTGTTGATGATGGACAGATATGGCAGGATTTCTGTTTGGAGTATTTCTGGCGTCCAGGCATATTCTGGGGGAAGATATATACATTTCATCACATGGTCTTAAGTAAGTATATATGTATCTCTATAAATGAAAGAGTAAATGAGCCAAAACAAAATTATGACTGAATGACAAGGGTAACACTATATGCCCCAACCATGAAATAAGCCAGGGCATACACCTTGGTAATGATAATTAAGTAGGTACAAAACAGTTGATTTTTTTTTGTCTGCAGCATCCTTTATCTAAATACCTTTAAAAAGGCCCCTGGCACTATCACAGTTGTCTCTGGTCTGGAATAAAAAAGGAGAAAATAAAATCTTACATATTTTATACCTAAACATGTCCGTAGATAAAAATGTCAACAATTGCAGAATCCATCAAGTCTTATTTCTCATGAAAATTTATTCTAATAATTCTGTTTTAAATCTATTACAGGCAATCAAAACTTTTCTTTTAATACAGGAGACATGACATTTTCATTGAACACAGACCCTGAAATAAATTTCTCTCAAAAGTGTATTTATCGTGTATTAAAAGAAGTCCAGGGGGCCAAGACATAAACCCTAGTTGTAAGACTTTACATCATTTTCGTAAAGTTTTAGCGAAATCAAAATATTTTTAAAATGTTTACTCTTGCAGACGAAATTGACCGAGGAAGGATATACGACTTAAATACCTGTTTCATTGCAGAATACCACTGAGGTTTGTGTAACGGTTTCCATCCAAGTCCAGACCCTCCTGACGAAAATCTGGCTCTTGCAGAGTTAGCATGAATGATCCCTCTTGTGGCCACTGAGGCTGCATATTGCTGTAACACTGATCTAGACTGTAAAAGACATGTTCATCCGTCAAACATGATCATTTCGTATAAATTAAAGATATCCATTGGAAATGCATATTTGGATGAAAAAATCTAGTAAGGGCATAACTCTTTAAAAATATTATAACACATTCACAACTGCAAAAGCATTTCAGGCAAAAGAATTTGTTGAAAGAGCAAGCACTATTATTCCAGACTAATTGTAATTAGGGGTCTGTATTAGGAATGTCTGTTTATAGCCACTACAGACAGTCCTTTCTGCTGTCTGAAAAGCCTGCATCTCTTCCATCCTATCAAATTCAAAATTGCGGAGTCTTGTACAAAGTTTCTTCTTAGACAAGTACTTTATTTAGTTTCTCATATCTCACATCTATTGTTTAGCTCAAAGTGCAGCAATCTGATAAGCTTACAACCCAGTCCTCAGTGAGATGGTCTGCATCACTTAGATACTGCGATGCCCTTGCCACATCATCCAGGTTCATGAAGAAATCCATGTAGTTCTGATGTAAATAGGCACTGAAGTAATCCCCAGATAAATGGGATTTCTCTACAACATCCTAAACAAAATCAACATAAACATGTAAACAACATTTCTACAAAAGGCATATGTATGAACAGAAGCCAGGAAGGCCTCAGCTACACAGTCAGGCTACCAGGACATTTCAGTCAAATCATCTCCATGGTTGCTAACATTTTCAGCTATGTAGATCACATTTAGGCTTTAAACACATTTCTGGAGGAGCGTACCCCTTTACACTTCTAGATGGGCTTAATGCCATATTTCACTGACAGTTCAATACCAGATACTTAATCCAAGGTGTATTATTTTTTTAAATATGCTAATCTTTTGATCTGTCAGCATCAATAATATTTTATTTTTCCTTACGATTTAGCCTGTTAAATTCTTAATTGATTCTGCATTATTCCAACCAAGGAGAACTGGCTGGGAAAAATGAATGAATTACCTCTGGATTAACAATGAGAGGGTCTCGATGTTGTTCCTGGAGATGAGCGGGCAGTTTCGGTTCATCTGGGTGAGTATTTGGATCATCTCCTGATATGTTAAACATTGATTTCAACAGTTTGTTCACTCTTTCAGAAACACATATTGAATTTACTTGATTTAAAAAAGGCAAAACATTTCACTCTTTATGTTTCAAGTGTACTTCCTGCATATCATTCAGCAGTCAATCATTTCAAGATAACTTAAATCAAAACCACTAAAATAACTCAATACGATGCAAACAAAAGTATATTGTGCCAATCTCACCTCCTAGTTGCATCAAATAATTTTCCCTACACTCTTGACATAACAACAAGAAATACCAATAAATCTATTAAATGTATGACTGCTCCTACGTTGGCCAGGTAAGTTTGAAAATAAACCTCACCACATGGATTTGTAATAATAACCTAGCTCTCTCAACAAACTAGATCATGAATTTTGCTGACATTGTTGTGAACAGTTAATAATGTTTCTCCCATATTAACATCCGAAATTTTAGTAAAAAATATTTGTAATGTCCATAAAATTGTGATAAGTGCTTGGATGACTATGTTCTTTACGAAGCGTATCTGACATAGGACACATAACAAAGAATGGTGATAACACAATGGCATTTGATTTTTTTTCTCACAGAAAGCAGTTTCTTTCTCGTATGTAATAGTATACCAAAAATTGAAATTGTTAACAGGTCTGCAATAAATAATTCTTTCGAAAAACTCCCATTGATTTATCCCAGTTTTCATCAATATTTATGTTTATGATAAATAATTTCTTTTATACTTACGTTTGCAGTAGAGAATTTTGCCCAAAGCTCTGAACAAAAAGAGAGAAGTATCCCGCCCTCCAATAGAAACAAGATCAGAATCTTTCTGGTCAGATGTCTTGGATTTAGCTTTTCCTCTCGATTTTTTCATAGGCTGTTTTCCTTTGACTAGAGCACTTGGTAAGAGATCTTTGGTATCTGAGAAAACCGTTGAACAAGTTTGAGGTAGTTTCATCAAATATACCATCAGACAAGAACAATCAACATAAAGTTACATTAGGAAACTATGATCCTTCTCATGAAATGTTAAAATCATAGAACCAGGTAAAACATGTCCATGTCGAGAGTCACACCAGGTTCGAAAATCAGTCTCAGGAAGGATTGTTCACAGCTCTATCAACTGTGCTGCAGCAGCATGCTTCGTCAGCTGATTTACAGAAACCATGATTATCACTATATACAAACCACATCAACCAACTCCTTTTACAAATATTCCCTCGTGTTTTTCATGAGATTTCCTGAATCTCAACCAAAGATTCTAAATACCACAATCCATGGGATTTTAGCACCAATGTAGCAGAACAGGGATTAACACATTCCTTTGACACTAATATCTCATATAATAAAACCATATAACCTTGTTGAAGTGATAGAAATATATGCCATCAATTAAGAAAAATGTGTTGAAGTTCATGTTTGCTGTTCATCATCCTTAAAAAGTAATCCCATCTATAGAACACTGCTGTACGTAGTTCATTGATAAAAAAACTCAATAAAAAAAACAAAGTCCTTAATAAAATCTACCTTTGAGACAGGCAAACTGTAGAGTATTGATGGCTCCTCTGATGTCCCCAGCACTAGACATAGCAATCGACTCCAGGATGGCATGAGACGGGACAGTAAATTTGTGTACTCCCTTAACAATGAAGAAACAAATTCAATTACACTTCATTTCTATACATACATTTTGGAAGAGTGAAACCTGCCTCAATTTACAGTCGGATAATTCAAGGTGTTGGAGTGTCGAGTTTTATTTGGGTTTTTTTTTCATTACAGAAATTTGGTTAGAAAAAGTAATGATGTTGTAACATAAAATAATGCTAACTGTTTCACAAGGAAACATCATAGGATTCTCAGGTTAGCTGGAAAGAAGTGTTATACAATGGTTAGTAGTTTTAGTTGCAACATAATGTTGCATACAATAATACCTGGTAAGATTATGTCTAGGTTTGTCAACATTATGTTTCATTTCTGTCAATCAAAAAGTTGTTTCCAGATAAAAATGACCACACAATTAAACAGAAAACCTCACAAATAATGTTGAAATTAAAAGCCATTTAAAACTGGATACCTATCAATATTCCAGTTAATTATATCATTAAAAAGTAGGGACATTCAACATATCAACTATAACAAAAATTACCTGTGAAGCTTCCTTTGTGGCAATTCTTGTCAGCACTTTAGTCATACTTGTCAGAGCTATAGGATTGAAACTGAAAATAACAAATCCAATATTTAGTCATCTTACTTCCTAAAATATTGAATCAGGATGAAGGAGGTAAAATGTTGTCCATGTTGTTCTCCTGTCCATAAATGCAATGTTCAATGCCTCTATTCTTTTCAGCAAAATACTGTTATCAGTTTCAAACAAGATAATATGGCAAATCCCCTACCACCACAGGACATAACCAAGGTGAACCAATACCAAAAGTGTGAAGTTCCAGTGACTGAAAGTCTAGGTAGAGCCCAGACAAACTCTAACTTTGATGTAGGTCAAAGATCAAAATGTCAGAGTGAACTACTTCTGATACATGTCACACTGCTTCACCAAGGTGAACCCATATCTTAAGTATAAAACTCGATAGACAAGTAGTGTAGGAGATAGAGCCGAAACAATTTTTTCCTTTGATGAGGGTCAAAGGTCTAAATCTAAGTCAAAATGACCTACTTTTTAAGATGACACACCATCTTATCCAGGTAGATAAATTCCTCAAGTATGAAACTAAAATCACAAATAATGTATGAGATAGAGTACAGACAAAATACTGGACGATGGAAGAAAGACTGGACAGAGAGAAACAACACAAAACTGTAGTTCCCCTTCTTCATTTCCTGGTGGGGGACCTATAGTCAACGTATTATCTAGCATGTGGTGTATAAATTTCCAATTTGATACCATCCTTCAACTGCTATGTAACAAGAAGTCAATTTAGAGACATCAAAATCCTCAAACTAGAAAATGTCTGTAAGAAATGAAGCTGCTAAACTAAGCAATTCATGACGGAAAACCATGTGTCGGGATAGGGCAGACATGGACAGCACTCTGTGTCCCCCGTCGGCCATTCATACTCGTGCCAATATATATAAAGGCCTTGTGTAAAATTTTACAAGTTTTTCAGACAAAGGAAGCTCTCCCGCAAGGTTCATTTGAATTTCATTACACAAATGTTCACCAAAGAAAATTTTCCTGACCTTATAGGAACTGAAAACCTATACATTATTGCCATATCCAGACTGGTACAGCCTACCTAATATTGTCTATGTGTAACTCCTGTTGCAGACTCTTGGGAAACAACAGCCGTTCACAGCTGGACGAGTCCCTACTGGTGGAGTCACTCACAATGAATATCAGTGGACACCTTCCAACCTGGGCATACTTCCTACAATAAAGACAGGTTCACCTATTAAAAGTTAATATGCAAGTTAATTAGATTATTCAAAATTGTGTTCACTTAGACATATGTCTATTTAGTTATTGACATCTATTGACTAGTGGCCAGAGGCATACTGTTGTTAACTGATCTATACATGGTCAATGTTATCAATTCATTCCCTGATTACATAAATTTTCATCTAAGTTCTATCCAAGCAGTTCGCATGAAGGTCAGTGTATACTAATCTGGTGGAAAACCCTGTTTATCTATTGTGTAAAATTACTTAATCAACAGTTTCATAATATTTTGGTATAAATAGACCTCTCTTGGTCTACCAGATGAGAAGAGCGGAGGCCAGACAGGAGAGAGGCTAGTCTCCAATGGTGGGATGCCAACTCTCTCAAGGTTTTTGCATGAACTGGTTGTAAATACATGGGTGTACTTTTTAAATATTCTACAATAAACATCAAAAACCATGAAATAGGAATACATAGATTCATCATCAGATGTTGCTTCATCAAGCTGTTAATCAGTCAACATCTGGCAGTAAGTCTGCCTATAAGCCAATCCAGGTCTCTCCTGGTGAGCTAAAAATGGTAACAATTGATATTTCATTCTCCTGAAGTCATAGCCCACCCTCTACCATATTTTTGTGCTCCCCTCCCCTGCTGACTTTCTGGGACTTTTCTGGTAATTCTTGTAGCACAGACATAACCCCTGGTAGTTACTATATTTCATGGATTATATAACCATATATTCAAACAAGTATACATAAGAAATTAAATTTTTTCAACATCTGTTGGACAATTGCCATTCAAAAACATGATCGTAATCGTATCAATTTACCTGAGCGTGTCATGAAAGGCAGAGGCATCCCTATAAAACACATTGGGGAATTCCTACAACAAAAAGTCCACCATGATGAAATGTACGACATAGTAACAATGTACAATCACATTGCAACAATCAGGCATCAACTGAAAATTTATTAAAAATATTTTCAATGACAACATTATCTGAATGAATGTTCACGATTTTTCTTTCAAACCAATTTTGAACACAATAGATACAAATGCAAGAAGTTTGCTAAATCAATTATACAATTACCTGGTACCTAACATAAGATGACATGAGAGGGGCTGCCTGCATTCAGTTTATCATTAATTAATTAGCTGGCAGCAGATATTGTGCACCAATTGTTTTTACATAAGGCACATACAAATATAACCAGTTTCTATTACATCTATAATGTGATAATGATTTTCAATCTAAAAAAAAGAACTTCATTTTAATTTAAAAGTCCAAGACCCATCAACTTTAATTATCGAAAAAGTATAAACAATAAATATACTGTTCTTTTCCTCATAAAAAGTTTGGGAATAAATCAACTCCGTTAAATATACCTCTACTAAGATAACTTTCTTCTCTGTGTTTCCATCACCAAATATGTCAAGTTTATTATACTTGTTGGCACGGAGAAGGAAGTGCTGGAATTGGGTCAGCTGTGACTCTGTCTGTATATCATTATACTCATAAGGGCCTAAAAAAACATATGTATAAAAACAAGCTATAGATTTTTACTTACTCTAACAATACACACCTTACCAGTTCAGTTGTAATCACTCTATAAGTTCAATCTAACAAATATTAGATTTTTTCAAATGATTATATAAGATGAAAGAAAATTTTAAAATACATCTTGAAAATATTTGCTTCTAAAAAAAAAAACATTTAGAATGTTCGGCAAAGTAATTTTCACATTCTTTGTTTGAGTGTTGACAATAGACTTGAAACTTAATCAATATAAGTGCTAATAGTGTTCTGAAAGGACTTTGTAGTTCAGTAATAAATATAGTAAAGTTCATATTCTAAGATCTAAACATGTATTTCAAAGTTTCTTTTTCAAATTTTATGTCCTAAAAGCAATCCCAACAAAGTTTAATTTGAAATAAGGTGTTCCTGACAATTGCTATGCTAAACTTGTCTTTCTAAAACATCATTTCCTTAAATACCTGCATCAAATTCATCCCTTTTCTTCCAAACTCTGTCAGATCCCACAGGGTTGGACCATTCTTGGACATCACATTTGTGTTCTCGACATAAAACCTTGACCGTTGCAGTCTTCCCTGTTCCTGCTTGACCAGTCAGAATCAAAATAGGAGGCAGCTGGAGAGACAAACGAACAAGTGTGTAAGTAATGAAAAGACACAATATCAAACTTGGAACAAGTTGTCACATTTGTCAACCTCTTCTCCTTTTACATTTTACAAGTCTGAAGAAATGACCAGTGGCATCATTAAGACAAATATAACCCATATAGCAGTTTTAACTTCCAGTTATGGACAAAACAAATCTCACTAGACAAGCATAATTATCCCACAATAAGCTTAAGGACCAATCACATTTCAACTCGCTCAAAGTCAGGGAGTGGGCTTATTACAAGACAACGAAACAGTTTCCCAGGATGGGAATACCTTTTTACTTTGACACAAAGTCAGGGAGTGGGCTCAATACAGGAATGAAATAGCATGGGTTTGTATTTTTACTGAACATCACCATATAGTAGCAAACATATCAGAAATGGTTTTATTGTTGAAAAGTACAATAATACATTACATATGGGTGGAATCACTTAAAAAATATCAATTTCCTTACAAGACAATTAAAAAATATTATACCTTTGTCTGTGACTTTAGATGTGTTTGAATCCATGTTTCTAAATCACCAATTTTCTTTTTATGTACAGCCAGATCACCCTGAATTTAAAACAAATGCTGATTTCCTTCATTTTCAACAACTTTAGTTATTTTTGGTAAAGGCCAGTTTATTCATTTATTTTCTCTAAATGTTCAAATTTTCATGGCTTAAGCAAACATTCAAAGCAAAGAAGATGTATTTTCCACAGGAATCATAATCAAGGGACAATGGTTCTCTTAATTCTGTTTTCATCAAAAGACATTTTTTTATCCTTGAAATTAGCTGAAGAAGAAAATGAATTAAAAATAATGTTTACAGTCCATCACTCTTTATTTACATTTAAAATATTGACATATATTTACATGTCATTTGCACAGCAATGCCACTAAATCAACTGAACAGAAATATGTGATGCCAAGCATGTGACCATTATGACATGAGTATTACAGGGATAGATATGGTGACAGTTTGCCACCAAAATGACTGTTTGACTTGACTGAATACATTGTTGATACTGATTAATTTATTTCAGTTTAAATCAATGCTTTATCCACATATTCATTATCTGTGAATCTATAAACATTTAAAGATTTAATATCAATATTTAGTATTGCTGAATTTTTAAAGCATTTTTCCCCCAACAAAATCATGCCCAAATCCACATATTAGCTCCATAAAAGTACTTTATTTGACTGGTTATCAGTATCAAACAAACCTGATTTTTAGGAGCATATTTATCTGACCACAACTCAGATTCATAAGCTGGTCTTTTCTTCCCGGACAACCAACACCGATCACCTGATGAAGAAACTAGTCCACTGTTAGTCTGTGCAGTAGTTTTGGTAGTTTTTGACTGGTCAGCTTTGTCTGTAATACTGGCAGAAGATGACTTAGGCACTTTTAGGATGGATTGACTAGAACTTGTGGATGACACTCGCTTGGATGCAGGCTTGGCATCAAATCCTTCAAAGGCATCAAAATCACCAAAGGATGATGTAACCCATTTGGCTGAATTCTGTTGGAAAAAAATGAAGAACATTTATACATAAAATATAAACATCTGGAAATATTACAACAGTTTTCCAGTCATTGCAGTAAATTACACTATTTAGGTTTACTTGTACACTTCCCTGAAACAAGTTGCATTTATGGTATGTGGAAAAAATAGTGGAAAATATATCTCCGATCAGTGCCAAGACAGGAACCAAAAACGGTTTTCTAATAAATCCATGGCTCTACCAACAGAATTGCACCAAAGAAGCATTATATGTCAGCTAAATTCTTAACACTATGCAATAACAAAATGACTCGTGCCTAATTATTGAGTTCATGTATTTGATGCCATCTAATAGTCATCATGCTTCAATGAGTACATTATTCCCACGTTCAACCACCTTCTTTGGTTATATTCAAATGACACCAAAGATGGAGATATGCTAGGGCAGGATTGACTGAAATACAGAATATCTTTGAACAGGCTACAACAATGGCTAACTGGTCATTAGCAGATGATGTTATTATGTTCTTCTCCAAATACTTCAAAACAGATGATTTTCAATATCTCATGGATTAGTTGTCATTTTTATCATTCATATTTGATCTATAGCCTTAATTGGCTTAGCTTCAGGAACAAGTGTGCATCATATCTCAAAATCATTGCTTCAAATAAAAGCTGTCTCATATTGAAAGTGATACTCAGCACAAGGTAGGATTTCATACTAAGTATTATGTTTTTGATAAAACAATCACCAAAGGATGTACTTAAGTTCTTATAGAAATTTTAAGCTTCAATTCACCATATAGAAACAAGCATGTGATATCTTCTTTGTGGAAATTCTACATCAATCTAGCTAGATCTATTCACAAACATTAGATCAACCATGGTTTAGCAACTACAGCGTTGCTTCTTATTAGCCAAACAGTGAGAAATATTTGTGCATATTTATAAAAAGGGAACAAGTCTAACAAAAGAATAGAATTCTGATCCCAGCAGAATAGCATAGACCTCTATATTTACCCAATACTTTTCGTAAAGTCTATGATCAAGCTAGCGACTGAGTTTAGTTTTTCCTCATGAGCTATATTTATATATTCTAATTTCATATTGGCAAGGAACATTTGAAAGTCATTAGAAAGATTTCAGAAAAGGTACACAACAGCCAGAAGAATACCAACTTATGCAGGGTATCTCTTTCATCTAAATATTTACATTTATGCAGAAAATGCCAATAGGTGAAACTTGTCAAGCGTTAAAATACATGTTTTAATACATTTAATTCCACCTGAAGTAAAGGGGAGTAACTCTGATAAAACAAAATGCACTTTCTAACTTACAAAGCTCTAATATATAACAGAAACAACATGTTCACCTTGCAGCTTATAGATTGAAGAAATGTTTTATTCCGTTTTCTTTTCTTGTCAGTTTTCTGTGTTGATGAGTCTGGTGATGATGTGAGGTCAATTATCGAATTATTGCTGTCTTCATTTTCAGCAAAACTCTTTGAAACATCTCTTTTCATTTCAAACTGACTCTGAAAAAGTGACATTAATAAATGTTACATGGTGAAAAAAGAGTATTTCTTTGTCTCATACAGCAGAATATAACACGGTACATATGTGTAATGAAAGTAAACTGTCATATTTCCATTCTTCACATGAAATAATCATGATCAGTTAAGACATTTTGTAGTAAGCAAATACTACATTGTTTATATTCGGACATTATAACACAAGTTTAGAAATACTTTATATCTAACTACAGACCAAATGACCAGGTTTTGTAGCATAGTTGTGTAAAAATTAAAAAAAAAATAAATGAAATATTTGCCATCCGATAGTGGCGATACAAAACATGTTCACAGGTTCCAGCCTCATCTGTCAATAATCATACTTATATGGAACGTAACGTACCATTTTTAAACCTCTGGATTATTTTATTGTATACCATTTCATCAGAAGTAACTGTCATTCCTCATTTTCAAAAGTAAATATAACCTATGCTACATCTAAATTTGTATTTTCATTTCTGCGTAAGTCCACGAGTTTTAAACCAGCCGCCATGTTTGAAGATCACAGGAAATCGCTTAAACTAATGAAAAATAAATATACAATTAAAGTTTAACAACAATAGATATCATAATGTTACTACAATTTGCCCTATTTTTTAACAAAATGATATGAAACAATATATTTTGCATCGAGTTTGAAATAAATAAATAACTCAAATCCTATTTTTATTTGTTAATGCCTGAGCGACTTGACAGTCTCTGACTGGTAAGCTGTTACTGATTCTTCAATGTCATGTTTTTTTTCGGCATGCTGATGTTAAGATCTGTCAAATCCATGTTACTAGCCTAAACCAATACAATACATCTGTCATACATTAACAATTGATTATGGCCCATGTATTTGAAAGATTAACTATAAATTCTAAACCTCGCCCTAGACTTTTACAGTGCATGTCTTAAATTTATTTGTCCTTTCATACACTATCATCTAAAGTCTAATTCGGAAAAATACCCTAAACCAAATATGAAAATGATTATTTGTTTTGACCCTGTAGCATAAGTTTTGGTTTAATTTCAGGTCATATTGGCATTCAAAGTTTGTCAACTCGAAAGACCATGCTAAGGAACTTAAATGTGTGCAGTTCCATTCCAAGAAGAGTTTGGATCAAACCACTTGGTTATGGATCAGCATGCATATCAACTCTCAGTGGATGTAGTAATTACAGCAGGACAGCTGTCGTGTCATCCGTGCAGAAAAAAACATTATCACAGTATGCAATCAATAGTAGTAATCAATTGGTGAAAGGATTATCAAAGAACAATGTCAACTTTGATCGAAATCCGAAAATTTTACCTTCAAATTGTATATTATTGCAGAGATGTCTTGCACCAGCAGCAACAAGCCCATATTTGAAACACTTTCATGAGGATAGAAAAACAACAGCCTTGACCGTGCTGGGCAGCCTTAAGGAACTGAAAACCTCACCTATTCCTGCTCTTGTGTTGGGATTCTCTGGTCTTATTCCTTTTGTGGCAGCCCCAATGTACATTGTTACGAGTCAGTTGTTTTTGCCCGACATAGCTTTTGCTCAGGTGGTATATGGTGCCACTATCTTATCTTTCTTAGGAGGCGTACGATGGGGTATGACCATTCCAGAAAATGGTATTCTACGGCCCAATTGGTTCAATTTGACTTACAGTGTCACTCCGTCCCTAGTAGCATGGGCTGGAGTTCTTATGCCAAGTCCATTTTCTTCATTGACACTTATGCTTGGCCTAGCTGGAGCTTGCTATATGGACATGGTATCTTATGGTTATCCCCCATGGTTTAAAGGCCTCAGATTTACTCTAACTTTTGTAGCCATTCTCTCTTTGTGGACAACACTTATGTGTAGCCTGTTAATGGATACTGATCCAAAGAAACAAGAAAAGAAAGCAGAATAGAAATTATCAGTTCCCAACAATGTAGCATTTTTAATGAAAAATGTTGTTAAAATTATATGAAATTTTGACTATATCTTTGCTTTTCTTATCATTGAAAGCATGCTAGCATTCACAGACTTGCAGTTTTTGTAACATTGCATGAAATATTTGTTCTATTTATTTGGCAAAAAGTAAATGAAAGCTCAAAGGTTCAATATAAGCTGACACCATATATTTCTTGGTCTTCAGTATCAGTGGAATTACCAACAAATGTGTTTTCTTTCCCCTGTAATAAGCGCCTCTGTTATCCAAGGCCATACAACTAACAAAATTGATAGCTTTTTTCTATCCTGTGGTAAGCATCATATGAATCAGTTATTGTATATATATTCATCAGAAATGATTTTGATTTTTTTTTAAACTATCATCATCCTTATCATTATGTCATATCTTCTATACTGTAAAATCATACATTTTCATGAGACTTGATTTTTACAGTTTTTCAAAAATTACTATTTTGTGGACAGTTGATTTACGTGGATAAATATAGTGTAATAACTTTACTTGTACTTGATTTATCAGTTTGTATGAATGTGTGGATTGAGAGTAACCATGAAATAAAAGGAAATAAATCCACCTAAAAAATGAGTGATTTTACAGTATTTGAATAGAGAAAGATGAGAAACAAAGAAGTAGTGATTTCAGTTTATTGTCGTACATCGCCATAATCATATAAAATAACAAAATATTACCACACACTTTATAGAATTCAATCATGAATGAAATGAATACTCTCAACTACTTGACACAGGGATTTGGCACAAATTCTTGACCCACAGTTCACATATGTATTATAGTGCCTTTCCTGCCAAATCCATGTGGTTCTGCATGGACAAATTATTGTAGACATATACAAAGTCTACAGCATTACAGAACTGGATCAATAAAAATCCACATCACAGTTTCCAATATATTCAAATCAATTTGGATCATAATAGATCAGTAATTTTTGGGATACAAATATTTGCATCCTGGACTCCTACTTTTCCTGTGGGAATCAAATTTTTGGAACCTGCTTTGTAACTGGTCTCATCAAAACTTTTGAAACAGTGCTCTGGACTTACCAGAAAAAATCCTACAAAAATTACTGATAGATTCACATCAAATGAGCTTTCAAATGGTTAAACCAAGCAAAAATACATGATAATGTTTTTACCTCAGATTTCAAATAAATTATTGGTGTGGCATTAAAACAATCAAAATATCCAATGATATTTATTCTAGTACTCGTTTGATCTTTCCTTGTAACAATACTGTGGGATCAAAATTGGTAACATGATTTATCAGTACTTCATTAAAAAAGCCTGAAAACACTAGTTCTTGATCTTGATCTACAATATCAATGTCTGCTATCCAGAAGATCTTGTATACAGTCATTACATTTAGTACTACAATAAAAAGGTCTACACATCAGCCCTTCTATTAACCTTTATAAGGTCTATCAAGCTCTGACATATATATCTCTGAACTGTTCAACCTGGAGCACTTATCACTGATTAAAACAATAGATATTTGGTGCCACATTTTGATTACCTGGTATCCTCATAGTCAGGTTTAACATTTTTTATTCTTTAAGGATAACTGTATATTAGATATATTATTGGAGAACTTTTGGTATTTGAAGAAAATAAACAGATCACTGTATAGTATACATTTTGAACAAATCAACGACTATTTTTGAAATACATATAGGTAAAGTTCCCCAAATAATGGTCTCCAAATGATTCTTTGCTTTTTAATTTTCAATTGAAACCTCATTAATGTCTTTTAATAGGACCTATAGCTAGCCACAACAGATATATATTGATCATTTTGGCTTTTACAGGACCATGTAGACATGTCTATATGATTGTGTTAAGAAATAATTATTTAGTCCTCATGATAAATATTTGTATGCACCAACAGCATGATTTTAATTCTTTTCAAAATACGTGAAACACCGGGAAAATGGAAAATAATTAATACTGATTTATTATGAGGAGTAAAATTGTCTTCATTAATATGATAAATGAGTTGAGGTAACAAATGTAGATGTAGTAGAGGTAATTAATAACATATTCTGAATTTACTGTAAAATAATCAATTCTATGGGGGATTTATTTTTGTTGAATTCATCAGTACTCTATGTACAAAAATTCATATGTCCACAAAAAGATGAACAGATAAAAGTTGTTATAGAAAAAGTCAAAAAGGTTTTCAAAAAATTCACACTTCACACTTTTTCAATAATCTAATGAGGTCAAATATATGGCCAACAGTACCCAGTAAACATATCACTAGGATTTTATAAGAAGGCCAGAGGGCCAAGAAAATTGATAAGGCAAAGACATATAAAGTTGTGTAGATGTTAATTACATATAAATTATGTAGCAAATCAGGTAAAACATTATAATTGATAATTCTTTTGTCACTACCTTATATTAGGTTTTTTTTTTTTTTTTTTGGTCATCTGATATGATGGAGGTCAATACTGCCATAAGTCTTGGTAATCAGATGACAAAATTTTGATCTCTTCCTTTCAATACCAAAAAAAAAAAAAATACATGACTACAAGTATATAATGAATGATTTCATTTGTAATACCTCTTACATTTGGTCATTTGGTTACTATGTCAGCTTTGAAGGAGAATACTGACAGAAATGTGCTTCACAGCAGCATATGAAGGCTGACCATTTCTTTGAAACACTAAACATACTGGCATTAGCTTTATTTCACTCTACCCTTCACCAAAGATTTACCATACTTTCAATCCCAGTCTGAGTTTGTTATGTCTTTAATCAATTTACTGGCTATACTTTTACAAAAACAGATTATTTGGTCATCAACTTTCAGAACTAAGGTCAACTATAACTTTGACTGCTTCTGCAGCTGTCCAGGTCGTTGGTACATAGTAACAACAGCAGCACCACCAATGCCGAAGTTATGCTGGAGTGCGACTTTCGCTCCGTCAACTTGTTTGAGCTTGGCTGTCCCACGCAATTGTGACACTAACTCTGCACACTGTGCCAGACCTGAAATGAAACAAAACAAATAATAATAAAAAAAATGGCCTCAGGTTGTTAAAAATGACATGACAAGGTATTGAATCAGCAAGCTCAACCCAAACTCTTACATATATAATTGTGTTTTCAAAAATGAGGAAGGGATCATAACTATATACATTGTACAATATTTTCTTATATCATAAGTAACAATTGACATGCATGTGACTTTTATGCCATTTGCTAAATGACCAACAAAAATGTGTATCACTACACAGGTAACTATGGGTGATAAAGAACTGCCTAATTTTAAGAGTGCAAAATTTACAAAGGGCTATAACTCTGTTATTCATGGGGTATGAGACCAAGTTTTAGTAATCAACACTTTCAAAGTTGTAAGGAATGAAGTATGAGAGATAAGATGCCAAATTATCTAACATGTACAAGTACAAAGTTAATGCAATGTAAACCTTCAGTCAAGCTAATCAAACCTATGTATTATTTACTAAAATTGATCTTTTACTGCAAACAAATGTATAAGATTCGTTCTCAAGACATCAATATTGCAAATGTTTTGGACACTGAATTTTTTTATGACATCTTACTATGCATAGTCATATCCCCCCCACCCCCACTCCTCTCTAAAGATTATTTCAGGCCTCACCTTGGCCATAACATCAATCTGTCTACCATAATATGCTATGCACATATGGATTACAGGAAGCCCTTTTTGTATCATCTCTTGGCAAGGAATTGATTCATTAACTCTTCAATCTCAATACTGAACAAATTGCTAAATACCCTGAATGAATTGTACACACGATCTGAATAAAGTATGATAAGGAACAAAATATAGGTCCTTAATTTACTAACAAAGCCATGCCAATTATCTCTTTGTTTTAGTCTAGACAGAAATTAAGAAACAATTGATAACTGTAAAGAAGATGGAATCAAATATGCAAATACCTGTTGCTCCTATGGGATGACCTTTTGACTCAAGTCCTCCTGAAGGGTTTACAACCCATTTTCCAGCAAGTTTGCAGATTTCTCCTCCATTTTTGTTCTTAACCCATTTTCCATCACGAATCAGGTCTACGCCTCTTCCCTCCTTTGATAACTGAAGAGCTTCATACATGAAGAGCTCGTTACACGAGAAGCAATCATGGACCTCGAGCACATCCACATCCTCCGGAGTCAACCCAGAGTCCTGATAGCAGCGTCTAGCAGCCTCCTTGGCCATACCATAACCAGAGAGATCTTGGAAACTCTGACCAAAAGATGACTTCATGTCAGTGACCATATGTTGTGCAATGATTTCCACAGCATGGTGCTGGAGGTTATTTGCCACCACAAAATCCTCATTACACACAATGGCTGCTGCACCACCATCAGCAGTCGGAGCCGACATCCAAAAAGTGATTGGATCACAGAGAGGTATCTTTGTTTTAATGTCCTCGCGTGGAATAACTCTCTGTAGTGCTGCCTTGGGGTTGTTCAAACTCTGTTTGTGGTTCTTGTAAGATATTTCCACCATATCATCTAAAGTGGCATAAGGATATTTCTGCAGGTATTCTCGAGCAGCATATGCATACAATTTAACGACGTCTGATGTCATCTGATTCAGACGTGGCTGTATAAGACCTGGCTCAGCCCCAATTTCCACCATGTGATCCATATGACGCTTGACTGGTGATGTCCGGTCAGTGTACTTTTCTGATAGACCTCTTTCCATCTTTTCAAAACCTGCATCATGCAAAATTATTTTAACATCAATCAATGAAATAACATGTCTTTTTCAAAAACAGTCAATAATTAAACCAACTCTGGTTCAAATTGTGTCATTTAAAAAAGAATGTTGATTCAAAGAACAGATTTTTAAAAGTTGTAAAAATCTACTTATATCAATACTTGTGAGGTAAATGTGTAATTGGCATCAAATTTTCTTTCAACAATTTTAGATTTGTCTCGCATCAGGAACTGTCCAATCATAACATTTGCCAGACATCACAAAACTGAGAAACGGAAAGTACCAAGAGCCATGACGCAGTCCTCCATTCCACTCTGGACCATACGCCTTGCCAACATCAGAGCACTGGATCCTGAGGAACAGTTGTTATTGACATTGAAGATTGGGACACCACTGAGTCCGAGGTTGTACACAGCTCGCTGACCACTGGTTGGTTCTCCGTAACAGTAACTGGCAACCACAGCTTTAACATTACTGTATGGCAGTCCTGCATCCTTCAAAGCTTCTTCACCTGATAAATCAAGTGTAAATCCCTTCAGATAGTTATAACTGTTCTTATTAATTAAGTTTTATACAAGTCATGGGGTATAAAGCTAATCCTTTCATGTCTTCAATGGATGATAATTGGTTCCTAGAACCTCATTTAAATACCCAAAGGTATGCAGATGCTTGATAGGAAAATTACATTTGTTTTTATGGATCAATCACGATAGGTGATAGGGAATGGTTTATAACTTTATCTTGAGTTGGTCAACCAGTTTTTCCCATGAAAGTTTGTACAATACAACACAAGAGAACCTAGAGGGATCTGAGCACCACCATTGTTTGATCTTTATAAGTTGGACTTTTCCCTTCTTTTCTCTGTATCTGCTCCTTTGCAAAAATAGGGATGATAATCTTTACCTGCCAAATCCAAAATGGACAACTGGAAGCCATTTTGTTTCTTCTGATCAGTCCCAAACTCTAACAGGTACAACTAGGGACCTAAAGGAACCTGTCCATGAAATTTCAGAAAGATCTATTGAGTAAGTGTCAAGAAATACTGATAACAAACTTTTACTTTACTTCTCAAGTTACTTTACTTCTCAAGAAATAGCAATAACAATCTTATAAATCAAAATCAAAGATGACCCCTTTCAGCCATTATGTTTTTCTGATCAGATCCAAAATTCCATAAGCACAACTAAGGACTAAAGGGAACCTACATATGAAATTTGAGAAAGGTCTATATAATAGTTGTCAAGAAATAGTGATAATAAACTTTCAAAGTCAAAATCAAAGATGGCCCTCTGTCAGCCATTTCATTTTTCTGATAAGTTCCCAAGTTGACATAGGCACAACAAGAGACCAAGGAGAACCTACATATGAAATTTGAGAGAGATCCATCTCTTCCTTTTCAAGCAATAATAAACTTCATTGAAAAAATCCAAGATGGCTGCCTGTCAGTCATTTCCTATTTTTGATCAGTCCTAAAAGTAAATGAGCACAAATAGGGTCCAAGGAAAACATACATATGCAATTTGAGAAGGTTTCCATCCAGTACTTATCAAGAAATAGCAATAAAAAATCAGTCATAAAATGCAACAGATCTACAAATATTAATATAAGCCCGGAAAGACATAACTGAAGTTCATCAGAAAGTAAAATAAAATCATTAAGAACAACCCTTGTTCAACTGATCAAACAATAAAATGAAAGTAGCCCATTAATTTCTACATTCTAGTCTCAATTATTCTGACGTTTTATCAATTTTCTAACATCTGTGGGAGAAAATATATAAATTCATCAGAAGGTCTGAATAGTTTGGACCAGATATACATGTACAAAACATGAAAATAGAGTTCTTTTGAATATGCATTGTGGTTCTTTACCTGCTTCCTTGCCCATATCTGGATAATCCCATGCTTTAGTCAATGGCTTTTCAAACTTTGTAACCCCAACACCAACCACAAATGTTCTCATCTTGTTGCGGAGTAAACTCATTGCCATTTCACAAGCTAGAACTTTTAAAGAATAAACCTGTGAAAAATGACACATGTACATCAATGGATCTGATAAATGCACCACAAAAACAACTTTATCAGGTTATTTTTTTGTCTCTGAATTTTGTATTTCATTATGTTAATGACACCTCTCTGTAAAAATATGTGAGAGTTTGGACAGAATAATGTTTTAACATGTTACATATATGTGTTACTGATGAGCTATGAAAGCAAGGGCACATTTCATCTGTCTGATACTTATGTGCATGTCACCTATATGCAATGTTTGTTACTAGTATGTGTGTTTATGAACATTTTAGTATTGTTATTTGTACTGGAGATAATAAGATGTTCAAATATCATAGGCTTTGAAACTGTTTTCAAAAAATGTACTTACAGGCATTAATTTGAAAAAATACTTATCCTCCTGACACAATATTTTAACAAAGGACAATGATTCTATAATTAAAGGGATTAAATGGTTAGATATTCATTTCATAAATGGTAAAAGCACTTTAACATTCAAATATCTGATAAAAATTGTGTATTTTCTGTTAATTATGATATTTTAAAGTTTGCATAACCATTTTATTACAACATCAAAAAGTTAAAATAAAATAGGAGCGACCCAACACTAATTCATATCATTATCATTCAGAGATTGTCAACAATGACTTTGGGCATGCAATTTTTGATTCAGATTAATTCAAATTCATTTATCTTGCTCTGTCACACAAATAGCATGAATAAGTGGTCATTTTACAAAGTAAGAATAGCAAAATGGCTGGCAAATTTAGTTTTGACTAATCCTAGTATTATACATCGTATGAAATCATAACAAAATGGCAGGTTAAAATGAGGCTCCGAAAGGTCAGGTGATGAACTCGGCTATCTATGATCAAAACAGAGATGGGTGGTAGACACAACAGCAAGAGTCAACCAGTATTAATATGAAGCTGATAATCTTTATCAATTTCTCTTAGAGAGTGTTTTGATTTTGTGAAAAGTCTAATTTTAAGTATTTTGATGTTTTCCCGAAATCAAACACATGAGAAAAAATAGAAAAGAAATCTAACCATTTGGTCGCTTTAAGGGGACCCTGATTTGGGTACACTGCACGTTGTCCTAGTATGACCATTTCATTATCCTAGTTTAAATGCTAACAAACAAGTTATGCTCCATGTATGAAATTTTGCCAAAGACCAATAACTCTCTAAGTCTTGGGCCATGGACTTTCAATTTAGTACACTATATATTGCCTTAGTGTAATTGATGTACAAACCAAGTTTCAAGATCCATGCTTCTCTGCAGGCAAAGTTATGCAAGGACATGAAAAGGACAGACAGATAGAAGGACGGACAAAGCAACAGTTATATGCTCCTTTGGAAATCAATAAAATATACTGAAAGTCACGTCTGAGACACATCTGTATATACCCATCCTTGTTGTTGCTATCAATTAATTTGCTTTTTAAATTTGAAGGAGTAATGAAAAAATACCTGCTCCTGATCGAGTCTGAACTAGCCACACTTTGGAGAGTCTATCAGTTGACTAAATGGGAATTCATTCCAACAAATATGAGGTTGGTAAGGCAACATTTCAACTTTAACAGTACTCCCTCCTTCACAAGTATTTCGCCTTAAAATAACTCTACCAAGCTTTCATATCTCCAAAGAAGCATTTCATTCTCCTTCAGCTATATCCTTAAGTGGTCAATGGTACCATAAATGTAGTAGGAAAGAGTAAGGCTGGGGTTTGATCTAGTGACCTTGTGATCTCTCACCAGACACTGTAACACTTGACTAAAATGGAAATACCCCAGAATAGAGGCAATTTATCATAAGCAGACCTGTACCCTCAATTTCTAAACAACATGTATTTACCATGAGGATGCATGAAACTCTGACTCTTGAAACCAGGGATGTACAATGCATTATACAATGACAGAACTGTACAAAATAACAAGTCAAATTTATGATAATGAATTTTTTAATGCTATCAAACTACGGAAAAATGCTGCTGATTGCCAAAATAGCAGAGGACACATTAATATCATATTCCCTAAGCGGTCCATAAATATGTTCAGAAAAAAAATCATCCAGAACAATGTCAATTTGGAATTAATTGTTAGAAAATGTTGTATCAGCATTAAATCCTAACACCTTTAAAAATAACTTTTCTTTCATTACAAAGCAACAATTAAATAACTGGGTATGAGACATTAATGTACATGTTTACCGGGGTTTTTTTTATGAATTCATTTGTTTATTGTGAGTCTGGTATAGTCTATAGAGGACTCTGATAGTCCTTAACCAGAAATAATCTTATCTTAATATTTTTTGGTCCCTGTTGAAAAAAAACAGAGAAAAATATTTTCATTCATTGATGAAATTTCAGTAGTTACGGCACATTGGTTAAAAGTATAGTTTGTCTTGGGACAACAGATTAAGCTACTGTATTGAGTATCACTTTTTATCATGACAGCTGGGTTAACAGTTGGCAAATGAAATGCAATATAATGACTGCAGGGAATCGACAAAACGGCATAGAAAACTAGGCTTATTTCACCAGACAACTAATTTCCAAAGAAAATTTTAACAATATTACACAAGTTTAAATCTGTCCTTCAACCGATGAACGATCTTTCTTATGCAGATGCAAAACTCACCTGACATACCCCCTTGCCTGGAATACCATTTTTTGCAGACAACTTTTAGAGTATTCTCCCTTGATAAACACTGATTAATATAATTTGCTGAACTAGTACGTTTCAGTTTGTTGTAATATGAAATGAATTCCAAATTTTTCTTGATTTTTTCCTGTATGATAGCAATGCATATTGATTTTATAAAACATGTTGAGGAAAATATCTTCATATTCTAAGGATCAACAACATAAATCAATTATTTTAGTACAATTATTATAGTTTCTTTCCGCTTTTATATACCTGACTAAAAATATGTTAAACAAGATACAAAGTCCGTTCACTTGCCGGTTGTGTGTTGAGTCTTGTTACTGAGAACTTACATAGGACTCCGAATCATGGCTGCAAACACCGGGTGTGTACAGCGTGCACTTATGCTTTAAGAGGAGGGTGTGCAGACGACAGAATATTTTATTGTCATTGGTCCTATTTGTCATTTTCAATCGAAATGTTGCATATATTAGATACACGAAGGCTTGTACCTTGACAGGTCAACGTTCATTCAACATGACAAGAAGCTTTTGACAGTACTTATGAGTGTACCTAATGAGTATATTTAACGTATTTTACGTCACTTTCGATCTTTCGGCGGTTGACAGGCGCCGCGTATACTGTTTCATATGCAGGATTTCAATGACAGGTGACGGTAGTGAAACAGTGTTCTGTGTTACATAATATTCGTCAACTTGAATCATATCTATTGCAATTTATTTGTAGGCTACTTTGTGCAAGTGGTATTGTGATAAGCTTAGATAAAAAATGAAATAGTATGTGTCTAGTCACTATGAATTTATATCTTACACATGTTTTATACGTCTCTGATTGAAGTTGTCATTATTTCCTTGCACTAAACATTCAACAGTTTATAAGTCTTGTTAACCAGAGGAGTCTGATGTTCTGCCAATAAGAATATACCTTAGTCCCCTGATTTACACAAAAATATATTGAAATAATCACTTATTTTAAGAAGTTATTATACATTCTTATTGTTAAGCACATGGAAGTTGAGAGTAAAGGTTGCCTTGCCTAGTGGGGCTTTCTGTTTTGCTTGTTCAAACCTTGGAAGCAGGGCAATTTTGTAACCATATTACTTCCTATCATAATTAATGCCATTACCTGTTTGTAACTTTATTTCTGAGTTTTTTATTTTGATGTTACCACATGGAACTCAACAATCCATGCAAAACTGCGCTGTTCATTGTAGGGCCAAAAAATTTGGTTTGTTAATTTTCCTTATTGTCTAGCAGAGATATATCTATCTGGTTTTAGTTACCAAACTTTCCAATCAAGCAAAATTAAAAGAAATGAAATCTAGTATATGGTTTATAAATATATATGATAGATACAGATATAGTGGCATAGCAAACGTTTTTTAGGGGTGTATGCTTTCAAGAGAGGGCCCAGGGGAGAAGCCCCCCTGAACCTGACAGGTATTAGCTAATCAGAGATACCTTTTCTATTTACACCAACACATATTATTCAATAAAAATTGAAAAAATGCAGTAATATTTTTTTTTAACAATAATCATTGTTTTGAGTGTACAAGCATACCTTATTGCTGTGCCACTGACTGTCTTCACTTTACCAGAATGATGGATGATGATATGGCCTTCTTGATCCTTTATTGTTTAAAGAATAACTTAAATGGATTGTCTCTCCTCCTCTTTATCTCAAATTTGAAAAAAAAAAAAAAAATTAAATACAGTTTATTAGAAATGCAACGGTCTTCGAAAGATATATATAGTATGATAAGTTTGGAGAAATATTGTAATAAATGTATTAATGTTATTTAAATATTTTGTACCAAATATGAGCAAAAATTAACTGTGTAATAGCCCATTAAAATTAATCAAAAATGTGTCATCACTTAATTACTGAGCATGGAAGATCAACTCCGGACAAAGTTAATGAACATTTATTGAGCCTTCAGGGCTAGTATACTGCACCACAACATGTCATGTCATATAAATATCCTGTATATATATTTATCAGTTACTAATACAATATAAAGGCATATAATAAACACTTTTCAGGTAAAATTAATGTAAGATACATTATGCATGTATATGTTGAATACATAAATGCTCAGTATAAGGTTTACTGATGAATGCTGTAAATATCAGTTACTCAACATTTTGATAATGGTTAAATTTATTCACTTCATATTTATGAAATATTGAAGAGGTACAGTTTTTATACCATAGAGACAATGATCCCATTCTTTCACCTAAAACGATCACATTAAAAAGCTATTTGATATTTCAATGTAAATAGAATTTGTCTTTGTTTCAGGCTTTTAGCAGGAAAGACTCTATTCATAACAGGAGCCAGTCGTGGAATTGGGAAAGCTATAGCATTGAAGGCAGCGAGAGATGGAGCTAACGTTGTCATAGCAGCAAAGACAACAGAACCACACCCCAAGTTACCAGGCACCATTTACACAGCGGCCAAGGAAGGTGTGCTATATAACAAAAAAATTTGTTACTTTTCACCTAGCATCTTAAGATCATATTTGTATGTGACTTAAATAAATAGATGACAGCTGTTTAATAAAAACTTGTTTTACATTATCTAAAGGAATTACAGTAAACCTGCAGTCATTTTGAACAAAAATAAAATAAATATTGTTTAACTCTTTCAATTGTATGAAATTCTTCTCGTGAAAATAAACTGAAGTTCAAATTATCAGAGTTGACAGTGCCCAATAATCATTACAAATTATTAAAAAAAGCATCTTAGCAAGGCAGGAAATAGTGTGAAGGGTTCTGACTATCTATGCACAATTTTTTTTCCTCTTGTAATGGATGAGCTGCAACCAAGACAAGAACAAAGTCGCAGATAGATAGTCAGAACCTTTCAAACTAGGCAGGAAATCTATTATGGTATTTTCTGGAAAAAAGATGTTGATTACAATGAGATTATCTTTTGAAACATTTGCTGTAGATATTAGTTGACTGTTAATAAAATCATTATTTTGTTCTTCATCACAATGGATATTGCGACAAAGAAACCCATTTTAAATGTAGGTCGAAAAAAGCATTCTCATATCATTATATGAAGTGTGGATTGAGATTTATGACAATGGATTCATGTTTGTTAAAATGCACTATGACTCCTACAGTTATTTGACATAATAAATAGGGATAATTACTATGTTAAGTGCTCTTTGACAATATACATGCCAATATTCTGTAGTCCATTTACACTGATGAAGCAAGCACTGGTATTACAGGCCTCAAGTTATGTCAGCTGTTACAAGCACAGTGGCATGGCAAGATGTGAAAGAAATCACGCTGAATCAATGCTAATTAAGTGACTTGTATGTGTATAATTGGGCACTATCGATTGCTTACAATGAATATTTACATCCCACTACCCATATTTTAACATTGATGTGAGTAATGACAACATGAAGTAATTATTGCTAATATCTTTACCAATACATGTGGTCTGACAATATGTTTGAACAATTCAAATGGTAAATGACACAAAACTAGAAAGGGTTCAAACTGTCACTAGACAGAAAATTATTGTTTTTGTTGAAGAAATTACATGTTCAAACAACCTGTTATTTGAACTGAGCAGAGGTTTACTGTAAAATTCCCAAATTTTTATCATATTTCTGTAAATAAATGTCCCAATTTTCCTCTAATATATATTGTTCATTGACTTACATATGTTTCAGGATAAACCATGTTTAAACCAAATATCACCATTGTCTGAAATGAAACAGTTTAAACACACATTTTCAATGTCAGATTATCTTATATATTGGGAATTAATTTGATTTTTTTTTCGTTTTTTTCTCTCTCCCATCATCCCCACTCCCTCCATTAATTATGCAATATTAGCAGGAAAGTACAAAATAAATGTAGTTACATTAAATATGTAAAACAATAGTATACAGATGTACAATAATCAATAACCATTAAATTGTGACTTGTTTGTAATCCAAAAGTACTGCTGCTGATAAATAAAATCCTGACTTTACCCCCAGACTCTGCAGGTAAGTTGATGTTCTGGGCCTCTGATATTGATAAATCATTTTCATATTACAGTTGAAGATGCTGGAGGGAAATGTCTGCCCTGTGTGGTAGACATCAGAAATGAAGAACAGGTGCAGAAAGCAGTAGAGGAGGCTGTAGCCAAGTTTGGAGGGATTGACATCCTTGTCAATAATGCCAGCGCCATCTCCCTCACAGGCACGCTGTCAACAGGCATGAAGAAATATGACCTAATGATGAACATCAATGGCAGGGGTACTTACCTCTGGTGAGTGTTATATGTGATGTGAACTATGGTCTGTAAATGTAGTGGATGTTATTTATTTAATATTAACCAGGGCACATTGTCTCTGATATTGTTAGTGACGTAAAGCACATATTCATATTGGAAATATGTCTTTTATCACTTCTCTTGATGTATATATTATGATAGCAGATTGTATATGAACTTGATGGTTTCCATCCTGTAAACTTAATTCAAGACTCAAAATGGTGTGAAAAATAAAGCACAGAAACAATGAAAAAACAAAATCAAGATTCAATAATCTGAGATTCCATTTCCCTTTTAGTCCATTTTCCAAAACTTATGAAATGAGTCCTGGGTACTTTCTCTTTGATTTCAGTTCTCATGTATGCTTACCTTACCTCCTGAAGAGTTCTAATCCTCACATTTTGAACATCAGCCCTCCACTTAACATGAACAAGGATTGGTTCAAGGGACATGTAGGTGAGTGTCAAGTGCCAAAACTTCAGATTTATTACTTAGATTAGGAGATTAGGATTTCTTTACATCAACAGTAAACTTATTCCCAGGTCATTTGATTTAAAAACAAGACATCATTTATTTACCCTGAGGCATCATCCATCAATCAAACTTTTGTTGTCTTTTACAAATATTATCCAGCTTCCATAAAACATCATACATTGCTGGTTCACTACCAAAAATAGCTCAAACAGTTTCTCATATCAGACATCTAGCTTAAGGTCAAGTTCATTATTACTAAAAATAGATTTCCTGAATCATTTCCTTCTACAAACTCTTATTCTAAATCTTATACAGGGGCTTATTTCCAAGAATACATTTGAGCTTGAATATTACAGCCTCAATAACAAGGTCATTGTTACTTAAGATAATCTTAAAATTAACCCTTCTCAGTCCTGTCATTATTCTTAAATTTTACATTGAATGTCTGGACTTTCTCTGTTAGTTGGGTCTGAAGCATTCTTAGGTGACGGAGACTCACTTTTGTATAATCAGTTGTCTCTGCCACCTGGGGCATGAGGTCAGAACCTTATAAGGGAAATCCTCTTTTCTCTGTAGGAATATCAGAATTCTGTCCCAATTTGGTCTGAAGTACCCTTTGATGGAAAATACTTTTTTGTATACATAGTGGGTCTTGGAGGACCCCCTAGGATGGGAGGTGCTAAGTCCAATAGGGGAAATAGAGTCAATTCTTTAAAATCCATTTGGTCTGAAGTATATCTGGATGAAGGATTCTTTTATAGACATGGTTTAGGAGCAGATGGATGGACCTCAATTGGAAACAAAAAGAAACGCTTAGAATTCCTTTTCCTTTCGTAAGGATGAAACAATTAGCCAAACAAATATAAGTGTGCAATCAAGGCCCAGTGGATCTCCAGTGTTTACAAAATTCGCTAAAAATGACTTTCAGAATTCACCTCTTGGTTCAATTTGATATATTTACACTATGATGATAATATTTTTCAGCATATACCATGGCTAAGTATGGAATGTCAATGTGTGTCTTGGGAATGGCTGAGGAGTTCAAACCTGATGGAGTTGCTGTTAATGCTCTCTGGCCAAGGACAGGTAAGTATATTAGATCTGTGGTGGAGAAGCATCACATGTGATTTGCAGGATAATCTTAATTAGGTACTGTTTTTGGAGAATAAATGAGTTTCTGTTTTGCATAACTTTGTGCAATTGAAATTTAGTGCATAATCCCTTTCTGTTACATAAGCGCAATTACAAATTTATAATAATTACTGTCTGAGCAGCAATTAGTGCTATCTTATTTTAGGACAATACTTTCACCACAAAAAGTGCCAAAATAAGATTTCCATTAACATATTAGTTTTTAGAGTATTTTAAATTGTACTTCATCTGATTTTCAAGTAATAATGATGGCAGATTACATATATCTGATGGAAATTGAAAGAGTAGTAATCAAACCATATTTTCTAATGCCAGAAATACATGTACATTATGGAAAACCATGGATAGTTGGAGTAACTTGCTTGTGAAAATTTTGAGTGCATGACTGCTATTATCTCAAGTTGTGTAATAATTCTAGTTAGTACAAGAACATTTCAACTACTGCCTATTTATGTGGTTGTGGTTACCAGGGTCTCTGTAGAATCTAGTGAGGGCTAAAAATGTACTGTTCTAGGTGAATTTACAAAAATTGTCAATGAAAATTAGCATTGAGTGGCAATTGTACTGCTTGTAAAGTGTTTTGAAATCTAAAATTTGAAGCTGTCCACTGTAAGAGAAATGTGAAAATTTACAGTTCTTAATTTATATTTATGTTGCAAAAATACAGTTTTCACTGAATTTGCTTGTAAGAAGTTTTTATGCAATTCTCAAAACATATAAGAAATAACAAACATGTAAATAATGTGTAGTTTAATCTTACTATTTACACATATTTATTTATAGAGTAGATTACATGTATGTAGAATATAAAAACAAAAAATATGTAATAAATTCAAGAATTGGTAAAATGACAGAAATTAATCAAAAGTGCTATCAGATATGGTCAGTGATGACTAACTCTCATCAGCCCCATACTGTGTTATTTTTTTTCTCTTACCCTGGTAAGGTAAATCTAGATTTTTTCCCAGTGTGAGATTTCCTTGTTTTGTACACATGCTCTTTGCACGTTCTGTAAACAATTTCAGTGACGTCCCTAAACTACTTTTATTAGGTCACGTACACAGATCAATTCATCTGCTACTGAAATCCTGTGTTACCTCAAATCTGGAAATCCTGTGCTGTCATCAACATTGAAACTCAATCTACAGCTTACCAAAAATATATCTAACGTTTTATTGGCATGTACACTAGAATCACATTTTGTGTAGGATTAAATCACAATGTGTGAGATGTCTCATCACTATTCATATGTCATCCTTGAGTTTTTGTTTACACACAAAACACTTATCTTGCATTCAGGCAAGAAATATAGGGTAAGAAAAAAATAATCATTCATCCTGTTTAGGGTGAGATATGGGGATCTATACCCTCGGGGAAGATTATTCAGCTGTCAAACATTAGGTAAACCTCGGGTTTAACAACTTAGTAATCTCCCCCTCAGGTTGAGATCCCCCATCTCATGGTAAAGGGGGCTAAAAATTCTATCAACCTTGAATAACTTACACTGCTAACAATTGATTACTTTGAAATGTTACTCTTTTCCAGCCATCTACACTGCTGCCATGGAGATGTTAGGTGGAGGAGATGAGGTAGCCAAGCAGTGTCGTAAGCCTGAGATCATGTCAGATGCTGCCTATGTGATGCTGATTAAGGATAGCAAGTCCTACACTGGAAACTTTGCTATCGATGATGAAGTACTCGCAGCTGCTGGAGTTAGTGATATGGAGGAGTATAGCTGGGTAAAAGGTAAAAAGAAAGATTTTATTGTCTTGTGAGTTAATATTGTAAAACCACATTTATCCATCTACACTTTGCAGGTGCTGTCCTGTGTTTACAGGGAAAGATTAGGAACCGAGAAAAAGACAGCTTACAAAAGCCTTTTGACATCACCACTTACAGTGGGATAAACATCATTTTGTTAGGGTAACCATGTCAGATATGGATACCGTCATCAATTTCAACACACATTTTATGGGCAATTGATGATAGCAGGGTGTGTACAATTCCCAAAGACATTTTTTGATGGAAAAGAGTGAGAGAAAAATAGTCAATCATTTCTGTATGATATGGACAATGTTATCTCAACCCTCGGATAATATTTACAAAGTTTAGCATAGCTTCATACTTAACTTTATATATATCAGGTTGAGAAAACTCTGTCTACACTACACAGAGGTGAAGGATTCTATTACTGTATTCTGTTATTCTGCAACAACCAAGAGGGTAACCATACCAAGCCTGACACACTATCACATGATTGAGTAACATACCTTTATAATTCTATTGAATAGTAAAACATAGACATGCTTATTATCAGGCATGGGGTTATTACCACAAAGAAACACGTAAATGATATTCAAATATTCTTACCTTATAGTTTGTTTAGGTTTCAGTGAAGTATCTATCATGAGTATAAAACTGACTCATCTAATCATACCTTAACTTTAACTATTTCAGGCAGCAAACTTCTCCCAGACTTTTTCTTGGATGTCGATGCCAACACACTGAGGGAGCAAATGAGTGAAGGAGGTGCCACACCTGCTTTTAGTGGAACCGCTGGGACCAGTGGACCAGCCAAGACATTTGAAACCATCCAGTCTATGCTTAGTGAGGATCTAGTGGGAAGTGTAGGAGGTGTTTTCCAATTCAATCTGTCAGGTATGTATTTACCTCCAAGTGAATGATTTGGTCAATGTATAACCTGTACAGGCCAGTTACATGATGAAATATAGATGTCAACTCTAAATACGTTTGTCAGTATTGAAAATATCATTTTGTATCTTTGTTTTATACCAATTCTAATGCAGTTTGAGATTTTCACTGCATTGTCTATGGAAATCTGCTTTTGACAGTGCCTAATGATTAAAAATTAAAATGAAATGTATACTGTAAAACCATCAATTTTCTCAGGGTTTGATTTTCATTGATTTTGTGGGTACTGTTGTTGAATTGGTGTGTTCACAAACTTTTGAAATTAGCTTCAGTTTTTTTTAATAATCATGAAAATTGAGACCAACGATAATATGTGATTTTACAGAATTCTGTAATAGGGGATCAGTATGTAGTCACAAGGTTTTAAATTCTCAATCCAATAACAAAACTGGCCATGGTGTGTGTAAGGTATCAGTAATGTACAATATTAGGGTGCATTGCCAATCTGTTGCAGGTACTGATGATAGTACGTGGTTCATCAACTTGAAATCTGGTGCTGGAAGCCTGGGACCAGGTGAGCCCCCAATGGGAGCTGACTGTACAATGAGCATGGACAGTGCTGATTTCCAGAAGATGTTTGCAGGCGAGCTCAAACCTGTTGCAGCCTTTATGTCGGGAAAACTTAAAATCAAAGGAGATATGGCTATGGCCATGAAGCTTGAAAAACTTATGAATAAAATGTCACCAAAATTATAAAGTTTTTCCCACCAGCAAACTTTCAGACACTACTAAATGAAAACAAAAATTTTTCAGGGAAGATGACCAAATGAATTTCTAGTGTAAGAGAAAATGTGTTGATATAATATTTAAATCTAATGTGCTCGTTAGTGAGTAGTGTATAAGGACTGATTCTGATAAGATACCAAGAATGAATTAGTGTATTGATGTAGCAGTTCTTGAAATCCTCATATTCCTGACTACTTCAATTTGCCAGTAAACCTTGCAATTCCTATTATTCTCGAAAATAGATGCTATTACACAGTGTAATTCACTCTATTTCATCTTAGATTATTACATGAATGGTGATGTAAAATTGCTGTGGAAGGTTTTGATTGTCTGCAGTGATGAAGTCTATGAAAAAAAAATTGTATGTTAAATTTATAGGAAGCGAGTGACATTTCAGTTCTGATGAGTGTTTTGAATACTAACGTGAGTTGATAGTGCTGAGTGACAATTTATTTATCAAATCTATGTATATATATATATATCAAATAGTTACATGTTAAGGTTCATGATTAAAAGGTTTTTTTATAAAATCATTACATTGTACATTTCATTTGATTGTACAGCATAACATGTTCCTTGTGCTGTAAAACTCAGAGGTACTTATGTTATAAAAAAGTGTGATCAAAATCACTTTGTTGATAAGGTAGCAATTTTTACTGGTATATCATCAGTTGAATATTGTACATTTGATACAATACTGTTGTACAATAAAATTTTGGGATGAATTTGATGTTTTAATTCTAGTTTTTAGCCCATCATGAGATGGTTAGTTCAAATTGCTGTGCATATTCATCTTAAAACAATTCTGGTGATTGCCAATTCTTGGATCCTGGATGTATCTTTTTCTAACTTCATATTTAATTTTCACTCGGTCCCCATATATATAAATATTTATATAGTTACGCCCTTTTGATTTTGGACAAATCAGAAAATGTCTGACAGGCAACGATCTTTAATTTGCTATCACCATTTCTCAGGGGAATTCAATTAAGAGCAAAAGTAGCAGAAAAGAAGAGAAAAGATGGGATCAGATCCCACTCACAAAGAAAAAAAAGATCAGATGATAGTGTGTGGCAAGCTCCCAGCTGATTCGTATTGAAGGGACAGGGCTTAGGAATCACCTCTTCACCAGCACCTAGACCCAGCCACCAAACTGATCAAAACTACAGTATAAATATACAGTTTCATCAATCTCCTGTTTCCTAAGAAGATGATATTTTTTTCTAAAATATTTAACGTTTGACATATTAGCTGAAAAGTACACTCCACACACTTCAGCACACAACACTGCACAAAAATGGAAAGTAATGCAAAGACATAAACATGCACTAGTAAATGTTTTCCTCCATAGGTCTAGATAGTTTGGTGTATTACTCAAAACAAGATGAGGATATTTGAAATCTGCTTTGGTCTGATTGATTGTTTTTGTTATCAACTCCATGATTTTAGTGACACAGTTGTGACAAGAATGTTGAGACAAAAGATTTGGCAGAATGTTGGTCATAAAACTATGGCCATGTTCCAAAAGTTGCGAGTCAGGCACATTATCAGATTATAGTATGCAACACTGTACCATACCAAGAAGTGCTTGGATACAAATTTGTAAGAGGCATAATACAAAACATGACAACTATGATATTTTGTGGGTTATCCATGGTGTGCCATGTCGGATCTTTTTCTAAATTCTACTCCACTGCATTGACAATTTTTCAGAACTTTTCCATAACATTTTTGGATATGAATTTTTTGGAAAAGGCAGAAGCAAAATGACCCCCAAGTCCAATAATACAAGTATATAAAAACCAACACTTAATATTCTACAAGATTCACCAAAACTTTAATCTTACTCTCCTTACAAACAAATAAACAGATATGGCTGACAGACTAGACATGTACAAAGTGAGAATGAGGAAGCTTGGCAACGGTGTCATATGAATGGTTGCCATGGAGATGTTGACCAATCCAGTTAGGACATTTGACAACAGGAAATAAAAGAGTCCATTGTAGTTGATGGCATTGAGAAGACCTTTGGTTGGCAACGTCTGCATAGTCACACCTGTAATACAAGATAGATCTTGTCAGCATGAAGTGGAAATTTTTGTCATGATGTGTACAAACTGACATAAAATAGATTTGTGGCTGTATGAGCAATCAAACATTTTGTTATGTGAGAAAACTGTTCTATGATTGGTGAAGGGTCTCCCAAAGGTTTTGACAAAGTGCAGGTTTTAATCTGAAACTGACAAATTCCTACACAAGAGAATATTTTAAATTGATTACCTAATCTGAAATAGTACAGAAAATTTCCAATCATCACAAAATTACAACCTAGAATAAAAACCAAATTATTTTTAGCTTAAATTCGAACATTTTAAAGGCTTTGTCATAAAACAAATACAATAATTGGCCATTTTCTTACATTAATAAAAAGATCGAAAGATAGGTAACATTCTTCAGGACCAGGGTAGAATATCATTTTTCTCAAATCTTCCTATTATAGTAAAACTGACGAATGCTCTCCAAAAACCACATTATTGGTCAAAAAATTTTTAACAAATGGCAACAATTCTGAAATTACAGGGTTTCAAGCACTGAACATAGTATAATGTGCATGCTATCAGTACAACCAATATACCCACCAAGTTTCATTATCCTAACTTAAATGAAAGCAAAGTTATGCTCTGAACACAAAACAAAGGGCAATAACTCTGTAATTAAGGGGTTGCAGGCCATGCTTTTGGTACTCTCCAAAGCCTCTTAGTATGATTAAAGCATATACAAGTCTCATTATCCTACTTTAAATGAAAGCAAAGCTATGGTCTGAACACAAATTTTAACAAAGTGCAATAACTCTGTAATTATGTGCATGCAGGCCTATCTATCTATAAGCTGCCCTGAAAAGTCTGTGATCTTAATAATGCCAATAATTGTATATCATAACATTTTCTATATTTTTCAAGTAAGAAGGCCAGGGGTACAAGCACACATCACATCATGACTCCTAATAATTACCACAGGACAATTTCTTAGCATTTGTTCTTATTTATTGCTTATTGACAGACATGGTCATTGTTCACATGTGTATAATGTAACAGTTACCCAGTACATTAATTTCTCATAAAAATATACATGTAAATTTGCCTCAGCTAAATGTATCATACCAACAGAATCTTAACTAGATTTCAGCACAAAAATTCAAGAATTAGTTTTAAAACCACACTGACCTGCTGAAATTCTGAGGTATTCCACTATAAGATCAACCAACAGTAAAACAGACATGGTCTGTGTGGACAGTGCTAGCTGTAAAAAGAGAAAATCAAAGAAGATAAATGTACATGTAAGTAATGTATTGTGAATGTTATTTTGTAATATTTTGAGCATGTGCATGTCTGCAGGGAAGTTGTTTTCAGTTCTTTTGAGTTACTGATGAAATGTGAGTTTATTCTGGTTGTTTAATTATCTTATGTAAGTATTGTACAATTATTTTGTAAGTTATAGGTAAGGAAAAACAACTTAAAGTTGTAATGTTTACTATCCTCATGAAACAAAAGAAAATAATTAAATGAAAGTATAATGGGACTTCCTCATACATGGAACATCTTACAAGTTTTCACAACAAATATGTTACCTTTGACTTTTGAAAATACAGTATTCCATCTTGACAAGATTTAATGGAGCCTTGGATATAACGAGTATAATTCTTTTAATTCAAATTCACTTTTGTTCTAGTTTAACAAATTAAGCTGATATATTTAGTCACTTACAATCCATAAAACATAGGTGAGGTTAGCAAATCTTCGTGACACCAGTTCTCCATAGGCTAGCGCTGATATACTATACATGGCCCAGAAAAATACGGACATTGTCATCATGACAATTAATAGAGTTCTCCATGCTGACATGGTCCATCTGTCGGTACAAAGGTACAATGTTTCATTTCAGTATACATGTATCTTCACTTACAATAGGCACGTTTATTAAAGTACATATGAGAACTTTTCATACAAGCAATAAACTATGACTAAATTTCAATATATGGGATAACAAATAAAAGACATTTACGTACAAAGATAATTATGCAGAAATTGATTTTGACAAGGAAACTCTAAATATGAAATTGAAAGGGCTATAATTTTTCATGAGTTCCATTTAAACTTCAGAGGACTTAATGAAACCTGTAACAAAAACTCTAACAAATATATCACGTGTAGAAGAGAAAGGGTCTGAACTATGTCCTTTGGCTACATGATCATATGTACAAAATCATACAGGTTCCTTCAATTTTTAAAAAAAACTTCATAAGTTATCTCCCCTTCCTATGCTATCCATTTACATACATAAACATAAAATATTACACAACCAATAACTTTACCATGATAATAAAAAATATTCTTACCTTTCATATCTGAAAATCATTTTTCCTATTTCTGTCCCAAAAACATAAAGTGCGAAGTACCCAAGACATGAGAAGATTCCTTCCCTATTGGCATTGAATAGTCCCTCGCGGCCGCCTTTTCCGTCCTCCCCCAACAACAAATAATCCTTTACTCCCCCATAGTCCAAACTGTACTGGTACCCCACTACCACACCAAGAGCACACAGGCTCCACAGGAACTCGGGTACATAGATGTAAAACAATGTTGACATAATCTGTGATAAAAATAATAATAATAATAATTCATGTGTACCAGCAACATCATGATTTACAAAGGAAATTAGAAAAGTATGCACAATACTATAACTTACAGGTAGAAGACTTCCTTGTTTTGGCCACAAGTTTTCAGTTTATCTTCTGCATGATTTAACTTACCACAAAGAAAAAAATCTTAGTAGTCCACCAGAAAGAGCAGTCGGAATCAGGCTCACAGGCCTAACGGTCATCTTACTATAATGACCTTAGTATCTCCTTTTTATGAAAAAGGCTTAATAGGCCTAAAACAAATTGCTCAACTACTCTACAGCTTACAAAGAAGACATTGTTGGTTAATAAAAATATCTTCTGCAAACTTTACACCATTTTCTTTATACAGGCTACTTCGCTAATGCCATTACACCAAATCTTTTGCTTGTTGAAAAAGGAATTTTAAGATCTCAATTCACTTAACAAATGAGATCTTAAATATCAAGGTCAATTATTTGAACAAATCTGTAGACCTTCATCCACTTATATTAAAGAATCATTATCAACAGTGGACCTTTATATTTTTAAGAAGTCATTTGAAGATGTTAACATACGCTTGTGATCTTTAAGATCTTTAAAGGTCAATCACATGAACACAATTGGTAACAATTCATCCCAGCATGCCAAAGGCCCAATTTCAGCACCTTCAGCCTTCTGGTTACTGGTAACAAGTTGTTTAAAGATTTCGACATATTTAACACCTGTGACCATGAAAGTGATGTCAAGGTCAATAATATGAACCAACTTGGCAGCCCTTCATCCCAGCATGCTACAGGCCCAATATCAGCACCCTGAGACGTTTGACCCCTGTAACCTTGAAAGTAATTCAAGGTCATTCATTTTTAAAAACTTGCATACCATCAAATCGCCATCCTACACTTATACTTCTAAAACAGTTTGAAATATTTCTAATAGAAATTAAACATATTATGCTCAAAATTCTATCTTTCCTATATGAACTTTAGTAAACTTAACCCCCTTCCCCATGGGGAAATGTGAGACCCTGGGGCCATGAAATTCACTATTTTGGTTAAGCTCCTTAAGACACTTCCATTCATGAAGATCATTTGATTCTACCATACCTGGGAAGAAGATTTTTGAAATTTGTGTCAATTTGACCCATTTGGCCAACCTCTCAGGCCAGAGTGGGGAGGGGATCATACAATTCACTTTTTAGGTTCATCTTAGGCTAGGAAAGGTTTCTGCAATATTTCATTGAAATTGGTTCAGGGTTTTTTGAGAAGAAGTTAAAAATGTTAAAAAGTTTATGGACACATGATGCTGGACAAAGGTGACTGCAATAGGTCACCATGAGACTTTACCTCAAGTGTCCTCATAAGCTGACCTTAAGTTAGTTATTTAGGCAAATCAAGAATTCATTGAACATGTACTGCAAGCTGCTGGGAGATGATATTCATATCAAGAATATTCCTATGTACAAGTAATATTCAATAAACCATTAATTCTGAAAATGATAATTAAATTTCATAACATTAAAGCATTCTGTTTTTTAATATTCTGTTCTTGATACATCTTGATCTTGATACTGACCTTCAAAGCAGCCAGGGTGATAAAAAAGTTCCAGTGTACGCCATACTCAGAAACATGTTCATGGTAATTAGCTCCCTTTGTTACAGCAAATCGCAACAGTCCCAGGAACAGTAATGGTAAACAGGAGATGAGACAGTTCACAAGGCAACGAACCCTATCAATTATAAAACATACATTTATATATAAGCAGTCAGGTGAAAATGTGATAAGCAGATTATGACATTAACAGCTAACACTTTTTTTGGATGTCTAAACCCTGAATTTAACTTTCTGATACGCCAAATTGACTTTTTTCCTTACAGAAATTCTTTGGAGGAAAAAAATATATTCTCATTTGTTTTTCCCATAAGCACAGTGATTGTTCTAACTTCTGTTTGCTTATTCTTTGAAATTTCTAAGGAACTGTCATAATAAAGACCAGAAAGCTAGCATATCACCTCTAATTCAGAGTCTGAGTCGGCTTTTTACAGGACACAATGGAACACCATTGGTTGCTAATTCTTCAGAATAGCATTGGATATTGATGGGCTTATCACCAGGCATGGGCTTATTGCTGGATAAATATATACTAAGTTTGTTCTATGTAAATATTAAGTGGTATCTAAAATTGGCTGAAATTCATGTTACCTATACTAGACTGCCAGGACTCTGTCTAAAGCTTGCACTTAAAACACAGGTTTAAACCAACATGCTGCCCAATCTGATCAAATGATTTCATTATATTTCAAAAATAAATTGTTATTACTACAAGAAAGAGTTCTTATAACAATTCAGTTTCATCTAAGACTGAAAAATGGAGGTAAAAAACTTACCCAGGATTTCTGTATTTGCCACGAGCCTCAGGTGAAACTATAGCATTGGAGATGACAAATAGTCCTACTCCTGTATCCATGACACCAGTGCCATAGGTTTCTGCTTTACAGAACCGTCGTGGAAATATCACAAAATCTACACCAAGAATGGAAATAGCAGTATAGACGAGCACATATGCCCGGAAATTGTTGATAAAAGAAAGTTGTGGATCAATATGTCTTTCTCGTATTTCACCCCAACTGAGCCATTGGGTTTTTAAATGTCGTGAGTTCAGTTTTAATATCACAGCTGTCAGTGATAGTAACAGGATACATGATTGGCACAGGAATATATATTCATTCCAAAGTGTCAAGAAAAGTTGAAGGGGAAGCACCAGGCATAAGTGATCAATGGCCACTGTGTACCTAAAACAGAAGCATTTTTAATATGACTAATTATATAAACAGAAAATATCATTAAAAAACAGAAGCAAACAATGTATTTTCTACCTGAGCTGCACCTGAGCAGAAAAGGTGATCTAGTTTGTATTAAATGAATAAAACGTCAACTTAGCAGGTTATTTAAAGAAATATTATTTATCAATCTATCCAACTAAATCAAACATATCTTTAACTGAAGCATTTGTCACAAAGGTTCATGTTCTGTTGCAAAAGATAAAGCGCAGTATATTGATGGGGTTGCTTTGTTGTGCCAGTTGTTTACCAAAATCTGTCCATACCAGTTGTTTCATACAAAAAATCAAAAGTAGTAAAGTACCTATGTTTTGGTTGTTATGTAACATAGCAAATTATATATATTTCAAAATTTTATATTAGGACATCTAAAATAAAATTGGTATGAAAATCAACATTTTGGGTACAGAGTAGAAGGATACATATTTTTTAATAAAAATGACTTTTGATGTTCAGAATCGTGAACTTTACGATTTCCTATCCTGCAGACAAATTTTAATGTAATGATGCTATTATATCAGACCTTACATTTAAATCATAAAAGTCGCGTCAAGTTAGAAATCAATTTTGTAGAGTTTACTCTTGTTATAATTCATGTAGGTACTCATAATTCCAAAAGCCAGCAAAAAATTCTGTTATTTAAAAATTTATAAAATTCTGTATAAATGCATTTATTTCTTTGGCCTTTTGATCATGGCCATTCAGTCTGATTTTACAGATCTATACAAAATGGTGGAGAGAGATTAAAACAAAAAACTAAATGAATGTAGGTAAATGCAGCAATGCTTGCTTGCAAAAATGGGAAGGTTGCTTTCCTTCAACCAATCAAAATATATTACACAATGGGCAAATCAAGTTGCACAGTAAATAAGTTTGGGTACAACTTTATATCTTTATCATGTAAGGACTCCAACAGTTTTGTTGGTGAGGACATATAGTGGTACATATTGACTTGGCTTTGGTGTAATTGTGACTTGACCAAAATTTTGTTGGATAACAACCAAATGCTTGGAATGAGACAACTGGACAGAATGCTATTGTACAGAACAACCGGTATTCATCAATTTGATACATTTCTGTCCTTCGGTATAGTGGAGATTAGTAGCAAGGGAATAAGGAGCAGAATTCTGTTAGTTTCACAAGGACTTTGTTTCGGGAAACAGGATATACGATCCTTTTGTAAACAATGGTACGCTCTATTTTTACTACGTTACAAAATGCTTACAATGTACTGATTTTTTTTATGTTGTAACTATCTTGATATAGCATTTTACTGTGTCATAAATTTCTCATATTCCCGAAACCGAATGGATTTAGTTTGTCTTACATGTTGATACAACATCAAATTTATACGAGAGGAAGGAAGCCGTGGGAGTTTGACATGTTGTTATATCTGATTTGACAGATAATATTACCATGTGAAACGAGGTGTCGTTTTCCATAGGAAAGTCTGTACACAAACTCGGGCAAACACTGTTATTCCAGTTGCAGATAAAAGAGCAGAGACTTCCGTAGATGTTGTACCAACATGGTCGCTCACAAACTGCTCGTGCAGCTCTTTGTATGACGAATTTCCAGTAGACATCTCGATTACCTCCAGTACAGGAGGCTGACATGTTTTATTATGATCTTAGTCCAATATACGCTTAAATTTGAGTTACCAAATGGCGGGAAATATAAATGCTTCATTTTAGCAAATGTTGGCGATAAAAATCAATACTTCAACATTTCTCACTATAATAATACTTTGACGGAAAAGGTAGTCAACATGACCTATCACACTGAAAAAATATTGCACCATGAATATTGCTAAAAACAACCATGCCAAACATACCTTAGCTTTGCTGAATTACGATATTTAAAATTCATCATTATCAAAACCAGAGACGTATATAACACATGTTATATACGTCTCTGTCAATACTGATTTAGAAAAAAATACACGAAAATATGGTATCTGTATTGGTCGCCAAAAAACTAATTTTCACCAGAGAGTCCTTTTGGTTAAGATGTATATTAAACAATTAATGAAGTCAGGTTGATCAGAACCGCCTAGCTTCATGCAGATTTGATTGAATCGTTTGAAAAATCCACGAGTTAGAAAAAGAAAGTCAAACATTTTTTGTTTTACTTCATCTATTTTTTTTAATCAAGGAATTGTAAATTTAACATGGTTATTTATTTAAACTTTGGATTAAACTTTGAATACTATTTCACATCAATACAAACCAGAAAAGTATCACCGGGCTTTCATTAACGATGGTGCGAATTTTCATGCGAGACTGGAGATAGAGGATACGTAATTTTCAATAAAATTGATTAGGTTTAATAATGATAAACTAAATCGTATTTCGTAGAAAAAGCTAGTTTGCGGTGTGGTTTCATAAAAATCATCGTAAAATAAAGATATCTGCGTTGTTCAGAATCGTGGAACGTGATTTTTTTAACCTTGCACGAGTGAAATTTCATAGGATGATCTGAGACGTTTAATGCTGTTTTCGGTCAATGCAATAATTTCTCTTGTATTCTATTATTAATGATTTTTTACAGCAGTACAAAAAAGTCACATGTTTAATATTGTATTGTAAGAAATTATCTTATATGAATGTTGCACAACAAAGTAGCTGTTATACTTCAAGTATAGTTACATGTGTTATTTTCGATAATTTTCCTGACCCCGTAGAGGAGCGAAAAAATCACTTCTCATAGACTGATTTTTGGAAACGTTTTTCTGTCATAAGTCCAGGTGCATCCACCACTCTAAAACTAAATCGCCAAAGATTGCCCGTCATCAGTAAGATAGATACCTCCGTGCTGTCTGTAGCTTTGCAAGGACCCCAAACTTGCCTCAAAGTAGTAAATTCTGAACCACTAGTAGGGATGCAACTTTGAACAGTAAAAACTAAAAAAAAATCAATCAGTTGTCCAGAACAAAACACTTTATTTTTCCACCAAGAAAGTCGGATCTCTTAAGCAGGTTGTATGAGCTCTTGACCCGGAATGTCTCCCTCCAGGAAAAAGTCTAGAGACAGTTTCCCCCCTGCATCAAAGACGAAAAATAGATCAAATATTTGTGATTGTATGGTAGTTAGAGATGGAGAACCAAATATTCATGTATTCTTCAGAGTAAAGAAATGTGCTTAATTATTTTTCTGCATTTGTTCTTAGTGAGAACAAGAGTAAATACGAAATATCTATTTATTTATATCAATTTATTTATTTTTCTTTATATTTATTTATCTATTGTGTATTTACCAAGAACATATTGTGTCTGGAGGTAATATTTTAAGACAGTGAAAAAGTGCAATTCACACATTTTTCGGTATGGTAAAAGTGACCTCGTACAGTTATGTGTGGTAAACAACGCACGCACTTGATCTCTGCCTCTCTCTCTCGCGCGCGCGCTCTCTCTCTCTCCCCCATCAAATTAACCTACCGGGTACACAGGCATATTTGTCGAGATCCGTCACCCCAGCATCACGGAGAATTTGGTCGTCAATTACGAAGTTCCCTGTGTAAGATTTACTGTCTTTTGTCAGAATATTGTGAGCTGCGTCGGCCATTATCTCCGGTTTTCGACATTCTTGAATGATTTCCTTATTGTCTGCGCAAATCATCTGGACAGCAGCTGTGTATATTGCTGTTTACGAAAATATACATTGAAAATCAATTACAACATGTTGCAGTTATGGCAGTATATTTGCCACTGTATGGTTTGTTTTCAGCCTGGTCTTAGAACTTCAATGTAATAATTATGACGTCACAATCGATATGACATCACAGACCGTGACTTTAGTTATGCTGTCATAAATGTCATACATGTGTGCTTTACATATGTCTCTTATATTATCGGAGACCGAAAACTTTCGATTATAAAGGTGATTTTCTCCAAATTTGAAAATAATAAAAAGTAAAATGTGCATACATTCTTTCGTAATTAATATTGCATATTGTATAGAATGGAAATGTAAATTTTGAAAAGGCATCACACTGACCAGTTCTCGGCCAAAGGGCATTTACAGCCACGTGCTTGGATCTGAACTCTTCCGCCATTCCAAGGACACACATCGACATCCCGTACTTCGCCATTGTATACGCTGTCAAGCAATAATACAAAAGTTGCAAAAAGTAGCACATTTATCGATCCGAGGTAAAATATGGAATTCATAGTTGAATACAACAAGTGTAAATTCACTGTTTGAATGAAAGAAAAAAATTGACATGGTTTTGATTTCACTTTGCCCGTTGGTTTTATGTTAATAAGTTTTCTTTATGAATTTATGTTACCTGTAATTTGTATGGGAAACGCCTATCATAACCTTTAATCAAAGACACCTGCCCTCAAGCGCACTCACCAACGTGATCTTTGAACCAGTGGCTGCTGAGATTGAGAGGGGGACTGATATTGAGGATATGTGGGTTGTCACTTTTCATCAGGTAGGGAAGACATATTTTTGAACTAAAACGAAAACAATTTGTATTGATAAAATGGTGTGATATAAATGGTTTCTTCAAATCTACCAACAAATTGTATCTGTCCTGGCTTATTTTTTCTTTTAATGAGTCCGAAAAGGAGATGCTCGGGTCTCTAATTTCATAATCAGTAAACAAGCTGTTTCGAATAATGTTTCAAGCATATTTGCAGTATAAGGTTCTAAATATCGACTTATTGTGCGGTTGGTCAATAAGTATAATAAAATTATGATGAGAAAGTTGTAATTATAAACTCCGATCACTATTATTCTATCCGAACGATGATGTTCCCGTTTGTATTTAGTTCCACTGATCAGTGATACCCAGTGCGTTAGTATCACCTGGTGCGTTCATCTTTCATTGTCTTAGTGCCACAGATCAGTGACGCCCAGTGCGTTAGTATCACCTGGTGCGTTCATCTTTCATTGTCTTAGTGCCACAGATCAGTGACGCCCAGTGCGTTAGTATCACCTGGTGCGTTCATCTTTCATTGTCTTAGTGCCACAGATCAGTGACGCCCAGTGCGTTAGTATCACCTGGTGCGTTCATCTTTCATTGTCTTAGTGCCACTATTCTCTATATTCATTAACGATTTGATCAAGGAGCTTCGACAGCTGAATCTTGGAATTGATGTGGATAATACAAATATTGCGTCGTTATTTTACGCTGATGATATTGTGTTGTTAGCTCCGTCTGCTGAGAATTTACAACGTGTAATTAACCACGTCGGTGATTGGTGTGCAAAGTGGGATTTAAAAGTTAATTATGGAAAATCTAACGTGGTCCATTTCCGTCATATTAACCAACCTCGCACTACATGTAATTTTACACTCGACGGTACCACAGTTACTATCTCAGATAGATATAAATATCTAGGTCTCTGGTTCGACGAACATCTCACATTCAAAGTAGCAATCCAGGAATTATCCAAGTCAGCAAGTAGAGCCTTAGGTGCCCTCACTACAAAATTCCTGAGTGTAGGAGGTATGGAATATAAGGTATTTACAAAACTTTTTGAATCACTTGTACAACCTATCTTATTGTATGGAGCTGCAGTATGGGGACATACGGAGCATCGGAAATTGAACAATATTCAAACGCGTGCCATGAAACTCTTCTTATGTGTCGGTAAACGTGCGTCAAACTTGGGTTCGTTAGGAGATATGGGATGGACTTCATTAGTAACAAAACAAAGGATGGGGGTTTTTCGTCAATACATTCGTTTACAAAATGTGGACGCATATCGTCTTCTTCACAAAATTCATAAATGGTCTATAAGAAGAGGAAACTCGTGGGAAGCTAGAGTTAAACGCCTAGCATCAAAACTTAACATTAGAGATATCATAAACAGTGCTAATAGTAATAGGTGGAAAATGTGTAACATCGGGCGAAGCCTTCGTATCCACGATGAAGCTGTGTGGTTCACAAAACTCTGGACAGATAAAGGAATAAATGGCAACAAACTGCGAACGCATCGACGTTTTAAGAAAGATATGATATCCGATAGTTACGTGACGTCTATTATTCCAAGAAATTATCGTCGTGCATTGTCGCGTCTTCGTTTGGGTTGTCTCCCCCTTTCCATAGAGACAGGTCGATATACAAACATTCCTCTAGATGACCGCCTGTGTAAACATTGTGAGAGTGGTCAAGTCGAAGACGAGATACATCTTCTATGTGACTGTCCAGTTTTTAATGAAATTAGAAGTGATGTTTTTAATGAAGCTACAGCCATTTTACCAAACTTTCTTTTATTAACTTCGTGTGAAAAATTTGTAAGGTTAATGGAGATGCCGGATATTCAGTTTTTATTAGCCAAAACAGTCTTTTTAATGCTTAAGTACCGGCGCTCACTTGTGTAGGAAATATCAGTATATTTTGACTAGGTCTACATGTAATTATCAATACAGGACATTATAATCGTAACTTTTATTGTTTTAACCATAACTTTAATGCTTAACTATATAGTGTCTCATAAGCCGATATCGGCTGGGTATCACTTTTATTAATAACTGTTCAATATTGTTTTTATTACTATGTACTGTGATATGTGACACTCAAATAAAATATATTGATTGATTGATTGATAATGAGTGAAGCCCAGTGCGTTAGTATCACCTGGTGCGTTCATCTTTCATTGTCTTAGTGCCACAGATCAGTGACGCCCTGTGCGTTAGTATCACTTGGTGCGTTCATCTTTCATTGTCATACTGACTTTAAGCAAGTTGATATTGATATGGAGAGAAAAAGATGCTATTTATCAGCGGACATGTACCAGCCTCCATACACCGCCCGGAACGAATATTCTATGTAAAATTCCACTTAATTGGTCATGTAAACAGGTAATTTAGTATGGACGGTATCATATTTTTTAGTAGTTACCATAGAAACGTGCCCCGTCCATTTACTTCCGTCATCAAGTCAAATTTCTTCATCTCGGTTTCAAGTGTTCCGGTCATGCTGATAGCGCTAGCATTATTAACCAGGATATCGATCCCTCCAAATTTTGCTACTGCTTTCTCCGCGGCTGACTTAACTTGGTCTTCATATCGGATGTCCACCTGACACGCTAGACACGCCCCTCCAGCTTCCTCCACTGTTGCATATATAATGAAACGAAAAGGCTAGGGTACTACATGTATATGTAATGAAAAACAAATTCATGAAAAATGGGCGACAGTGACCTACTTTTACATCCTGTAATGTGACGCAACGTAAAGCGTTTCAACCTTGACATTAATAGCAAGAGGTCCATCGGTCTAAACGGTTATCTGAATGATCCCCAAAAACTTCCATCGTTAAAAAGCCATAACTCTGTAAGCACGTATCAGAGGTCTTATTCATAAAAGGCTATTTAACAAGCTTCATTAAAAACTGTTCATATTTACTGAAGTTATCGTGTTCAGTTGGTCCAATGGAAATAAACTGCAAAGAACCATAACTGTAAATATCCAGTCGGTTCCATTTTCAAATATTTACTCAAGTTATCGTGTACTCAAGAAAAAGTTAATGCATTTCGACAGACGAAGAATGATCGCAATAGGTCATCATGACCTACACTGTCCAGGTAACCTTAATAACGAAACGAAAATAATGACGGAAGATTCCGACTTTCCGTAAACGGCGCAAAAAACGTTATTATGCCAAAATCATAATTCATAATCAAAATCCTGATACATGTTGTCAAACGAAAACATCACATTACTTCTGTTTAATGAAAATCCGGGATACCTTCCTTGGCTGCTGTGTAAATGGTGCCTGGTAACTTGGGGTGTGGTTCTGTTGTCTTTGCTGCTATGACAACGTTAGCTCCATCTCTCGCTGCCTTCAATGCTATAGCTTTCCCAATTCCACGACTGGCTCCTGTTATGAATAGAGTCTTCCCTGCCAACGTTTTGCTAAAAAGAAATGGATATTATAGCCTCAAACCCAGTACTAAGACTGTTCAATGTCGAGCATATCGCAAATATCCGAAGAAAGTTTGCTTTGTATTAAGAAAAGTGTTCTAAACAAAAGGGGAGAGGATGACGATTTAAGTCCTCTGTGCGTTATCACATTTCAAATTTCCTCAGATAACTTAGATCGTCATGTTGTGCCGTACACGATTGTATAAACCCTGGATAGCATGCGGAAATTCCGAATGGTATTCAATGGGGAGTCACAACCTACTACAAGGAAAACCTACCTCAAAATGACACGGATTGCTCATGGAAGAATTACTAGAATAATAATAAAAAAAAAAAACAGATGTGTAAATAAAAACAACCCTAACTCCAAGAAGTTCCGCCAAATTTCAGATCTGACACGTTATTGATTTGTCAATGCGGTAGAATATGTGAACATAATGGTGTGGGAGAATGAAGAGAGTAGAGGTATTAATCCCCATATATTGTTCTGTTAAGAGTTAACATTTAAAGAAACATGTACAAATATCCATAAGAACCTGGACTGTGAAGACATCGTTGATCTGTGGCGGACCGGTGATGACGACAGCTACAGAAATGGACTATATATGTACGCCGAGTCGCGCGTGCTCCTTCTTACACCGCTGCTCGTAGCTATTACCCGTGTGACACGTGCATCGGAGCACGGTGGAATGTATGTTTCGAATGTATGGTATTCATTCGGTAAAGAAAAAAATTTAAATCGGTTGTTATGATTTCTTTGATAAAGTCGTAATTTCTTAAAGAAAACACTATTTAGATTCCTCAGGACACAATACATAGTAACACAGTGGCATCTGTATGTATTTAAATAAACATTGTGATACTGTACAATGTATATGGATGTTCCTGAAAGAGAAATCTAGATCTGCATACATTTTATTGAACTTTTGTCGAGTTGTACACACGATTGTATGATTGTATATGGATAAAGATCGAAACCATTAAATGTATGAACATCAACATAAAACTTTCGCGTAAGCAGTTGAAGCGTTTGCACCGGTTGAACCTGCCAGAAAAACACCAGGTACAGACTGGGACCGAGGCTGGACTGCGGAATATTTGGTACGTACAGTTCGAGGGATATAGCCGTACCTGTCCGAAACTAACTTGCTGAATATCATTAGTTTTTAGAATTTCAGTAGAAAAAGGTAGGGTAGGTGCACTTCCGTAGGACCGAGATCTTTCTGTCTCAGAATGTACAGGCCTTTCTCCTACTTAAAACATAACATCTCTGTGAAAATAATGGATAGTACTTTGTTTTAAGAATGATGAAATGAAAAACACTGGCCAGCAAATGATCATCCAACCGTGAAACATATTGGACAGGTAAAGGTAAAAGTGTACGCTACACTTAAGCGTAATAATTTAGGCGTGTAGTTGAGACACCAGAACACCATAGAGAAAAAAATGCATGATTTTCAAGTGGAATATCATTATATTCTTTCGATTCTTAATCTGAGTGTATTTTGAATTGTCTTCTGATTCCGACTCCATATTTATTACTCAATCTGTACAAGGAGGGAACATTTTTGGTGCCGTAAAGGGAACGGTTCAGATACTGTAGGAATTCTAAGCGATATTTTAGACACGTTGTCAAACAGTTGGCATCCATTGAACTGAAAAGTAATGTTATTTCGGATATTGCTGATGTTGATGATCTTTTGCGATGTTCAATGGAAATGGAGAATTCTGAAAATCGTTTCCGGTCACCATTGCAGACATTAGATTTACAAAATGTGGTAGGAGCCGGAAAGTCCACGACAACTGAGAGTAAGACTCGGTGGGGCTATTAACCTGTTGAACTGATGGCAAGTACAGGGAGAAAGAGTGACCAATGTACAATCGTTTTCATGTCCTATCCTACGACTGTCTGATTCCTTATCGGATGAAGCCCTGTCTGTCTTTGTGGGAGAGGTGCGGAACAGAAAGGGAAATGAGTGTAAGTTTAACACAATCTTGGCCATCGTTCAAATGCAATTCTGGCTTACAAACGTAACAGTAATGAACAACAAGTAGATATCAGTGACATTTTACATAGAGATACCAATGGATATAATGTGTAAGGGCCAAAATGTGACGAGAGTAAAAAAAAAAAAAAAAACAGGAAGGAGCTCAACATACAAGCCGGCAGTGTAAAACATCGGTGTAAAATATAGAAGTGAATGAAAAGCTTAACATACAAGATGACGGTGTAAACATCAGTATGAAATATAAAAGTCAATGAAATACTCAGTATACAAAGTTCTTAGATGTAATACAAAATAACTAACTCCAACCACTTGTCTGGGACGGGTATAGGCGTGTATATTTAATGAAGTGTAAAGTATTAATTATATTCTAATATGGTACATCAGGCAACTGGTGTAGATAAATATGCGTAATATCTTTTTTTAGAGATTTAAAGCTACAAACATTTATAGTATTCTGATACGTGGTGATGTGCTCAAGGCCTGTAAAGGAGTACCAGTCTCATATTGATTATGGATTAATAAGGTGACAAGTACTGACGACTGTTGGTGATAATAAAGATATTTTTGATGATTATTGAAGTTTTTTAGGGTCTCGTGAGTCAATTTACATTTGGTTCGATATTGATGTAGTTGTATGTGTAATTTACAAAAAAATATCTCGTGTAGATCAATATCGTTCATTTCAATATCATCATGAAAAATTAATAACAATCAACCAGACCCCACAGTCGTAATCCAGAATACGTGATGTATAAGTATAAAATAATGCCAACCTGGTCTTTTCGTTCGAGATAAACGTTTATACCTTTCAACAAAGCAGAAAGTATGTTTTTTGTCTTGTGTAGTAATATTATTATGTGCAATAACAAATTTACCATTATAATTCAATATCAAGCCTAAATAGCAAAACTGATCTACCACACCTACCCGGTACGTCTTTCCATCAAATTTCATATGTTCATTTGATAACATTCTCTTTCTTAATACCAATATTTTAGTTTTATCTACATCTACAGTCAAATTCCAACGATCCGAATACCTGTTTAAATAGTCGACTATTTTGAAGCTCATCGATATCTTCAGAGAATAACACTCTGTTATCTACATACATAATTAAAACAGATTGAGTAGTTGAATGTGATAATTGTTACAATTAGATTCAGTCAATTCTGATTCTATGTCATAAATAAAGAAGTGTATGTCCTTGGTCACCACGTGGTCTCAAGGTGTGTTATGTACCTATATATTTTTATAAGCAGGCTTAGAGAGTGAATAATGTACCATTATTATAAACCCTTATATTAACTAATATGTAGATAAAACTTCTGACAGAATAGTTATATATTCTACCATTTACACATTTAAATATTTCATTATCATAGTATGTTATAAAATGTTTACTTATTGCAGGGACAGATAATACGTATACATTGATCCCTGCTCGTTGGTTGCATTTATGAAGAATCCAAAGCTATCTTTGAAAAAGTATATGTGTACAAACAAATATGTTGTTTGTGCTGTTAATACTGGACTATAAGGTAGCTTTTGATTTAAGTCTGCTTGTTCTAGGATAACAACTGGCGAACACCGAATATTAATCATACATGTATGATACATATATAGTTACACGTTTATTGTCCTACGTGTGGAATACAAGTTATAATATTTATTTTTTTGACAATCGTTTATGTACAGATAAAAATACATTCGCTCTGTAGAGTTGATTTACGTATATAACCAATCATAAACAATCTACAAATGAAACATTCAATCACGATAAAATTACAGAAGTAAATCAAAACAGCTACACACCATGTGTTTACTGACAAAAACAGTAGGAATTCAATATATGTAATACAGTGTCAGTAAGCATAAGAAAAGTGAAGCACGTGGCAAAATAACACAAAATATCGCATTTTGGTACAGAAATAAAACTGGCGATCAAATAGTGAGTTTTTTTTTTTTGGTTTTTTTTTTGCGGGGGAAAAACTAATTATTTGATATATCTTGTTGAAATATGAGTCGAGAGTTCATTCGCTATGTAATTCATATATTGAAGTTCAATACATATGAAACTGGCTGTCCTTCTGCATTATCCGTATGAAATCACAGCCCAATTAACTATTAACTAATTAGTGTTCTGTCACGCCCACTAATCCTCTCTGACCGACAGTACCCCAACGGCTAGGTTTATACTTCGGTAGTCCGGGGCATTTGGGACTTAACAGCAGCAAATAACATACAAAATATAGAATATGAAAAAAACGAAAGTTGTCACTCATATGTAAATATAAATGTGAATAGATTGAAGTTAAGATATGTTAAATTTGCGTTATCATTCATCAAAATTCTGTTGTATGCCTAAATATTTTGCTGGCGTCGGCCAGGCTAGGATAAAATTCATGAATTATTACTGGACATCGTCTAGCTACTTCGAGACTCAAACTGTTATGTACTTTCTTAGGCATTTTATGGTGATGGACATGTTTTTTTAATCGAATATAACCGATTCAACGTACACAGTCTTCTAAATCTCTACAATGAATATATGTTTGGTGGCAGAAAATGACGTCACAAACGATCGGCCAATGAGAATCCTTGATTTTCAGAGGGGAAATAACTCTAGATTTTACAAATTCCTATGGTGTTTACAGGTAGAAATAATGACATTTGTACATCATGCAATACACCGTAACTTTTTAAAAACACTATTTAATGATTTTTTCACGAAAAAACTAACCATTCCGGTGACGTTAGAATGAAATTCACCAGACTGTGTCCTCATGTTGGGGAGTACCTAGATTCAAATTGAAATAAAAGTCACGAGACCGTGACCTCCTATTGGGAGTATTTATATTACTAATAAAGAGAAGTTCATCAGACTAGCCTTTTAAAGGGAGTATCAGTGACGGTCACCAGACTTCGGCCTCCTATAAGGAGTGTCTAAGTTAGGACTGGATTGGCATTCATCTGTGTGACCATATATGGGGTACATTGAGCTACTGAAGTCATCAGTGTTACCTCCTATAGGAAGTACATAGATTGCAATTGAAGTGAAGGTAACCAGACTGTGGTCTCCGAGAGGAAGAACTAAATTTACAAATGGAGTGAAAGTCACCAGTGTGACCAAAAGGGTGTGACAAGATACTTCAGTGTGACCTAAAGGGTGTGACAAGATACTTCAGTGTGACCTAAAGGGAGTGACAAGATACTTCAGTGTGACCTAAAGGGAGTGACAAGATACTTCAGTGTGACCTAAAGGGTGTGACAAGATACTTAAGTGTGACCTATTACAAGTCTCTATATCTGAAATAGGCCACTTGATGGCCTTTCAAGTACAGTAAATATAGATTATAGTACCAAAGAGTGTTACCTATTTATGTATAATGAAGTCACATTGAACTTAACAGTGATTATCAGTGTTTGTTGACTACATTTATTTTGGGTTTGCAATCCTGTTTAGTTTGTCAATATTGCAATGACTGATATTACTCTCTTTGAATGGGCGTTGCCTTACTTGTGACTAATTGGACAGTATGGAGACCAATATGGCAGCTCATTCAGGTCGAACATGTTATACATAGAATATAAACAAAGATCAGATTTATATCTAGAGCAGGACAGAAATCCTCTATACTAGACATAAATTATGTTCTATGACAAATAATTAATTCTTGGTTTTCCCGATATTTATCTAGTTTTAGAAATTGTCCACACTTTTCAGATATCATGTCCTCTGGGAGAGGATGCAGTCTTAAGATCTGCCCTGGATATTGTCACACGTCAAAACATCACTAGTACCAATTTCCAAATGTTCACTTTTACTTCAAGTGTTTTTGTTTTCGTTTGTTTTTCCTTTTCAATGGCCCCAAATTTCTTACTTTTCCAAAAGTTTGAAATGAAAGGAATGTCTCTTCACAAATCAATTACCGGTACACTTTCCTCTACCACTTCATCTCAAGGAATTCATCTCATAAAGTGATGTATGTGTAAGGTTAACCGTATCTAGATCCATTGTCAGAAAAACACTAAAAGGTAGATTGTTGTTTTAAAAGTTTTATTAATTTTTTTATCTATTGTTTTTTTTTTCTTTTTTTTTCCTTTTAAATTGGTTTTATCTTTTCTATTTTTTTAAAAGACAATTCATTTCTAGCAATTTTTACAATTATGGTATTCCTTATACATGTACTGAAATACAAAGCACACAAAGCATTTAACATTACATACTGTCTATAAATCCTGTCTCACAGTCAAATCCTATCTTGCATCTCATTCTCATCCTTTCTGAAATCACATTCTCCTAACATAATCCAATGCATACAGTTACATTTTGTTTTCAATATTTTCTCTCATTTCTGACACACTGAGACACACATGAATGTCTGAATCTCTTGTCATCGCCTGCGTTTACTTGGCACTTCTGGAGTAGCAGGGCTGGTGTGAGTAGAATGGGTCTGTCGTGTACGTTTCCGTTTTGGAGAATTTTCAGGAGTGTTTCCATGTAACACATTACTTGTATGTTTATTTTCTGGCTTTGATTCATGTTTTTCTGCTTTTGTTAGTTTTGAAACTGAAAAGAAAAGAAACTATTGTAATATAGTGCCCGCTAGCACTCAACAGTATATCTGTATATCACCATCAAAAATGCTTTTTCACATAAAGAGAAGATATTAAAATTGATACATCAAAATAAAATGCAATACAGTCAAACCTTATTATCTCTTATAACTCAAAGACCCTGTATAATTTGAAGTATTTTGTTGGTTCTGGCCAAATTTTACATGAAACATTTGACATTATTTAAAGATTGAATCATCAGATAACTCAAAGTTTTCAGAGATAACAAGGTTTGTCTGTACTCTTACAGTTACAGTAATATGGATAGCATTAATTTGTTACTTTAAGAAATAAAGTTTAGATTATCATTTACTTGTCAATATTTGCAACTGTTTTCATCTTATCAGCGGAGAAAAAGCCTTTAAGTATTTAGATGACCTTTCATGTTTTCAGGCCTATTTCTAGCGATCTGAATGAGAGAAAATGATTTTAAAGTTCAGGAGTTAAGGTCATGACAAAAACCAAACCAAGAATTTTGAAATTAACAAGCCTTTGGTTTTGTTAAATTTCAAAGCTTCTTCATGGTCAATTCCCAAAAATGGCATTTTACTACCTATGCTTAAGACGAACTTTCACATTTAAAACAGAAATGATATTTATGTTAAGTATTTTAAAAAGCATGCTGTGGGCCCTTTTCTTGAGCCACTTCCATTTGAAATGATAACCTGTATCCTGTTTTGCCTGAAACAAGACCAGAAGGTCAACATACTGACTAAACTCGGGACAATGAATTTGTAATTATTTGTAATTTTACTGAATAGATTATACATCTGGATGGGAATATTAGCAAGCAAGGGCTTCATGCTAAATAAATACAATATTAAAATATTTGAAATGAAACCAACCTGAAACATGGGTGTCTTTGGAAGAAGCATCAGACTTGTCACTTTTACTGTCATCCAGGGATCTATGTGAGGTGGAATGAGATCTTGGAAACTCTTTGTTAAAAAGATCTGAAAAATCTTCACCTGGTAAGGCAAAGTCTATATCTTTGTTTGGAAATGGCAAAATCTCTGATTCATTCTGAAAAATACATTTTAAACAATAAAAATATGTGAACAGCTCTTCATTTCCCCTGTTTGGCTTTTGGATTTTTCACTTGTTTTTTCTTAATTTATCACTTTTTGTTATCTTTTTCTTGTTTTCATATTTTTATTTCAACCAGAAAAAAGATGTACAGTTTACCGTTGCCACAATTTCTGTAATGGTTTGGCTGTTTATTGTATATAAAGCACTTAGATTTTCTACTGCAAGATTTTTTAAAACTAATTTCTAATTTGAAACTTCATAATAATATTCTGAAAGTGATGGCCTTATTTTCTACATCTTACAAGCTAAATGTACAAAGATATTATGATTGGGATTTGTAATTGTTTTCTTCAATAAAATCATAATTTACATTATTAATTCACAATTGTCTAAAAATGTACTACCAATTTGTGCAACTTAAATTGATGTTTCAAACATGCTCTTGACAACATCAATTTATAATCTGAAAACAAGACATGATGGAAGAATATTTTAAAAATCTCATCACAGTTACACTAATCGTCAATCCTATCCATAATGAGCACTCAAAGGTGAAGAGAAAAGTGATATTCATAGACAGGTTGCCTTTTATACTGATCACCCTCAAGTAAGATTTATGAAAAGGAAAACAGATAAATTTGTCAAATTTCAACCACCAGGAATTTTGCTCTCAATGTGACACTCTTTTGAAAATATGAAGCTGACAGACCTCCTACTTGGGAAGCATACAATCTTAGGAGGCCTACTTACCAGAGCTGTTAGGTCATACATGGTGAAAAGCCGAGTCCATATTTGCTTAGATGTAACTTTTCTGCTGAAGGAGTTATTTAGCTTATCATGGATGACAAGCATTTGGAAATGTCGATTAACACCTGAAATTAATTGAAGGTCCAATGATGTTCAAAGTATACTATTATAAAGGTTTATTAATAAGATGTTTGAATCAACATACATGTAATAAAGTATTGACTCTTAGTTGAACACCATTTTCTTTGCTTACATGTACACCAACTGCAACCTTGATATTTAGGCCAACAGTTTGTATGTACATATATTTGCCCAATTTCTTTCTTTTTTTAATTTAGGTATCTGAATGTTTGAGCACAGCAACATATTAAGAGTAGTTCAGTAGCTTTATTTTACATACAAGCTTGAAGAGCTGGACAGGAGTGGCTCCAGCTGGAAGGGTTCTGACTAACTATCCATGATTTTATTTTGTCTTGAACCCTTCAGACTACAGTGGCTCCTGAAGGATTTTTCATCTTTGCTCGACTTGCTTTAGTATTACACAACATCCAAATACATCTTGAATGGTTTTTTTTATATTATAATAATCATTTAAGACATGCTGTATTGCAATATCTACAATATTGTAATTAGATATAAAGCATTTTTCACCATAAGTGTGTTTTTCACTCAAGTTATTGAGTGGTTGTAAAACTATCTCCAAACCTATTTACATTTCAATACTCGTGGATGCAATGCAAACTAGGTCAATGTGTTGATTTCAGGTTTTCTAGATCCAAAGGATTTTTGTCATAGCCTTTTTCACCTAACAATGATATATTTCAAAATCATTTAATATCAACCATTTTTAAACTTATTGAAGAATTTATTTTCGCTTTCAATTTATTTGAAAAATCAAAGTTCTAATATCCAAACATCATCTAATCTAGTGTACTTATGTTTAATTTGCACATTTTATTGGGAGTCATTGTATTGAAGTTGATTGTAAAAGTTTCTAAAAGAGAATTTTTATACAGGTCGCAGAATTACTCCAAGGGAGGTAATCACTAAAGTTAAAATGAATAAGTCAAATCATAAGAGTATTCTGTACACGTGCTTTCAATATGAAAATTTGTATGATGTAAGGTTTTGGTATTTACAGTATCACAGAAATGCAACGTATTGTACAGTTGTTTAAACATCAGCAATGATAGCAATGAACACTCGTTATGATACAACGATCTGGCGCTTTGTGAGTTTTTGGTTTCATTTACTTCTCAAATATCACCTGGGACTGGAGCAACATAAAATAAAATAAGTATGAAAGCTAATAACTATCAAACCGGTACAAATATTTCCTTACCTACAGGCTTGTGCCTTCTCATTGCATGGAAAAGACTGACTTCCATCTCCACCGTTTCTGCGTCCGCCATTTTTATGACTTGTAATGAAGTTTCGTATTCTACTTTCACTTTGTGTATGTCATTAAATTGAAAATTAAAGACCAACGAATTTATATAATTCAATGTTTCTGACGAAATGTAGAAGCTAGAATTATACGAATGGTGATGTAGTCTGGTCATAAAATTTTCCCCAAACAAATATTGCTAGCTTTGTTTCTATCTCAATGTGCGGAAAAATAGAAAAAGACGCGAAAATGAAGAAAAAGTAAGAAGACGATTCCTTCCGGTTGAGTTGTCACGTTGGTAACTTTTTGGGACATTTAACATATGACACTTTTAGTTAGAATCACTATCATTTTAAAACTAGGTATTAGTATGTGTGACGAGGATTGGGATGCTGAGATCGACGGAGCGGAATATTCACAGACGGTGTACCAACCAACACAAGTGTTGACAAACTCAAATAGAACACAGCCAAAACAGTGGGATGCATGGGAAAACAGCCAGTCAACCAGTTCAAGCGTCAGTGAACGGTCATGTGGGAGGGGTTTCCAGTCAAGACCAGACATTGATAATTGGAGAATCCCTAGTAATGATAGGGGTTTTGGAAGAGGAGGGCTTGGAAAAGGAGGCTGGGGTTCAAGGGGACAGAAGGATGAAAGTAGACAGAGTCGAGTGTCAAGAAATGGAGAGACTTCAGGGGATACATTGGTCATCTTTGTTCAGAAATCACATGTTGGAAGAATAATTGGTAATATTGGGTATTTTTCCCTTTCCAATGAACGTATAATACAGGGATTGGAAACAAGGCCAAATGAGAGGCATATTTTTTGTTTTTGACTAAAAATGGTTAAAGATATTGAGTAAAATTTCAGCTAAGAAAAAGTTATTAACTTTGCATGCATTTTAATAAAAAAAATTAAATCATAAAAATCATTTGTCACAAAATTTAACATCAGTACTTGGAAAATCAATCATTTTTCCACTACCATCAATTTTAAAAAGATTAATACTGTACTGAAAAATGGTAAAACACAAGGCATCTAATTAGGTCCAATTCAGATGATTTAATAGCCTTAAAAAGGGATAAAGGCAGTCTGCTATCCTTTCTATGATATGTCCCTTGGTTATCTAGTCAAATTGATTTTTTTATAAAAAGAATTAATGCTTAGCTGATAATATCATGAAAAAGAATTTCCACAGATTTTCAAACAATAGTTACATTATCTTTTAATTTGATACAAAATTTTGTATGACAAATTAAATTGTTTGAAAAGTATTGACATTTTATTTGTGTTTAAGAAATGAAATGTCCATGATTTGTTTTTAGGAAAACAAGGATCAAAGATAAGAGAATTAAGAAATGAGACTGGAGCAACAATTACGGTGAGATTCCAATTTGTATATATATATATTCCAATTCCAATTTGTACAGCAAAAGATTTGTACATTCCTATTTCTACTGCCAACATCTCTATTTCATTTCTGGTGTTCTAAAAAAACTAAAAAGTCTCATGAGGACTCACTCAGTAGAGTGTTAGGGACTAAGCAACCTCAGAAGAAAGATCAGAAGTGTATGATTTGATCCCTACTCAGTAGAGTTTGCTTTTTTCAGGAAGCTGAAATTACAGACCTTCTGAAGCTGTTATGGTTGTGTTGTTGGGCATTTGGCAAAAGTTTTTTTGTTTTTTTTTTTTAATTTCTCTGCATAGCATGCAGTGGGCCTCCCACATGTTTTAAGGATGTCCTGCTTTAAAACAGGGCAGTAAGTCCAGAAATCAAACAAGTGTTCAAAATAAATGGTTTGAATTAACTGGTTGGATGAATTTTTATGGAATAGGTAGAGAAAAATGTAAAACATGATATTGGTAGTAGACCTGAAATAGGTAACTATTTTTGCTGAAGTGTAGTCAAAATTTCATCAGTTGCCCTAAACCACAAACATCTTTATATAACAGTGTGTTGTTTTTTAATTATAGGTATCTAGAAATGATAATGGAAGTGGTGAGAACCAGGTTGAGATATCGGGCTCAGAGGAAGAACGCAATATGGCAAAAAGGATGATTGACAAACTGATCTCTAGTTCATTTGGAGGTTAGTTATGTAGATAATTCTAGGTAAAATTACACTACATACATATTACCTCACAAATTCCAATGAATCAATTTTTAAAACCACATTCTTTTATGTGAATGTAGACAAGATTTTATTTTTCAATTTTTTTTTTAGCAGATGGAGGTGGAGGAGGTGGATTTGGTGGGGGTGGTGATCGTTCTTGTTATAGACGTGGAGAGCGTGGTCATATATCCAGAGACTGTCCCTCAGGTAAGCTTTATTCTGTTTACATGTGTACAGTGATAATATTTCTTTATGAAAATTGTCGTATTTGAACATGTAGTTATAATTATTTGCTAGTGATATTTTCTTGATTTCTTCTTCGAGTAAAACTCACATTTGTTGTTGTCATAATGTTTCCTGATGGCATGTTTAATAGACAACTATTGTAAAACGTGTATTATTGTTTGGAAAGGATATTAAGTGAAAAAGGTATTTGTTTTACTTGTAGAATCATCAAGTGGGCAGCGTTTTGGTGGATCCAGAGAGGATACAACGAGCATGTTTGTCTATAATAATGATGTTGGAAAAATCATAGGTAAAGATGATATAAAATTATGAATTAAGACTTAGCTTTGAGGAAAAAATGAGTCCCTGGTAATTTGCACTTGATGGAAAGTCAACTATTGTAGAACAAAGTCTTTTCATATCTTTCATAAAAAGACTAACCAATAGTCTTTCGAAAACTTTGATAAATTGTCATTCAGATACTTCAATGTCTTTATCAAAGAACTGACTTGTTTCCAAACTCATCTTGAGTTAGTATATACATATGTACAAAACCTTTAGATTTTCATTACACTCTATAAAGGGTGTCGAGAAGATAGGTGTAGGGAGAGTAGAACCCTTGAATTTTGAAGATGCATCTTTCAGGGTCCAGCAGTTATAGCAGTAATTATTCTGATTATTCTGTGTTTGTAGGTAAAGGTGGGTCAAAGATCAGAGAGCTGCAGGAGCAAACTGGAGCAAGAATCAAGGTAAGTTGAATGTAATGTCAACCCCACTTCAGTCATACTGAAAACCAGTGATTTGCTAATCAGACATGTACAGAAATCAAAAGTTGATCCATGAGGTGACTTAAATAAATTCTTCTTGAAAATGTTCTTTGGAATCTTTTAAATGAGTGACTTACCTTATTTAAACATGATAAAGACCAATGTAGTTCATGGAAGCTCTTCAAACTTCATGTGTGGAACTTTTTTCTTCTTGGCACTGATGTCTGCAATATTGAGGGAGTAGTGATAGCTCAGTCAGTAGGGCTTTGCAATCTCAGGAGAAGACCTGAGGTTTGCACTTCGATCCTTATATAATTTGCAATCAATGAAGTAATAAATCAGTCAGTAAAAAAAGTAAGATTACTGGGACTTTACCTCTTTATATAAGGATTACTGCTCTCTTCCCATATTGTAAGTGTAAGAAATAGGGTCACATTGTAAAAATGTCATCAGATGTTAAGCTTCTTTTAAAATAATATTTTGTGTATAGGTTTCCAGAGAGGAGAATGATGACGGCGAGAACAAAGTGGATATACAGGGCTCAGAGGAAGCTCGTAAAAAGGCCAAAGAGAAGATTGAAGAGCTCATAAAGCCATTCAGCACTATGACCTCAAAATATAGCAGTGAGTGTCAACATTTGACAAAAAGATGGGCATTGGTCTGCTAGGAAGATAAATATGTATTAGATAGCAATTGTTATAGAGCGTTTTAGTTATTTCTTTACTATTTAAAATCAATACACAAAGTGACCACAAGCAGAGGATCACTGAGTGAAATTGTTTTAAAATTTTCTTGTTAACATAATGAGTTAATAACATTATCAGTAAAGGCTTGTGATAGCTCAGTCAGTTAAAGTGTTATGTAAACCTTGCTGAAGATCCAAGGTGTGTGATTATGTTCTCCCTGCCTGTGTTGCTTTGTGTTTCTCCGGAAGCTGAAAAAGCCTTAACAGGGTGGTCTGTGTTGTCATGGTTGTGTTGTTGCTCTAGATGGCAATAGGCCTCACATATGTTGTTACAACCAGCTGCTACAAGGAGACATTCACAGAGCTATAAACCCAACAGACAAACAAGTTACCTCATATCAAAAGTTACACAGTCGTACAGTGTATGTTCCCAGGTTTTATTTGGTAACTGCCTATATTTTGATGAAAGACCCCCACAGTTGTAATTACCAAAAATATCCTTATCACAATCCTATGTTTTGAGCATTGCAAAAAGGTTTTAAATACCGTCTATCAGTATGTTGCAGTATTTTCACAGTTGATCAGTCTCCTTTCCAAATGCCTTTCAAAACAGAAAGAAAATCTCTTTGATTGTATAGCAGTGAAAATGAAAAAAAGATAAAATTACAAAATGTTCATGAATTTGTTGGAAACTTTTTGAAAAAAAGAAAGAATATTGCTCAAAAGAAAAATGCTAAACACCTTACATTGAAGTGAGATGAAACATTTCCAAGATAAAATTTGTGATTGGTCATTATTTAACAGGTAGCTCTAGTATTGATTCATCACAAGACGCTCAACCTAAGATCAACTGGGGCATGATCCGCTCGCAGCAAGAGGAGTACGCTCGCTTAAAGTTCCTGGGTAAATATTGTGAATAGTATTCCCTCATTAATTATATTTCGCTGAAAAAGAAGTTTTTCGATGTTCTTTGCCCAAATTATTTGATACCCCTTTTTTCTTTTGAGTAGTAATATATTGCCATAAAGGGTTTTTTTCTTTCCATGACTGAAATTTTCGTGGTTATACCAAAACATTGAAGCAAATAGGGTTTTATTTTTCACTAAAATAATGAAACAGGCTGTCGGATGACAAACACCATCAACAGTTTCTCACAGCCTGCACAGTTTTGGGAAACAGAGCGTGGTTCAAAGTTCATCTTTATTAGGGAATTATTGATGGTTTTGATTGTTCACAGATGGAATGTTCCAACATTTTTGTCCTTTATGAATAAAAAAGATCAATGATAAAATTAAGATATTTAATAGATTTGAACAGATATACATCCTTTTGTTGATCAGGTTTACCAGATATAAGGAAAGAATTTTACATTGAGGATCCAGCTGTGTCAAATATGTATCCAGATGATGTCAAGAAATTCAGGTAATATATCTCAGGTAATATATCTCAGGTAATATATCTCAATCAAACTACTTCTCTCTGGTCTCTCTCTCTGGTCACTTTAGTCAAAATACTTCTCTCTGGTCTATATCTGGTCACTTTAGTCAAGATACTTCTCTCTGGTCTCTCTCTCTGGTCACTTCAGTCAAAATACTTCTCTCTTCTCTCTCTCTCTGGTCACTTTAGTCAAAATACTTCTCTTTTCTCTCTCTCTCTGGTCACTTCAGTCAAAATACTTCTCTCTGGTCTCTCTCTCTGGTCACTTTAGTCAAAATACTTCTCTCTGGTCTATATCTGGTCACTTTAGTCAAAATACTTCTCTCTGGTCGTTTTCTTTGGTCACTTTAGTCAAAATACTTCTCTCTGGTCTCTCTCTGGTCACTTTAGTCAAAATACTTCTCTCTGGTCTCTCTCTGGTCACTTTAGTCAAAATACTTCTCTCTTCTCTCTCTCTGGTCACTTCAGTCAAAATACTTCTCTCTGGTCTCTCTCTCTGGTCACTTTAGTCAAAATACTTCTCTTTTCTCTCTCTCTCTGGTCACTTTAGTCAAAATACTTCTCTCTGGTCTCTCTCTCTGGTCACTTTAGTCAAATTACTTCTCTCTTCTCTCTCTCTCTCTGGTCACTTCAGTCAAAATACTTCTCTCTGGTCTATATCTGGTCACTTTAGTCAAAATACTTCTCTCTGGTCTCTCTCTCTGGTCACTTTAGTCAAAATACTTCTCTCTGGTCTCTCTCTGGTCACTTTAGTCAAAATACTTCTCTCTGGTCTCTCTCTCTGGTCACTTTAGTCAAAATACTTCTCTTTTCTCTCTCTCTCTGGTCACTTCAGTCAAAATACTTCTCTCTGGTCTCTCTCTCTCTCTGGTCACTTTAGTCAAATTACTTCTCTCTGGTCTCTCTCTCTGGTCACTTTAGTCAAAATACTTCTCTCTGGTCTCTCTCTCTGGTCACTTTAGTCAAAATACTTCTCTCTTCTCTCTCTCTCTGGTCACTTTAGTCAAAATACTTCTTTCTGGTCTCTCTCTGGTCACTTCAGTCAAAATACTTCTCTCTGGTCTCTCTCTCTGGTCACTTCAGTCAAAATACTTCTCTTTTCTCTCTCTCTCTCTGGTCACTTCAATCAAAATACTTCTCTCTGGTCTCTCTCTCTGGTCACTTTAGTCAAAATACTTCTCTCTGGTCTATATCTGGTCACTTTAGTCAAAATACTTCTCTCTGGTCGTTTTCTTTGGTCACTTTAGTCAAAATACTTCTCTCTGGTCTCTCTCTGGTCACTTTAGTCAAAATACTTCTTTCTGGTCTCTCTCTGGTCACTTAAGTCAAAATACTTCTCTCTTCTCTCTCTCTGGTCACTTCAGTCAAAATACTTCACTCTGGTCTCTCTCTCTGGTCACTTTAGTCAAAATACTTCTCTTTTCTCTCTCTCTCTCTGGTCACTTTAGTCAAAATACTTCTCTCTGGTCTCTCTCTCTGGTCACTTTAGTCAAATTACTTCTCTCTTCTCTCTCTCTCTCTGGTCACTTTAGTCAAAATACTTCTCTCTTCTCTCTCTCTCTGGTCACTTCAGTCAAAATACTTCTCTCTGGTCTATATCTGGTCACTTTAGTCAAAATACTTCTCTCTGGTCTCTCTCTCTGGTCACTTTAGTCAAAATACTTCTCTCTGGTCTCTCTCTGGTCACTTTAGTCAAAATACTTCTCTCTGGTCTCTCTCTCTGGTCACTTTAGTCAAATTACTTCTCTCTTCTCTCTCTCTCTCTGGTCACTTTAGTCAAAATACTTCTCTCTGGTCTCTCTCTCTGGTCACTTTAGTCAAAATACTTCTCTCTTCTCTCTCTCTCTGGTCACTTTAGTCAAAATACTTCTTTCTGGTCTCTCTCTGGTCACTTCAGTCAAAATACTTCTCTCTGGTCTCTCTCTCTGGTCACTTCAGTCAAAATACTTCTCTCTGGTCTCTCTCTCTGGTCACTTTAGTCAAAATACTTCTCTTTTCTCTCTCTCTCTGGTCACTTTAGTCAAAATACTTCTCTCTGGTCTCTCTCTCTGGTCACTTCAGTCAAAATACTTCTCTTTTCTCTCTCTCTCTGGTCACTTTAGTCAAAATACTTCTCTCTGGTCTCTCTCTCTGGTCACTTTAACATCAAAAGGTAGGTATGTAACCGTGATGGCTGTATTGTCTAGGGCAAAAGGTTAAAGGATACTTGGCTTGTTACCACGTCAGTGCTTTAGACAGGAAATTTGTGCTATAATTTTGAGGTGATTTTAAGGGATAATCTGAAGCCATGAAGGTATAATGATGTATTCATACAATGTATGGTGTCATAGTCACTATTTTGTATGTTTAAAAATTTGCACTTTTACTGAAAGTTTAAAGCAAAAACTGACTGTATGTCAGTGCTAGTATGCATTTGTCTGATGATGGTGACCATGTAGTCTTTGAAATGTCACACTCTCATTTTATACTGGTTATGTTATAAGATGAAAGTGACCATGTAGTCATCGAAATGTCACACTCTAATCTTCTACTGGTTGTGTTATAAGATAAAAGTGACTGTGTAATCATTGAAACATCACACTCTAATCTACTGGTTGTGTTATAAGATGAAGGTGACCATGTAGTCTTCCAAAATGAAAGCAAAATCATTTTCTTTTATTGTTTTTTTTTATTGCAGAAATCATGAAATTGACAATGATTTTCTCTATAAGTGTTATTTGAATTCTTGATATATCTATGTTTTGTAATTTTAGAAATAATATGAGAAGTTATCAAGAGGTATAATCTTTTTCTAATCTTGAATATTAAAATCAGTGGGTTTGATTAAGCTAGAAGACAATAATTTGTTTACAGGAAGGAAAACAATAACATTATAGTGATGGACCTGAGTAAGGAAGGTGATCGACGGGTTCCAAATCCTGTTCAGTCATTTGAACATGCTTTTCAGCATTATCGTAAGTCATGGATCTATAAACATCTTGTATTACAACACTATCATATGATAAGTGAATCAATGCGTTTCTAAAACTCGTGAATGTATAACTCATAAAAATTATGTTGTTATCTTTCCTTATCAAGAACAACAGTATGTCCCAGTTACTCAAAGCTTGGTTAGAGTTAACCATTGGGTAGTGAAAATTTCAAATATTTATTAAGCAAAACTGGGAAAATTCTTTATCATTTAACAGCTCTAAATCTGTTGAGACAGGTCATTTTGCTTTGAAAATCCATGGTTTTTTTTTCAATATCAAGAGTTAAAATTTTTCACCAACCAGTTTTTATTTTTAACAAGCTTTGAGCGATTGGGACCTGAAGTCGTCGAGGATTGTTGAAAGAGTAACATTATTTGAAGGACACATTTTATATCTTCTCAGTCTGTCGTGTTCAAACTTACAATCAGCCAATGGCTGGAACAGGAGTAGCTATTGCTATGTATCTTCAACCTTTAACATTTAAAATGAAAAAAAAAATGAAATTCTAGAGGAAATACAATATATAACTGCTTATGAAGGTTTAATTTACTGTTTTTTAATATTGATTTATATCTTGTTTTTATTAGCTGAAATACTGGATACGATATATGCCCAAAAATTCACAAAGCCATCCCCTATTCAGGTAGGTGCTGTGTGGGAGTTTTACGTTTTATGATTGTGATAACAAAAGATAAACTCTGTCAGCTTCAGTTTGAGGGGCTGTATATATTTCATATTATTTGATAGAGAGATTAGAAAAGAAAAGTTGGAGACAAAACAGAGTTGTGTAAATATGTTGTTTGAAATGGTTACAATTGATAAATATGCTGAAATCCATGTTGCAAAAGAAAAGTAGGATTATATATTTCAAGTCAAAAGAGATCAGAGCAATTCCAAAATACAAACGTTTTATCATGTGGATATTAGATCATTGTCTGTCTGTCATTTCTTTTTACTGGTGTATGCTTGATTGAAAGGAGAATCATCAAAATTATTGAAGATTTCCATGTGGCATATCAGCTAAAGATAAAACAATGGTCACAATGTATTCAGTATTAAGGGGGTTCACATTAGCTCAGTCGGTAGGTGGCGATCCAAAGTGTGTTGTTTAATGAGCCCAGCTCGAGGGAACAGAAGTGGGGGATGTTTAATGAGCCTAGCTCGAGGGAACAGAAGTGGGGGGTGTTTAATGAGCCCAGCTCGAGGGAACAGAAGTAGGGCATGGGGGCGGGGGTCTCAGGAAGCTTAGAATTAGATTATCTTGTACTGACATGGTTGTGTTATTGGTCAAAACACTCAAACTCTGTTGTTTTGGAAAACATGATGGCCACCTATTTGTTGTTCATTGAGGTAGCCACCAGCCACAACGAGGTTCCCAAGCTCAAAATGACTGGCAGTAGACAGGATGATAAACCTAGCAAACAAAAGGCATATGTTAAACAATACATCTAAGCGTGTGAGGGTAGATATCATTTATAAGAATAGATTTGTGGCAGATTTCAACTTGCTGTTTACAGTCGCAGGCCTGGCCGGTCCTTCTACAGGGGATGGACTTGATTGGAATAGCACAGGTAACATACACCTTTAAGTCTATTAACCTATCATCAGATACTGTGACCTGTTATAAATACAGAGTAACAAAGGTAACATACACCCTTAACACGCTATTTACTTATGTCAAATACTATTTTCTCCTATAAATACAGCATAACAAATGTAACATACACCCTTAACACTCTATTTACTTAGTGTCAAATACTATTTTCTCCTATAAATACAGAATAGCAAAGGTAACATACACCCTTAACACTCGCTGTTTAATTAGATTTGTTTCATGAATTGTATGTGATTTGTAAACTCATTTAAGATCCAATATTCATACATGTTTTTGTGGTTTCAGACAGGAACAGGGAAAACTCTAGCATTCCTGTTACCAGCCTTCATACATATAGACCAACAGCCCATGTAAGTCTTTAAAACAGGATCTCATATAAGTTGATCCTGTATCATGAAGATACTGAATATCCTGTGATATTTTGCCTTTTAACTTTCAAAATTCTGTGTTATTGTAGTTTGAAACAATTTCATTTTTCAAATATTTTAATAAAGGCAATTTGTGAATTTTTGTCCACTTAGTCAAACCTGACTTAGTGACTCCTAGTCAAACCTGACATAGTGACTCCTATAGTGAAATCTATTTTATATGCCTATCAAAACTTTTAATTGGCTGTATTATGATAGGATATGTAACTATGACATGAAGTTTTATGGCAGTTCAGCCGTTATTGCCCCTTGTCGTTTTCCTGTTAATATTGTCAAACAATATCCTCTGTTAATTTTTGGACAGATTTCTTTCAGGCTTAGTAGGCTTAATCACCTGGACATGAGGTTGTTAGCCTTTAATTTATGATTGTTTAGCACTGGTATTTTTATTCTTTTAGATACAAGTATGAATATTTGTTCTGTCCCACAGTAATCTTGTTGGTCAACAGAACTTCATTCTTACTGGTTATAATATTTCATTCCCTTAAATTTTGAAACCTAATCAAGATTGTTTGGAAAGAACAAAAGTACTTGCATTAAGTTGTATTACTCGCGTTCTTTACAGACCTCGGGAAGAGAGAGGTGGACCCAATGTACTGGTTCTGTCCCCAACTCGAGAACTTGCCTTACAGATTGAGGCGGAAGTGAAGAAGTTTCACTACAAAGGAATCAAGAGGTTTGTTTGTCTAATACACTAATACAGAAATTTGTCTAGAGATATACCGTGTTCATATGACTGTATACCTGGTATATCTGTGAGGTACATGCTTACAGAGATTGTCAGTTACCAAAATCCTGGTTTGGGTGGATAGTCTTCTTGCAGCAAATATCAGCCATATTTGTCTGTAGATTATTGAATATTTACAACACTTTCTTGTGATTTTAGATTTAATTTACCATACTTATTATTATCCTAGAGGGTCAACAAATTACCTCTGATTGAAAGTCAGAGTATGGGCTTATTACGAGATAAAGCATTTGATGCCATTTCTGTTACAGTGATTTTTGTGGGTTTATTAACAGACGTGGGCTTATTGCTTGATAAATACTGTTGAAATAAATTTTTGTATATTGATTGTATACAATTTTTCTGTGACGAAAAACCACAAAATTTGAGCCCCACAAATATTAGTGCTTTTACAGAAGACTAACTATCATGAGATGATTACTATACTTTGGTAGTGTTATAATGTATTTGTGTTAACTTGCAGTGTTTGCGTGTACGGAGGTGGTAACCGCAGGGAACAGATAAATGTCATTACTAAAGGCGTGGAAATTATTGTGGCCACGCCTGGACGCCTCAATGACCTTATCATGAACAACATTGTGTCAGTCAAGTCAGTCACATTTCTAGTAAGTTGCTTTTCAGATGGTTAGTAAATTGGAAGATTTTCTTTCAATTTAATCGTTAGCTTGTATTCTTCATGACGTTTTATTTGTGTTAAACTGAAAGTTGTTTGATAATCATGATCACTATTATCACCAAACATGCTGTTTTTATTTGATATGATAAGCAAGACCATCTCAGCATGTAGTTTCAGTTATAATTGTATGCTCTAATCAATGCAGAATTGGACCTTGTTAATTTTCATACTAATTGTAAAGCTCTGCGTTAAGCTCAGTGTTGAGCTAATTTCACTCTACAATGTAAGTACCTATGCTGTCATAAGCAAGCCTGAAGGTACTTTTATCTAGGCATGGCCATCCCACATATCAGATTGCTGATTTCACTCACAGTTCACCATTAATTGGAAGTTTTCAATAAATATGTCAAGTTCAACATGTTAGCTCAGTCCTGATGATATGGAGAAGTGGGAACTCTGGAGAAATGTAATGAGGTATAATGTCTTTTTCCCAACTTTCTGTTTAAGGTCTCAGTATCTACCTTAGAGCAGATTTGATATCCTGGAAATCAGTCACATTGTAGTTGTAATAAAGTTCTAGCACTGCACTTTCTTTCATTTTACCAAACATTTACAAAATCCAGATGTCTATTACAGTACAAATGTATTTGTTACAGATTCTGGATGAGGCTGACCGAATGTTAGATATGGGGTTTGAACCAGAAATCAAAAAAATTCTTTTGGATATCCGTCCTGATAGACAAACTGTAATGACGAGGTAAGATCCAGCGGAGGACATGTATAGATGAAGGGATTTATTCTTATTTAGGACGTACACTATATCTTGTGTAAAGAAATTTTATTTTATGATATATGTAAACATCCACATATCAGGTTCTGGGAGAGCAAAAGGTTAAATCAGTGATTCTTGATGTTTGATAATGTCATATTTTCCATACCTTGAAATTGCAAATTTGAAAATAGGCTGATTTTAAAAATAAGCAAGTGATTCCTTGTTTTGAAAATAGGCTGGCTACAATTAGAATAAACTCATTTTAAAAGTGGCATGTTATTTTGAACCAGCGGGTGAGGGCTATTTTTTATTATTATTTCTTTGAGAAGGAGATTTTTCTAACCTAAACAAAACTTGTTATTGTTCTGACACAATCTCATTTGTAGAATGTCTACCTTTATCCTATGTATTTTATACTATTGATATCTGATAAAATTATTATTAATGTACGACAAATTACAGTAAAGGTAAGATAAAGCAAGAGAGTGACAGACAGACAGCCAGACACACAGATGGACGGACAGACAAACAAAATAATAATGTTAGAACAAAAGATGCATGTAGGTCATTGAGAATCTGCAAGAGGACTTGATTGTGAATAGAATCAATTAAAGTGAGAAAGAAAAAGTGATTGGAAGATATATAGAAGTTAAAATTTTTCATCCAATGATATAAACATAATCTCTTTCCTTTGTCCCAGAGTCCTTAGACATTTAAGGAAAGAATGTGAATTATGTTTTTAGTTGGCCTTTTGATTCAAATGTTACTTGTATATTTTTTTAGTTTTTTATTCTTTTTTCTTTAATTGTCGATGACAGAGGAGTGCAAGTTTTCAACTTATTCCTGTCAAGACATTTTTGGTGTCAAAACCAATTTTCATCAGTTTGATGAATTTGTTCATTGTCTATACTTGTTGATTGTCATCCTTTTCATCTTGTCATTCTGATTTCTTTGTGCATTGTGTCTTTTCCTTTTGCTTTCTGAGTCTTTCTTCGTAGTGCCACCTTCAGTTTATGTTTCATCAGTTGTTTTTTCATCTTCATTTTGTGTTTCATTTTCATCCTTTAGCTCATTTTCTGATTCAATGCTGCATGAATCCTCAGTTTTCTTTAGTTTTGAGTCTTGCCTTTTGTGACCAGATTCTTTGCAATAGAGACATCTCCGTTCATTCTTGTTAATCTTACTCTGTCTCCTACACTACTTGTTTCCTTGGTGAGATGGTTGATCTTGTTTTGAAAACAAAGTTTGCCCAGGCTCTGTCTCCTACACTACTTGTCAATGGAACTTCATACTTGAGATATAGGTTCGTCTTAGTGAGTTTGTTTCATGTATCAAAAGTAGGTCACTGGGATCTACATTTTGACCTTTGATTTGCATCAAAGAAAAAGGTTTTTGGAGCTCCATCTCCCACACCACTAGTCACTGGGACTTCATGCTTTGGATATTTGTTCATCTTTGTGAAGTGTCCAAAGCAGGTTACCCTGACCTACATTTCGACCTTTGACCTACATCAAAGAAAAAGTTTTTCTACACTCGATCTCCTACATTTATAGTCACTGGAACTTGATACTTGGTGTATGGGTTCACCTCAGTGAAATGGTGTGTTAGTTTTTAGAATTTGCTATCATCACTAAATCTTGGTACAAAGACATAATTTGTTATAATAAGAATAATAATAAGTCATGTCACCTTACACAAGGTTTGAGATGCCATTCACTGGTAACTCATGAAAATATGAAAACCTGTCTGACTGCATTCTGTACTATCTGACAACCTCTCTAAAGTGATCCTGTAAACTCTAAATCTAGATTAAGTTTTAAAGGTTTTAATGTGATCATATAGGAATGCAATAATGTGCTACAATTGTTGAAATTAATTTTGTGATATCAGCTACATTGTGTCCTATATACAGCGCTACCTGGCCTGAAGGAGTGCGACGCATGGCCGACGCTTATCTCACAGATCCATTCCAAGTATTTGTAGGCTCCTTAGATCTAGCAGTAAGTAACCAACACAGACATATATTAAGTATATAATTAATTGCTCTTAAAAAGTACTCAAAAATAACAATTCTTAAATGTATTCAATAATTATAGATTAAGCTTTTCTTGTAAAATATTCAGACACAAAGTAATACTGTGTTTAGAAGTATTTGAAGACCTGGTTCCACACAACTTTTTGATTCTGGAAATATTGAATAATAGTTATGAAAGAAAAGAAAACTTACCATTACAAGTTAATCCAGTATTTTTAGTTTCATGTTGTTAAAATGAGTTCAACATATGATATGATCTTTGTACCAAGGTCTACCAAAGTAAGTCATTGAGATTGTCTAAATCATTATTCAGTTTGTCCATTTCTGTTAAACCTTCCGATTTTGTCAAATTTAAGATGAATCCTTGTGAACTTGGTTTAATATCACAATAAAACTGGTATCATGGTGGTGTCTATTGTATAAAGGGAAGTAATCATTACTTTGGTCCATTGTAGGCGGTCCACAGTGTTACACAACTGGTGGAAATCATTGATGATGAGGAAAAAAAAGACCGGGTATGACTTTTTATGTCAATTATTTTGATTTACATTATTTTGTATTCTTGGCATTGTGCCAATAAAGCGATTTAATTAAAAAATATTTTGTTGAAAATACTTTTAGTTTATGATTTTTCAACGCATTGCTTTTGAAATTTTCAATCTGTTGATTGAAAAAATGCAGATGATCAGTGATGAATTTTGATTGATTTCTAACAAGGTATTGTTTAGATTTGAATGTAAGTTTGAAACGTGGACAGAGTTGGCATTCATAAGAATTTAATTCAAATATGTGGCCGTTACTTACTATTGTACAGTCTTGTTACAAGCATGTCTTCCTAAAACTTCATGAGCTATAAACTAAGGCTGCATTCGGGTAACCCAGTTGGAATGTTTCAGGTGGTCTGGAATTATTCCACTATTATGCACTTGTACCGGATGTTGGACCTGATATATGTAAAGCTCAAAATGCAGTTTGGGAATTTCCTGTTAAGCATAAAACAATTAATTAAGATCCCATTCATTTCACTCAAGCTTTACAATGAAATATGTGAGTGCACTGACCCTATTTGTTTTGCTGAAATTCTGAAAACTGCGGTAGTGATATTCAGCAAGTTAGTTTCGGACAGGTATGGCTAGACCCCTCAAACTGCACATCCCAAATATTCTGCAGTCCAGCATCAGTCCCGATCTGTACCTGGCGTTTTTGTTGCAGATTCAATCAGTCCAAAAATTTCAATTATTTACATGAAAGCACCTTAATTGTTTTATCTTTCCTGCCTAGGTTTCCTTCTTTGTACAGCATGAGATGGAACCAGACGACAAAGTCATTATATTTGTTGGAAAGAAAGTTCTGTAAGTTTTCAAGAGTTTTCATGGAAATATTTTGTTTAAATAAAATTGAGATTCAATCTTGCAATGGATTTTAAGTTTATGCAAGGCCTAAAAGAGAGGAAATTTAGAAACTGAATTCAGAAAACATATAAAGCTATGATTCAAGTTGGTAAAAATTCACAAGAAGAAGGAAATGCATTTTTTTCATTGCTAATTACTATTGAAAATGTCCTCAATTTGTAACAGGTGTCTCTTAAATTTTACCATTATGACTTTGATGAATTTCTCTGCTTTTTGTCCCATTCAGAATGTTTAACATTCAACAGTAAAATACTGATTACATACTTGATTTGTGTATTGTTTTCAGGGCTGATGATCTGTCCAGTGATTTCTCTCTCAATGGGATAGACTGCCAGTGTATCCATGGTGACAGGTGATTCAATGATTAGTTATATAACACATGTGTCAATGGTGGACTCTGTAGTCATTTGTTTGCTTGGTTTATAACTTAAGAACCACAGTCATTTAGAGGCAGGGTCTTAGCTGGTGACTACCTCATTGAACAACAGTGGGGAGGTCTGCCACACACTATCCAAAGCTTTTGGTATGTTGTCGAAGGACAAAGTCACACCAGCAAAGAATGATCTAATTTGAGCTTCCTGTCAATCAATATGGATCTAACAACATACCTTTGATATTAACCTGAAGTAGTAAAGTTTGATGCTCATCCCACTGAGCTTTTGTGGCTCTTCTGTAGTCACTTACTCCTGTCTAACAGTATCTCCAGTCACTTTGGAGGCAACTGAAATTAAGATGAGCAATTTCATCTTTATCCTTGTCAGTTATAATGTTTAATTTCTTATAACCACTTTGGATCCAAATTTTTTCTTTTATTCGTCTTTTTTTCTTCTATGTAAAGCAATTTTCAGATTAGTGATAATTCAGTTATTCTTGTTTTTCAATCAAAGTTCAAGCAAAATAGAGAGAAGTGTGAACATTTTGTTCCACACATTTATAGTAGAGCATTGGGTCATTGTCTGATAGAGGAATGAAAATCAGCTGAAATAAAGAAAATTTCTAAATTATTAAGAGAAAATCAAATCAGAATATTTCTTAAGATTGGGGTATTGCTCACCAATGGAAGGATGCTTCTGAAGTGATGAAATTTAGAGCATGTGACACCTATTTCTACAGAGAACAATGTGACCGTGAACAAGCTCTGGAGGATTTTAAAACAGGATACGTCAAGATCCTCGTAGCCACAGATGTAGCCTCACGAGGTTTGGATGTCAAGGATATTACGTATGTATATCTATTTTAGGTTATTTTTCATGAATAAAATCAATATGATTACATTTCTGATTTGCAAATTCTATCGAGTATTATTAGATGTGCAAATCTTGTCCATAAGTTTGCAAATGTTTGATTTGTAAATATACAAATATTCATTTGGGTAGTAACTTGTGAAAGTATTGTTACAGAGATATCTTGGTTTGAAGACTTACAAATATTAACATATTTATCAAACAATAATCCCATGTCTGCTGATAAGCCCAACTATTTATTATGCAATTTAATAAAATCATCAACCAGTGTTATTTTGTTATCCTGTGATAAGCCCACCTCATGACTTTAAGTCAGAGGTTAAATATTGACCCTCTGGGCTTATTGCAGGATAAATATGGTACCTGTGTAGAACTTAGAATTACTATGTAGGAAAACATTGGTGTTGATTGACTGACAGATATTAAAGTCAAAGGATTAGGAAATATTAGGATCAATGTTAGCAGAAAATGTCTCTAGTTCCTGAAGGTCGTTAAAAACCAAATCTATCATGATTTTGTCATAGAATTAAAGAAACAAAAATGGTGTTTCATTCATAATTTTCAAAAGTTAACAGAGAAGGAGTGAGTTACCAGAAACATTATTCAACTTGACCTGGGTATTGTAATTTGTAGAGAATTAGACCCCTGGATATATTACAGATACTAATCAATGGTATTTATCTTCAGACATGTTTTCAACTACGACTTTCCTCGTAACATAGAAGAATACGTCCACAGAATTGGCAGAACTGGGAGAGCCGGGTAAGACAATGATTATTCAGGACATATATTGATTCTTATAAAAATATTAGATTTCAATTATTTTCCAACAATTTAAGAGTTTACTTATTGAGAGGATGAATGTTCAACAAGAGAAATATAACTGTTCACATGTTTGAATGTTCCTTATTCATTAAATCGTTTTGCTCATTCTCGTTAAAGTTCCATGTTGTCTGCATCATTCCCCATTCCTGATGTTGTCCAGTCCGATACTGTCTCGATTCAATTGCGAACAATGAAGAACTGTCATTATACCAGCCTTATTTTTTTAACAGGTTTTGGTCAAATATTTTGCAAATGGCAAATTAGATAGTAGGGCAATAACCAATGGTGATGAGAAATTTTTAAAAAAAGTTGTTACTTAATGTTGCTTTTGACAGTAAAACAGGAACATCGTTGACCTTGATGACAAGGAATGACTGGAGGTCAGCACAACTCTTGATTGACATTATGGAAGAAGCCAACCAGGTAAAACTTTGTTAAACATCTCTTTGATTAAGATGCAAATTTTATCTAGATGTGCCAACAAAGCTGCTTTAGATTATCCTTGAATTAAGGTAATTTGTGTAAAAAAAATACATGCAAATGTTCTGATCAGTCATTTTATGATCAAAACAATGAAATGGCCATGTGGTGTTGCCCCTGTCTGTCATTCTGTCACATATACTGTGTGACAGGAAGATATGAAAACTTATTTATGATTGGGGTGTAAAATAGTTAGGTTGAGGTCTTGTTTACAGTTGTTGGTAACTTATTTTATTAAGAAAAATTCAAGAAACTATCAGTTCCCACTCATTTTCTGGATGGGGACATTAAACTGTTTAGTTATGTGTAGTTGTTATGCTCCCCAAAATTTTCAGTGTATACATTGATCATACTAAGGCAATCTGCAGTGTACTAAATTCAGGACCTGTCCATCCTTTCATGTCCGGAGCATAACTTTGCCCCCAGTTAAACAAGGATCTTTATGATTGGTGTATACATTAGTCATACTAAGGGAATGTGCAGTGTACCAAATTTAAGGCCCTCAACCACTCAATTACAGAGTTACTGCCCTTTGGTAATATTTCATATCTAGGATAGATGAAACGTGTTGTATACATTGATGAACAAAGTTAAGGGGTTATACTGGAATCAGCTTGTCTGTCCGTTCGTCTGTCCATAGGAAAAATTTGTCTGGACAACTCCTAAACAACTGGATTGATTTCAATGAAACTACATGGGGACCATGTAGGTGTGGTTGCCATGACAACCAGTCAATAGAAATTGAAATTTGCTTGAAAATTTTTTCTAGACAAGTTCTCTTAAACTGATGTATCAGTTTCATTTTTATGACACATCAATGTTAGGTACAATGTGAAACTGTGCAGCCAACCCTCGGTTGCCTTGGTTATGAGTCATTATAAACAGGACAACTCTATCTAAACAAGTGGGTCAATTTCAGTGAAATTATGTATGTTAATGATAGCGACCATATAGGGATGTGCATGCAACATTTTTTTCTCAGAAACATTTGGTTGCCATAGCAACTGTACTGGGGACCAAGGGTAGAGGTGCATGCAACCTTTTTTTCCCAGCAAAATATTGATTGCAATGGTAACCAGTCAAAATATTTATTCAAATTACAGTGTCAGTACTATAAAACTGTATTTTGCATATTATTATTATCGTAAAACTATATGACAGGGAATGGGGGTGGGGGAGAGGAGTGGGGTATTAGTCAGCCTTTGACTTACAGTTCTAGTTGTCTTGATTTTTATAGACCTTGAACTGGAAGAATGTAACGTAATAATCAGATTCAATAGTTTCAAATGGGCATTCATGTTACTCTGTCCTAGTTAGCTCATTTGAAACATTTGTTCTGAATTCCAGGAATGTTCTTTATATTGCCCTACAGTGAATTCCAGACTTACTGAGGTAATTTTGCTTCCATTGTCAACTCCTTACACTCAAAGCTATGTTGACACTTAGAGGTGGTGTTGATTGTGCTGGCGATAAATAAAGCTGGTATATCTCTCTTTTAGGAAATTCCTCAAGACCTATATGAGATGGCTGAAAGATATGAAAGAATGAAGAAAAAGCGTGAAGAGGAGAGAGCAAGTGGTGGTGGAAGTCGGTTCGGGGGCGACAGGGGAAGGTCAAGAGGTGGTGACGATGACTTTCTGGGTGGGTACAGTGGATTTGGTGGAGGAAGACGAGGAGGTGGACGCAGGCGCGATGACAGATGTGGAGTGATCATAAATACCTATGGAATTGCTTAATTTGTGACAGCTAAAACCAAAAATTGAATATACCTCACAGAGGGTCCAAGGAATCCATGGGACCACAAAGTGCAAATGTGATTCATATATGGAAAGAAGTCCTTGTGTTTCATTTTGTGCCAATGTAAGCATGAAGGCTGTTGTTGTTTGTGCTATAACTCTCGAGATTTCTTCCAGATTTTTTGACTGTGGTGACCATTCTTGTCCCTCAGCACATTTAGGCACCTCTCCTATAACCCTACACTTATAGGATGTGCAGACAAAGAGCAATACAAATGCTATTGTTTTAGTATATTGTAATACATGTTCATTTGGTTAGAATCTTATTTCTTATTGGATTTAAGATTCAGGTTCGTGAAGAATTCATTCTTTAGAAAAAAAAAAAAGCTATCCTGTACATATCATATTTTATCTTTGATTTGTTTGTCTTCAAAGAATGGAAGCCATACCGTTTGTTCGTTCTTCAAAAATTGTGATGAAATCTTAAATCGATCAGGTTAACATAAGACATAATGTGCCAGGAAAGCAGTGATTATTGTTGTTGTTTTTCTACCCACCATCATCAGATGGTCGGCTATTCAAACTGCCCTACAATCTGTGGTTCGTCGTCCAACATCTGCCCGTTAGTAAACAATTTTTGTTATTGCTCTTTCCTGCAAATTACCAGATGGATCTCTCTCAAACTTCATATGTAGCTTCCCCTTAGTCTCTTGTTGTGCCCATTTAATTTTTGGACTGATCAGAAAGACAAAATGGCTGACAGGTGGCCATCTTGGATTTTTACTTTGGAAGTTTGTTATCCACTATTTCTCAAGAATCCCAGCATAGATCTTTCTCATATTTCGTGTGTAGGTTACCTTGATCCGTAGCTGGCCAACCTGGACTTCGCCTAGTAAAGCTTGTTATCCCTATTTCTTAACAAGGACAGAATGGATCTTTCTCAAATTTCATAAGTAGATTTCCTGTGGTTGCTACTTATGCCCGTTTGATTTTGGGACTGATCAGAAAAAAAACTAACTGGCTTCCAGGCAACCATATTAGATTTGGTAGATTATCATTGCTGCTTCTGCAAAGGAATCATCAAATTTCTTATCATTAAGAGCAAAGGCAGAGAAGAGAAAAGAAGGAAAAAGATCCAATTTTTAAAAAGCAAATGAAGATCAAACAATGGTGGGTGCCAAGATCCCTGTGGAATCTCCTGTTTTTAGGTCGCCTGAGCCAAAGGCTCATGGTGATTTATTGCCATCATAATTTGTCTGTCGTGCGTCGTGCGTTGCTAACTTTTCAGATGTTTTACACATGGTCCTGCACAAGTGTTGTTACATTTTTGCAACATTTTAAAATCCCCAGATTATTGACATATATTCCTCAGGTGACCGTTAAGGCCCCTTGGGCCTCTTGTTTAAGATTGTTGTAGATCTACAATGAAAATAAATCCAGTTGAGATCATCTATTCTGTTTACTTGGTGTAGATCTGTTAAACATGATATCAGAATGAAGATAAATAAATATCGCTATTTTTTTAAGCATTTTGTATGATATTTGTTATAATTATTTTACCGGCGGATATTGTCTGTAGAAAGATTACAAGAACAGAGGATGAGGGAGAGAAAGGGGTGGACTACTTTGGATTAGGGAAGAGAAGCAGTAACCTCCAATGTTATTTTTACTGAAGTGGTGCTATAATGGAACAGATTGAGAGGTCGGTGTACAGTGTATTGATAGCATACCTGTTGTCACGTTGATTAGGTATGGTATTAAAAGCATATCCTTTTAAAAATCTGGCGTTTTTTCATGTTATTTAATTTTACCATCCACAATATGCAATTCTCTTCATTTTCTGTGGATGTCATCAAACAAAAAATTTTCAAAGTTTTAAAAAAATCGAGGCAGAAACAATAAGATCAGTTGAGATCACTTGTTTGCATGTATCACAGGTGTAATAGTATAGTTATATTTTCATATATTTTTTTTTTGAAAAAGTTCCAGTTGACATTTGATTTCATGAATAAGTGTAGCTCAATAAATCTAATAACAATTATATCATCAGTTCTTAGACGCATGAATTCAAAGATGAAGTTTACCCCAAAACTCCACCAAAATCAAACCACCTCAAAAATCAACCAAAATCAAAACCTCTCAGAATAATTTGAAGTACACATGTTGTGAGATTTTGCATCAGTAGATCATGGGAAATAATATTAGGGTTATTTTCAGTGATTATGAATATAGAAAAATCAAATCCGCTTTGAATATTACCAGTTTTATAGTTTCTTCCCCAAATCAGACTCTGCAATGCTCTACAAAATAGTTGATTGTTCATCATTCATTTCTTTTCTTAGTGACAAAATTGTTTCAGTCAGAAAATTCATAAACTAAGAATTTTAAATTCATTTACAGAATCTTGTTTAAAAATCCTGTTTGCACAATTTCCATATTTTTGTTATAGAAGGCAAACTGATAAAAATGGAGATATGCAGATTGTACGGAAGGAATTGCAAAACTGTTGTGTTTATGGGAGAAATAATTTTGAAATGTCAATGATTGAAAGGAATGTGTGTTCTGTTGCTAGACCATCAGGCAGTAGAACATGATGTTAAAGGGACTTCATAAATTTTACCAGGGTTACATAAAGAGAATTTTGTATTTTGAAAACATGACATTAACAGAAAATTGACTTTCGACAACATGATATTAAGTGGAATTTACTGACAAATCAGTCCATTGATACTTGGATATTTATAGTTTCTCCTTCAACATAACAGGATCAGCCTGTTCTGAGAGAAATATATTCTGATGTATGTAGTACTTGATAAATTGTTTTGTTGGTTGTAATATTTCATAAATAAATATTAATAACTAAACAGTGTATTTTCTTAATAGAACCCAAAAGATACAAAAGTGGAAAGCACTTTCCAATACAAATTTAAAATAGATACAGCATATCTAAAGAATGAATTAAACTACATCATACAGCTGTTCTGTCCATTGTTAGACAAACAACTTCTGATTAACCAAAATGACCAGAATCATTTTATCTAGTTCAGAGCTTCTGAGACAAAGGCTGGCAATGTTTGTAGAACAAAAACAAAAGACCAATGTTAAAGGTCAAATGGGCCAAATTTATCATAACTTATGCTTAAAATTATAATATTTAGTTTAAATGTTCCCAAGAGAAAACTAAGCAAAATTAAAAGAACTTACCTGTATTCAAGGTCACATGGGTTGAAGTTATTGTTACAATCAACCAACTTTTGATTACATTAGAAAAAGAAATAATTTTTTTCTATATTTAAGTTTCCATGGATCTATCTTTTTTATAACATTTTATTACCCAATCACCTAGAATCTTTTTTTCCCCTTTCAGCATGTAAGTTTCAAAGACGAAACCCCAGAAATGTTGTGAAAAGAAATCTCTTTGACCATTATTCAAACTACGGGTGTAAAATTGACTTACTGTATTGTGTTAGAAAGTGATGAAAATTGTTTCCCATAACTTTTGGAAAATATTTGTTTAAATATTTCAGATGAAAATCATAAATTGGAACAATTCTAAAGAAATAGCAATTATTAGAAATTTTTCACTGTCAAAATCCAAAATGGCAGCCATTTTTTTTTTCTGTTCAGTTCCAAAATCAATAAGGCACAACTAGGGACCTGAATATAAGATTTGAAAATGATGCACTTAGTCCATTTGAGAAATATCATAACAAAGCATCATTCTCAAAATTAAAGATGGGCAGCTGACAGCCATTTTTTTCTGATCAGTCCCAAAATCCAAAAGGCACATCTAGGGTCTAAAGGTAACTTAAATCTGAAATTGGAGATGGATCCATCCATCTCTTCTCAAGAAATAGTGACAACAAACGTTCATGAAAAAAAAATATGGACACTTGGCAGACATTTAGTTTTGAAGATCCATCCCAAAAGCACAAATTCATATTTAGGGATCAAGAAAATTTTGACAGATATAACCAGATCGTCTCAAGAAATAGTGATAAGAATTGTTTGAGGATGGCTGACAGACAGATGGACCAGAACATAGGGATTTGAACAGACAACAATCAGATGTTTAGGACTGAAAAGGTGTTACAAGGTTTGGTCATATCATGAAAGCCTGTTTTGGTCCATCTGAAAATAATGTCTTAAAATGCCTGTACTTTATCATTTAAAACTCGTTTGTAGCCTTGATTATCATGCTGTTCAAATACATTCATTTTTCAACTATATGGTCCATGGGAGACCTACACATGAAATTTTGACTAAGTTTCTTTCAGCACTTAGAAATAGTGATCACAAACTTATGAAGGTCACAAACTGAGAATTTTTTGACTGACAATCACTTATTTGGGTTTGGTGGGATCTTCGAACAGGTTATTAGCATATTATCAGACCCTCTGATTGACTTTTTTTTTAACAAGACTTATACGATAATGTCAAATCCCTCTCGGTATATTGATGATTGAACATGATCCCACACCCTGTGTTAATCAGATATACTTGACAGAATCATTCTGCATCAGCCCTTTACGTCAATCTTGACTTACAATACAATCAACAATTACAGTGTTCCATTGAATATGACAGTTTCTTCATGTGTTTTTTTCATTTTAGATATCAACAACCTTAAACCTGCTTAGCAAGCATATAATACTTCCTTGTTGCAGACAATTCAATATTGTATGGCCAATTCCCAATATTACGATTTTTGAGATGGATGTTAACTGACAGAACCAACTTACAACAGAGGCTTTCAAGTTTCAATAAACATATATATTGTTCTACTATGAAAATCCTTACTTAAAACCATCATTATTTGAATCAAGCTTACAGTTAGTGTTACATGCAACACTCGTCCCCTGCCGTTATTTAAATTTTCTAAGCAAATAGACCTTGATAGCAAAGAACAGTTGATATCTTATTTTAAAGTCTTCCTTGGAAAACCGGTGTCTTGACAGGAAGGACGCAAAAACCAGAAAAAATACAAAAAATTATATACACTCCCTTGTGCTTAATACTGTATGAAGTTTTATTCAAGTTTGTCATCCCTAATTCAATTAAGTGATTATCTTGAAAACAAACTACAAAACTGACATGTCGGAAAGGACCTGGCTTTGTGTCTGACCTTCAAGAGTAAATTTAACCATTTGAGTTACCTTGTAGGTATACACATGAAAAGATGTAAAATTTGAACTTGATCTTTTGACACAGTGACCTTGAGCATAGGTCAGTTGACTACTGGTGTAATTCTGACAAACTGGTGATAAATGTATTTTAGTAAGTGACCTTCACAGTTGACCTTTTGACCCCTAACTCAATCCCACCCTATAAATTTTCTAATAATATCAGATTGCATCAGTTTCAATACAATTAGTCAACCCTATCACAAGTAATCATATGGAAGCCAAAATATGATGATAAAAGTATACTCTCAGTGACCTTAGTAGATGACCTTTTGACCCAAAACTCAATCCCACTCTATATTACTTAATAAGCTAACCTTTTATGTAGTTTCAACCAAATCCATCAATCCTTTCTGAAGTCATCATATGGAAACCAAATTTGAAGAAGTCTTATTTTTAGTAAAAATGACCTTTGTAATGGACCTTTTGACCCAAAACTCAATCCCACTTTGTATCACCTCATAAGCTAATATTGTATGACATTTCAATCAAGTCCATGAATCCATTCTGAAGTTATTGTCTGGAAACCAAAATTTGAAGTAAAATATCTGGTTTTATTCAACACTGACCATTGTATTCAACCTTTCCACCCAACACTTGATCCCATTCTGTTTCACATTACATTAAGTTACATTCAAATTCATTCATTTTTTCTCAAGGTATTGTCCAGAAACCAACATTCGGACAGACAGATGGAGACCAAACACTTTAGTCCCTTCCAGTTTCAAAGCAGGGGAGAAAGAAAAAATTTCTATTACCTCGTGCAATATTAAGTTCTGCATTTATTGCTTGCAAGAACTAATAAAGTTCCATAGTTTTCCCCTTGAAATGCAATTGTTCATTTCAAAACAGATTTTGATCAAGCTTCACAACTTGTAAATGTCCACTTTTACTATTTTTAGAAAACGCATGTTAACTTGAAACTCATTTCAAGAACATTCAGAGTGTTGTCAATGTAGCAGAAACTTACCACTATTTAACAGTTGCTTTGACTTGAGTTTTGATTACAATTTTGTGGACGTTTGTTTCCAAAACGTTCTTCCTTTCTTTTTTTTAAAGTGGATACAAGACAAATTCCTCATCTATCAATTTTATAAAAGAAATTTATTACATGATCAATATAATTCAAAGTAGTAAAACCTAAAATGAAAAAAATGAACACAGGAACTTTCTCAAATCAAATTTAAAGTACTAACGATTCTTATCCTCTTCCTCATTTGTTGATATCTTCAACATCTTTAGTCCAACACTATCAACAGATACTTAAGTTCATCACGCACATGGAAAATCAGACAAAGTCAATTGATAATGCTAACAAGCAAAGTACAAAGTAATTTTAAAAACTGCTCAGCTGTTTATTCATAGTAAACCTTCTACAAAAATCAAACTTAAGTTAAACATATTGATTCTCTATCTCTCTGTAGATTTTTGTGTGTAATTTTACACAAGTACATAGCAGAGAGTAAATCTCTCAAGGATGATAAGGTTACCAACAAGAGGCCCACAGACCATAACAATCATCTGATTATAAAGGACTGCAGAGGACACAACAGCAGTAGTTGTCAGAATAGTTATTCAATGATTAAAACAGAATATTCCATTAAAAAAACATTCATTTCACTTATCAACATTCCCAAAAAATTTAAGATCAATGTCATCTATTGACTTGAAAAGTTTGATTTTTTCCCCCAAGTTGACAGCCAAGCGGCCATATTGGATTTTGGGTTGACCCGAAACACTTGATCAGGACTATCGCAGGATCATTTCAGGCAAGTTTAAGCTAAATCCAACCAAAGGAACTTGAGACAAAGCTTAGAATAAGCGCTGTTCTGGAAAAACATTTACACGATCATGTTACTAAATGGCCATCATGGCTGCCATATTGAACTTTTGAAATCCCATCATTTTCAGCTCAATGGCACCAGTGGAATTTGATTTGTTAAAAATGTCTTAATTCAAGATGGTGGCCATATTGGATTCTAGACTGACCTCAAAATTCTGAAAACAGGATCACTTCAGTATCATTTCCAGAAAGTTTTAGCTGAATCTGCCACCGAGACCTCAGAAGAAGTTTAAAATGTTAAAAGTTCACTCTTGGCACATGATGACAGACTAAACACAATGGCTATGAGTCATCCTGACTCTTCAGGTCTGATGAAGCATAATGCAAATAATCTGCTTAACTGAATTTATCAAAATAAAAAAAAAAAATCAAATACAAACTGAGAGTGGTAAAACATAATACAGGAAGGGCAGAGTATGCCTTTGTAAGATCTACTTAACAGAGAGGAGAGATCAGGGTGATTGAGATTTCTTCCTAGGAAGGAAGATGACAGATTTGTGTTTCCCTAGCAAAACCCAAACAAACCTGTGTGAGAGAGAAGAGATCAGGGTGCTGGAGCTTTCTTCCTAGGTAGGAAGATGACAGATTTGTGTTTCCCTAGCAAAACCCAAACAAACCTGTGTGAGAGAGAAGAGATCAGGGTGCTGGAGCTTTCTTCCTAGGTAGGAAGATGACAGATTTGTGTTTCCCTAGCAAAACCCAAACAAACCTGTGTAAGAGAGAAGAGATCAGGGTGCTGGAGCTTTCTTCCTAGGTAGGAAGATGACAGATTTGTGTTTCCCTAGCAAAACCCAAACAAACCTGAGTGGAAGGAAACCTCTTTACATTGTGAAAGAAATGGACTCAAGCCGATTTTCAGTATTGAACATGAAAAATGATAAAACTGTAAACTCAGTCCCTTTCTATATGACTGTACAGATCATTACTTAATGAAAATTGAAACATTTTATGATTCTTTAAACGTCACATTGAATCTTTCCCAATATAGAAGCATGATAAAGTGTTCATGTACAAACAATTTATAAATGAACAAGTCTTTGTTGGTTAAGTGTCCTGACCATCCCCGTCCAAATCAATCAAGTATTTAGTACAATCAGCTAACCACAAATGTCAGAAACTCAGGGAGAAGTATATAAACATTCACAATTTAAAATATATGTAATATATATTACTGAAGACATAACAAAGACATCAACACGAGTCAAACAAAAAAATATCTGTATAAACATATCTATGTATTTCAATAAATTCTATAAACTACATACACAAGGCTACATTGTTTATTGTTCTGACAGAGGTTCTGTACGAAATCAAGGATGGAAATGCTGGTCTTATTTGCTTTCTAACAGCTGTGACTAAACACTTAAATTTTCAATATTTGCAGATCCGTCAAGTTATGCCAGAAAAATCATACCTACAATGGCGACAAGCCAATTTGGTCGCAAAGACGAACATGACCCAGGTATATAACTTCAAAACAGGAAAAATATTAAAAAATATGGAAAATACATGATTTTTTAATATTGCTGAAAAAAAATAACTGGAAGAAATGTTCAAACTCTGAACTGATATCGTAAGAATACTAGAAAATATCTCGGTGACATGAATGTCCTTGCTCTCATGTATACCAGTATCTATGTTTAACATATTTCAATAAGTAGTAATGTTGATCTTGACCTTAGAGCTATAAAGTCTGAACTCATGTGAGAATGGATCTGGGTGACACTTTATGATATAAAACAGCAAAGGAGCATAAATATATCCTCTATATACCCGAGGTTCTGGTTTGTTACAACAACTTTTTACTGGAAATGTACCCAGGGTAACAGAAATATGTTTCTCATTTGAATTATATCATTTATCAGTAAATATTGCACAGACTTAATTGCCAAGACTATGCATGTACTGCTAATAAGCACTAATCCATCACTGATGTACATGTATATACTGCATCATGAGGCATCAGGTAGAACACTAATTAAGAGAATGAAAACAAATATATTGTGCTAATATACATTTATTATTCCTCCTACAAATTTTGTTTTCATATGGATAATAGTTTCTTATCTTGAGATCAAAAAGTGTGACAAATTTACTACAGAGAGATCAGAATTGTTGACAGTACCTTGCTAAACTTCCTCTTAGAACCAAGTTAATTGGCCAGTTACAGTTCTGGGATAATGTTTGGTTGATATAGAGAAAGAATCTTGGTACACCATTTTTTTAAAAAATTTTATATCAGGTTTTTGAATGATTATGCGATGAAATCAAAGAACAATCGCCAATTTTTAACCAATATAAACCAACAAAATTGTAAATACTGAAAAAAAAAAAAAAAAAAATTAATTATATATATTACCATATATATATATTTCACCATCACATGCTTTAGATGCTTTTCTAACTTTCCACAAAAGTAAATTGTATGCAAAAGAAAGCTGGTTACAATACGTCTCAACTACAAGTTTATATGAAGTGATGACAAGACAAAGGCTTAACTATTGAATAACAGTGATAAGGACTGCTACAGCCTTTCCTTGGTTTTATGCTCATGGTGAATAAGTTGGAAAATGTTGATAATGGAAAATAATTTAATTTCCTATCAAGACCGAAACTAAAACCACTTGCAACATTAATCTCTAATGAGCTGATCATCACATCATCACTAGAAGTTCTCTTTGAAGCTTGTAGTTTATATCTAACAAAGAATTTGTTCATATGTTTATCAGAAACCTACCACCTCTGGTCGATTACTACCACAATCTATGAGGGAAATTGATACATGTCAATAATAAATCAGTAAGAACCGATTCTAATGTGTAGTCATCATTCCATATAGATTGGGTCAGTAATAGCCAGTACTGTGACTTCAATCATAGCCAACAAAGGTGCTGTTCCCCAAACAGTCAATTTTCGCCAAATATGGATGTCATTCCAGGTTAGTCACTCTGGGCAAAATAGGATATCTTCCTTGTCCATAAAAATTCCCTGTTTATCAAACAACACTTTAAATTCATGAATGATTTAACACTTAATATCATCAGAATCAATTTCTCACATCTTTACTGCAACATTGATATTCCATGACTGACTGACTAGGTATTGACCAGTGCCCTGCAGTGCCCTACTGACATCACTAACTGTACTTGTATACAAGGAAGTTTGGTGTACCCGTGTACTTTGTTGCTAACTGTTTTCCGTCTGGAGTTGGATCAGAAAATGCCATTTGCTTCTTTTCAATGAAAACACCATACTCGAACCATTGCCTGAAAGAGAAAGCATTAAATATGTCACTGCATACAATTCCTTTAAAAAGTAGACAGATTTTATGCTTAAAATAGGAAAACTGTCCTATCAAAATAAATCCAAGTTTTCCGTGCTTCACATGCCCAATTGCTATGTAGTCGTTACAACAATGATAGGACTTGAGAACACTTCATCTTTACAATGTGATTAAGAAATTGTCTTTTTCATCTCTTGAACATCAGAAAAGGTCAGTATTTCTGCCCTCATTTGAAAAATTCTGAAACTTTAGTCAAAGTAGCGAAACCACATAATTAAACAAAAGTGTTAATTTGTTTAAAGACATGATTACAGCAGATTGAAACATGTTACCAGAATGGCTGTAAGCAATACTAAAATATATCACTTGAAACCCTGAATTCTGGCCTCTGTACTGTATTGAATTTTTTGTTTGATTGTTGTATACTTTCATGGATGCATTTGCCCCAGAACCCATGTAACAAGCTTTCCTTATCTTTGATACTGTAATCGTATTCTGAAGGTAGCTATTTTTGATGATTTTGCTCCATTCTCAAAACTACTGAAAGATAGAGTCTAGTGAAAATTACAACATTTACAGTATCTATTTTACAAAAGTTCAGTTAACCTCCTGAAACCTAGTTAATAACCTACAGCACACACATTAACTTAATGCATATTGGTCCTTCTGAGTTTTTACTTCAAACAATATTGAAAGCCCTTGTTATACTCACCTTACACAATCCAGTAGCTTAGAAGCAATTCCCTTGTGCCTTTGCTGACAGTGGACCCAGATACGACTGACGCCAACTGAAGCAGGCTGTGGTTCGGACTGACAGCACCATGGACGATGACCTGGCTGAGAGGTTTGGCTTGGCTGGCTGTCACCTATCACAGGGTAACCCTGAATCATAGATAAAAGTAAAATCCTGTACAGATCTACAACACAGTGATCCTAATAATCAACTACAATAGGATATCCTTCTCTTTTACTAACTTTCACGATTCAATGTCACAATTTAATTCTTCTACTAGCTTTCCAGATTCCATGTCACAAATTCAAAGTCATTAGCATTTTTAATAACTCATGTCTTGATAATAAATTTGTTTTGATTGACAAACTCATTTAAGTTAACTGCATTTGAAGGAAGTAGGTTAAGTTTGCAGGATACAGAAAATTTGGTTGATGAAATACCGAGTATTTATACTTTCTGACAGGCTAAATGATAAACAACATCTGAAAGTTCACAAACCAATCCCCTAAAAGTGAAGTCTTATTAAATGCATGATAAACTTTCTTCATACGTCAAAGTCAATAGGATGATTAAAATTTTAGAGGAATTCCTGACCAGTTCGTTTAAAGGTTATTCACCTACCTAAATTTAATATTCTTTACCCTCAAACTAGATATAAGTGTTCAGAGTTGAGTTGCACACTGTATGAAAATGAAGTTTCACATGTGTGGTCAACCAATGCTAACACACCAGGATAAGTACTGAATGAATCAAGTTACCTGGCTGACTTGTTCTGCAACACAGCAACCTTCCACTGTTTTGTCGTCCGAGATGTACAAGAACACCTGAAAATGTAATGATCATATCTAGAACTGCTGTCCATGACTAAATGTAATTCATGGCAGTTGCCAAAATAAAAAAAAAGTTTTCGCCTTCATAATAATTGTACGCCAAATAGATGTTGCTTACTACTTTCACATCATACCACAAATCAAGATCACATATTCACTACTGATAAAGCATAATAATTTCAAGTTCTGAATAAAATTTACAATCTTCAATGAAGTTAAATTCACCTAATTTTAAAAGTAGTGTCAGGAACACGACAAAGGACTTACAGGTGGCAGTGTGTAAATTACCTTGTATCCATATTTGAAAGTGAGGGATGCTTCAGGAAAGCCAAGTTCTTGTCCCATGATTTTGTTTATATCTTCCACCTGTAACACCAAACATCAAATGAAATGTTCATAACTTTACCACATGTTAATGAAACTAAGGTAAAGTAAGGTAGCTCCTAACTGCCTGAAGTAGCACACCACCTCATCATACTAGCCATCCCTCCCTGCTTAGACGGGGAATCCCCAATTTTTGGTGCCAGTTATAATTGAAAATTATCAGTCAATCAAGGGAACTGTTGATTGCTTCAAAAATTTAAATGTCTACCAGAAACAGCTGCTTGAAGTATCCTGCCTGAATTGTTTGCTTGCTGTGTTTATGGCCCCATCAACAGCCAGTAGTATTTTTAGTTGGGGATGCCTTGTAGTAGCTGGTGGTTACATCAATGAACAGCATATAGAGTTCTATCACATGCCATCTCGAGCAATTATAGTAAAATATCTTGCTCAAGTACACAACCATGACTCTACAGACTGATCTGTTTCACAGCTTTCTGAGGAATACAAACGGTCATGGGTAGGGAGCATCAAAACACTGCTTCAACCTGAGGTCACAAAGGTCAATGCTCTATTGACTGAGCTATTGCAGCCATTCCCTTGTTTTCAAGATATAACTTTGTCACAAGAAGGTCTATAAAAGCATTCTTCTGAGGTTTTTCAATCCCCCACAATCTCCATACAAAATTTCTTACAAGTTGGTAAGTATACCTTATTTTGTGGCAAATTAATTCCTGTCAATTATTTAAGACATCAGAGTAACTTCCAAGCAATCTGAAGTAGCATTTCTGGAGTGGATGATTCTCACCTTCCTGATGGCATACTTGGGGTCATCGTGTAGGATCATGATGATCCGACTTCCCAGTTGTGGATACTCCTGTACTACCCTCTCCTTCTTCCAGCCCTTAACAAAATACATAAACATTATATTGCTTGTCATTACTTCACACATGAAATTTCACATATAAAGGATCTCACATTAGATATGTAAGTTAAGGAAAAAAATCCAAGAATTTCTCACTATAGCAAACCCTCAGCAGGCTTAAATGAAAACTTTGTGATGTGTTTCATAGCTCACATTTCTACATGTCTGATCCATCTATAGTCTCCATTTTTAAGTTACAATGCTATATCTAGTGTCATTTGATTATTTTAAGTGACATGACAAAAAGTTATATTACACATGTATAATATGCAAAAATATTCACTGTATAAGAAGCAGCTATATGATTAATTAAAATGCTTTAAACCCAAGGGCTTTTTATCCACAAAATCATAAGTTCACAAATACGTGCATTTTTAAGACTTTAGATGAATTTTAATATGAAGCAGATTCTACAAAATCATATGCAAATGAAATGAGAATATCAGATTTACAGTAATATTCAACGTACAGGGAATCTAAGTGCTGCGAGAAGACTCTGATGGAACTTGTTGTGAGTAGTATCGTCCGTGGGGTCCTCTGGAGTGTACACCATACTGCATACATCACACTGGATTGCACCAAATTTCTTCTGTCCAGCATCCTGTACAAAACAATGACATCTTGTTCTCAATAACAAATTGGTCATAACTATTTACTGAATTCCACACATTACTAAACATTTAAATGATATTTCATACTTTTTCAAAAATGATTCTCAATACTAAACACCAAGGATGGGGACCACTTTAGCCTCGGGAGTACCAGAATTAAATGTGTAGAGGTGTTGAGCGGCAGATCAACGGAAAGCAAATTTTGTGGTGTAAACTGCAAATTTTTGGATTTGATAACATTTGGAAATAATGCCCAAGATCAGCCAAAAAGGTCTCACAAAAAGCACTGGCAATCCACAGGTATGGTTGCAGCTGAATATACAGAAAGCTTTCAATGAAATATCACACTTGATAATTGTATTCACACTTCACCAAAGTTTCCCAAATGGTAAATATCTAATTGATGAATCCTTCAGCTTAACCTACCAGTATCATCTGTTCCTGACTGTCCTTGTCAGGACGTAGCCGTCGTCGTGGTGACACTCTTGTTGAAGGCCGCAGGTGGGACTTCCTGCAGAAAAGAGAAAAAGGATTCTTAGCTTTTACCAATATACATCGATCTGTAAATTGTTAAACTCTGGTGCCCATATTCAACAAGTTTAAAATATTTCATCAACCATTGTTTGATCTTTATTTGTTCTTTAAAAGTTGGATCTTTTCTCTTCTTTTTTCTTCACTGTTTTTTTTAATTAATCGGGCATAACAAGAGACCAAGGGGAGCCTATGGATGAAACTTGAGAAATCCATCCAGTACTTCTCAAGAAATAGTGATAACAAACTTCAGTGTAAAAAATCCACCTGTCTCCCATTCAAGTTTCTGATCAGACCCAAAATCAAACTGGCATAAATGGGATCCAAGGGGAACCTACATATGGAAGTTGAGAAAGATCTATCCAGTACTTCTCAAGAAATAGTGATTACAATCTTTACTAGGCCAAATCCAAGATGGCCGTCTGTTGGCTATTTTGTTTTTCAGATAGCTCATAAAACCAAAGAGAACTAGAGACCAAAGGGAACCTACATATGAAATTTGATAGAGATACATCTAATGCTTCTGAGGAAATAGCGATAATAAAAATTGTTTACGAACAAACAGACCAAATAGTCTATGATGGGAGGCTAATAAGAGAGCAGAGGTTTACATAGATATAATTCCGACCCCTTTAAATGTTTGACCTTTGACCCTTTCATCTGGATCAGTGACCAATAAAATCTAAGCAGACGTAGACTTGTTGTAGGACTATGGTTTGAATAGAAGTGAATCCATCAAGAGTTCCATGAGATATATATCTGGTGCACAATTTTTGTGATACCATAAACAGGGGATATGATATTGTTACAAACTACACCTAAACAGAAAATACTTTTGATATCTGTTGATATTTTGGAATTGTAAACAAACCTCCTCTGATGTATAACAGGAAATTATCCTCTTTCAAAAGATTGAAAAATTCATATAAACAAACCTCCTACTTAACAACGGTGATGACTTTGGTGTATTTTGGGAGGAGTTAAAAATGGAAAAGAATGGCTTTCCAGTGATTGGATCCTTCCCTCGGCTGCGCAGAGATGGACCGGAGTCTACTGATGTGAGGTCAGTCATACTGCTGGCTAGCGAGGAACAGTTTGAGGATGGATTACTGCCATTTAAACTTTCAGGAAATAGGTCCTCAGAAGCTCCAGCCTGCTCTGACTGGGCAGAACTCTGATAATCCGGTTCCGAGACCAAAGTCTCAGACATGACACTATGGCAGGCTGAATCTGTTGTTGGGATGTCCACATTCACTGCAGTTTCAGAAATGTTCTCTTCAACAGATTTATTTTCAATGGCTTTGTTGATAGTTTTGGATTCCTTTCTTATTTTCTTGGACTTTTTCTTATTTGTCAGTTTGGCACTTTTGGAATTTCTTGAAGGAACAAATTTCAAGTTGAAGCCTTTACGGATGATAACACTGCTACCTACTACCTTGCTAGCAGAAGCAGGACTTTTGTGCTTAAAAAATTTTCTGCCATTTACTGGTGTAGCGCACATCTCTGATGTTTCACTTTCAACCAGAACTTTGGTGGTTGTATTTTCTTTAAAAGTTTTCTTGGAGTCTTTCCTGTTAGAATCAGGTGCTTTTCTGCAACAAATAATTGAACACGATTAATTCACAAAACAAAAGAAAACAACACAACTTATATGTCAAATGAAGTTTCTCATTGTAGATAAATATCTTTTAAAATCAAAATAGGCAATGTTTTTCACAAAAACACTTACTTTCTGCTAACATATTACTATACCCCCACAAACTTTCCTGAGGTATATTCCCCCCCTACAACCTGAATTTTACAGCAGCCTGTACTGCACTGATTAGGTCATTTGGAAAATTGCAGTTTTAAACTTTTTGGCAAGTGGAAACAACAGATGTAAAGCACTGAAAAGCAGTGCAAAAAATACATTGCTGTAGGGATATTTATCTGCAAATAATCAAAACAAAATCTTAAATAGGAAAGAGCAAATGTAACTTATTTATAGACTGGTGGCAGGGCCTTTCTGATGGATTTCTGAGGCAAACATTTAGCCCCATTCAGAAATGGAATTATTTCATATTTAAGTAGAATTCCTCAAATTTCCTTCCAATTTCACCATTTTTCTTCCCAAAAATTAGGCAAAAAATGCCCCATCCAAAATCACAGGAAAAATTCATGGATTGATAAAGCACAACATCAATCTCTTTGCAACATTGGAGCATCAGTCCTGATGAATGATCTGTGTCCATTAGAAAACTAAACTCCTTAATTTCCTTGGAATCAGAATTAGATATACATCAACAGAATATATACAAAGCTGGTGGTTTCTAGCTCAAATTTACCATATTTACCTACAAAAGGCTACCACAGGAGAACAATTTTTGTCGGTACAATAAGATCAGAAATTCATTTTAAATATCAGCTTTGACAGTGGATACTGCCTACAAATGAGTCTCACCTGGTTCTCAAAACTGCCATAGAGACATCAGACTGAGGACTGTTCTCGTCATTGCTGGACTTGAAGGTCAACACATCTTCTTCTGAGGCTGCCTTATCCTCGGACAGTTTTGATCTAACTATATAGGCTGCCTTTCTCCTGCCTGGTGAATGGGGGAAGTGTTTCTTCTGTCTGCCACCATAGAATGATTTGATTGTGAATGACTCCTCTGTTGGTACTGATTCTGTGTCAGATGCTTCGCTTGTGATTGAAGAAGAATCATCATTGACTACAGCCCGTCGTTTTCTCGGAGGAGTGTTTTCAAGCTGACAAAAATTTAGACTGGCTCTGCAATGGAATTCAAGAACACAACATAATGTTCAATTGTTAGATTAAGACAAACCAAGTGGCGACAAGAACTCTTCAAATTTTTGAATTTCTATGAAGTGAAAGGTTGCAATACCACTGATAATAAAGATTTACTTTAAAAGTTAAATTGACAATTCATACATCAAAATATTACTGCACAAATAAATACTGCTATATATCAATTCATTCAGTGATACTTGTGATACTTATATTTTTGCATATCACACGTGTGTATTTGTGTATTACATGTGTGAAATTTGGCCTACTGTGAAGCAAATTGATGACAATATTTAACGATTTGCAGTCTGAAAATGTCAAGAGACATATCAAATTTTTTCCCCAGATAACTGCTAAACTTCATGGTTTATGTGATAAAATTCCATTTCATAAGCAGTTATGAAATTGTCATAAAATTTTATTAAAAAATCTATTATAGAAGCTCACTAAAATAAAAATTAACCAATGCCTGCTTCAAAAAATGAAACTCTCTTAACAAATTTTCTAGTTCAGCTAGCCAGAAGCCAGGTAAAATAAAATATTTGATGACTAGATTACTAAACAGCAAATGAAATAAAATTCATGTATGATCCTTTCATAGCAATCTAGATATGCACCTATCTGAAGAGTCTATTTGTAAAATATTGATATTGAAGTATGGCCACAGCAATTAAAGGGACAATTTAGTCAAGTTTGTATTTTTTGTTTATGTCAAAATTTTTTTCATGGAATTGTAGTTCTGTACTCCTTATGAACGGTACATGTCTTTATATTGGCACAATGTTACACTTTCCATACATTTTAAAATTAATTGTAAGGAAATCTTAAACGTACAACCAATATTTTATATGCAAATACAAGGACACTTTGACCTAATGGGCATGTGTGAACCCATCTCGAGAATGTATAAATAAAAAAGGCTTCCAAACTGAAGCGGAAGCGAGTAAAATGAGTTACAGGGTCTCACATGAAATGTAGACACAGTAAATGCAAAAAAATTCCAGAATAACTGTTGGACAAGAATATGAGTGATAGAACGTATTGTATGTAACATAACCAAGAGAAAGATTTGTATTACCCAGTTATCACTCTGTTCCTACATCGCTATTTGTTTACAAGAAACTTTCTTTCCCACCAGAGGGTGTGTCATCATGCTTTACGATTCTTGCTATATTTGGCATGGGCTTTCCCAAAATTTAAACTGATCACACCAGACATTAACAAATAACTTTTATACACATTTTTTTTTTGTCTGGATATATATATTTTTTATTCTACCTCAATTCAAAAAACATTGGTTGAATAAAATGTCCCTTTAAGTTGACATTCTGTGAAATAATTGATTTTCAGTTGGTTTTGTGGGTACTTTTAATCTACATATTAATATATTCATGAACTGTTCCAACTAGTGTATGTAGACTCATTGAGCCATAACTACCCACAAAATCAAGTGTCCACAAAACAGCATTTTTTTTTTATCAATGAAAAAAAAATCAATTTTACTGTACCGCAAAACAACCATTTATAATGCATTGACACTAAATTTTATTTATTTTCAAAAAATTGATCAATGACAGCAACCTTGCAGATTTCTTGTCCGGTGAAGACTGCCAGCGTCGTTTTCGGGTCCTTGTCGCCATACTTATGGTGACCATCTAGACAAAACAGGAATCTGAAAATCAACATAGTCCATGTTCAAAGGTTTCACTTCAGCATTTAACAACAATATAGCATAGCAGTTCAACACTGGCTGCAGTTATGAGAAACAAAGTAGAGGAAATCTGTCTTTTGCTAATATAAAGTTACTAACCCTAGTGAGCAGGTTTGGGTCATTAGTTTGTATGAGAAAATTGATGTTATTCTAACAAACAAATATCCACTCACAAGAGCAAATAATCGTTACATCACAATATTACGAAGTGACCAAACAAAATGGTTAATTCAAATTTCTGTAAAACAATTACTGATCAAACGTTTGGTTTTCCAACTACTACAAAATAGCTATCAAGGAAACTTCATTCCAGGACTCTCATCTATTATGGAAACCTAGAAAACATAAGCAGTGGTAAAGCGGAGATTCTCACACTGGAGATCAGGATTGATTACTGTCTGGTTGCTACCAGGAAATTGTTTTTCCATAACTTTTCTCGCAAAAAAATCCCATTGAGACCAGGTTATGGCAAAATGGAGAGTCTGGCTGTGGGTAATCTTTGTAACAGTGAGAAATGTGTAAAGATGTAGATTAGTTAGTATTTTTAAAACGCAGTCGGTCATTCAATTGGATGAACTATCAAATGACATCATGATCTAAAATATAAATGTTGCCGGCTAGAATTCTGTTTTTTAATTAACACCTACATCTAGTTTATGTCATGATCCAATGTGCCAAAAAACTCGAAACTTTCAACTTAAGTGTAGTCGATCGAAGCGGGCGGGATACTGAACATAGGAATTCTGAGGTTTCAAGCTTAACTATCACTTCAGTTTCAAAATACGTTTGTATGGCTGGTTCATAGGTAAATATATAAAGCTGCCACTTGCAATCTAAAATGAACCATAAGCTTGTGAGGAGGATCGTACGTATTTGTGGACGGACGAAGGAATACACACATCTTACGTCACACAAACCACGATGTAAATAAACACGAAATAATGAGTAAAACGGGATAGAATAATGCGATAATTGATTTCAGAAATGACGAAATACTTAGTGATATATTGAACGATCACACGAATGAAAAAAGCTTACCCTTTTCAATACAAAAAACTAATTTCTGCTTGCTGTAAATGCTGACATGTCATTCCCGGTAAAAATAAGAACGGCAAACTTGGCGCGGTTGATGATATAAACGATTTTGATTGGACGATATAAATATTTGTACGTAAAGCTAATCTGACTCCGATAACAAAATACCGACAGGCAACGGCAACAATAGTGTGTAAAAAAAATGCTGAATGGACCGGTCCATTCGTCCAAAATAGGCTTATTTCATTGATCTTAGACCTGTTTTGCGTGCAAGTGAGCACTTAAAGTGCTGATTTCATGCTCAAAATGGTCTGCTTTATGATATACCACAGGGTGACATCAAAGAAATTACACAAGTTTACGTGAAATAGATTTGTTGCGCTTTGTTGCTTTACTGTGATGATAAATTATTAAGACAGGCCTCTCGATTATAAAGATTTTAAGTCTTCCGACCATTATGAAATGTTTCAAAAATGGGTACCTTACGATATACAATTACAATTACATTTACAATTACGATTACATTTATGTTAGCAGGATCAATACAAACATCATGTCAGTAATCAGTAGAATAAATCCATAGCAGGTATAAAACAATAAGTTCTATTTTTTGGGACAGCGTAAAATACCTTAACTATGTTACACTGTTTTCCATTTTGAATTTTTTTTAACCAGTTTAGATATCGTGCAGAAACTATGAAAACATAATTCGTTACAGTGTAGTTTAGCGTGACCTTGAGATTGAGATTGTGAAGCAACGTTGACCAAAATCTAATAGCAGGGACCCTGCTAATAGCAAGTCATCTGATTATATCAATGTCGTCAGATTTCAGGTTTTTTTACCAGTTGTTATGGCATCACGAAGAACAGTTAATATGAATGAAATATTAATTGCATGATTCAAAATCAGGGTCAAGGTCAAGGACAAATGTTCTATATCTTAACTCAGAGCGAAAAATGTGATTGATTGTAGATTGATGGAGTTTAGTGAAAAGACACATTATGTTTGGTCAACGATCTTTTGATTTAAACATATTTTATTGAACACAAGTTTTCCAACTAATATTAAGCCATTTCCCCATGAAGTTTGACAAAATACAGAATGACAAAACAATACGACAGGTTTAAATACGAAATTACACAGGGAGAGAGAGAGAGAGATAGAGAGACAGAGAGAGAGTTATAATGTATACAATTTGTGTTTTTAAGTCTCTACTAACCGGACAACACTAGTATAAGTTACAATGTACACTTTTCAATGCCTTCAAGCTATTCTAACGTTCCACTTTCTCCTGTCGTCCGGGTCCTTCTTGTAATTCTCGCCACTAGTGCGCCGGAATAAGGAGAGACATTTGATTTAACATTTTATTTTAGAGAGAGAGAAAGAAGGAGAAAGATATATTAAAATATGTGATGAATGATTTGACATATTTTTACAATATCTTCGTTCGAGTTGTTTTCATTACCATGTAGTAGTAACTGCTGGTCCAGTGGGATAAAAATCTTCTCGGTATAGAATTACTCTCTGATCCGCATAATTATTACAAGAGGTAGTGGTAAATTTCTTCAAGAAAATGTCCCCATTGGCAGTGACGGCCTAGTCTTGCAGTTGTTCATCTCTTAAAATTTTGTTATGAACAGGAATTGTTCTTGGTAAAAATATAGGCATAAAATCTACTTAAACCGGAGAGTTCCGTTTGGAAGGGTATGCTAAGATATCCTGAAGTGATAATTGAAATTCTTCACTGATAATTTGTCTAAGAAACGTCAATTCTTGCAGAATACCCTCGACAAATGGGAAATGTTAACACTGAACACTGAAATATACCTTCACAATGTCAAATAAACAACAATGCAATATTTCCATTCGTGACATATATTTTATTATATAAAATCCACAACAATAAGAAATTATTGAAAGAAAGAAAGAAAGAAAGAAAGAAAGAAAGAAAGAAAAACCATGTAACAGTACATCGACACCATCATCAATGTCCCACAGTTTATCACAGAAATTGTCAATTGCATTGCATAGCACTATAATTCAATATCACAGAAAGATTATTAATCACAACATGTCTTCATCTGTTATTTCCGAGTAATTCATAAAACAATTTTGTCGATTGTATGATTTGTGTCCACATTTACAATCGGAATCTCAAAATTGCAACCTTGTGGCGTTTTTCCTCTTCTCACCAGCAGCCCAAGATTTTGACCGAGAACGGAAGTGACGCAGATCGTCACCATGACTCTTGTGAAGCATCGGCACATAAGACGATGGCCTGCAATAGACCTGTTGAAGAAAAATAAATATATATTTAACTTGTCGATAAATAAAAAACTGAGATAAAGATCAGACACTTTGGAAAGAATTAATAGTGACCTTGGCCTGTTAGTGGTAATGCGATATGATTACGTAAAACTTTTATTTGTAGGAAAAAATGAATAAGATTTGCCACATGCTATCGAAAAATTGAAGACTTTTCATGATCATGTGATGCTCACTGACCTTGTCGTGTTCGTAAAACGCTTTGTAGCCTCCGTCAAGTAGATACACTTCCGGGTAATTAAGGGAAGGATAACTCTCCTTGTTCATCGCACGATCCTGAGCTCGAAGAAACCTATACCTGTCAGAAAATAAATCGAATTTAGTCTAGTTTTCCTGTTAACTATCGAGACAAAATTTCCGTACGAGTTTAAGCGAAAGAAATCGCTAAATAGAGAAAACGAAAACATGGGTATATGTATGTACGTACATTTTTGGTCCCCGTTCCGACGAAAATTCACAGTGGAATATCAAAATGTGTCTGTGATTGTCACGACTTCCGGTCTGAAGAAGTTCCTTAATGGTTTCATGTGTGTGGAGGTTCTCTGCTCCCTGGAACATAAAATTTCAAAATAGTTTAGAGATATAGAAATTGGAATGACAGTGAAATCGAATTATGTATGTATTTAATGCACGATGTAAATATGTTCAAAAGCCAAATCCTAAGAATGTTTGATAAAATCAAGTTTGTTGTATAGTTATGACACACCTGGATGTGACCTCCTTCAAATTCGTATGGATACCGACAGTCGATGATTCTGCAGCTGGCGATGACCTCATCATAATCACCACGTAAAACATCACGCATCTGTTAAGGAATGGAAATAAAGACACTTAGAACAATTTGAGGTGTAATGAAATTAGCTGTGTGAGTTAACATTTTCATTTCCATACTTCACCGATGACGACGCGAGTGAAAAAAAAAACATGAAAACCGGAAGTCATGTGACAAATAGCATGTCCTGCATATTTCACGAGATCAAAAACTTACTGTTTGTGGTGAAATACTCTTCAAATCCTGATGTTTTCCTTTCACAGTAGGTAAACAATACTGACGACTTCCGTCCGCAACCAAGTCCTCTGTTTCTGCCATCAAATCTACCGCCATCTTGATATCAGCACTGAAACACGTATTGTCACGATCCTGGAAAGAAACAGGAAAGCTATGTGTAAGCTTAATGAGGCGTCCATGAAAATTTTCAGAAGTCCATGTTGTTCTTCATGGAATACATATCACTAGCATTTACTTGTCGTCTTCATCAAATGAGACCATATCTCGAACAACACATACATACAAGCAAGTGCGCACGAAAAACAGTACCACCTTGTCAAATACAAGTTATTACGATACTTTAGGTAGAATTAAACATAAAAAATGACGAAATGAGTTTCAACTCTAGACATAAAATTGAAACTCACAGAGCGTATTAAAACTGACCCAAGAAATTCCTCGTGTCTATTTGTCCGTATTTCTCATTCTACACTCTGAAATAATGATGCGTTTTACCTTCATATCGGAGTTTGTTTTAAATTCTCGAATCTTATGAATTCCCCATATCGATGATGCTACCTACCCCAATTGCAAACGAAACGGACTTCTGCGTCAGAATTCGGCAGTTTGGTGCAGGGTCGTCGTCACCATCGTCTTGAATTAGGCGTTTCATGGAAAACATATCCCGACGGACATTGAAACCTTTTGACGGGCGATGGAACTGGAACTGTACAGAGAAACATTGGATAACAATGTATTTTAACAAATGTTGACATTATTGACAAATCAAAATTAAAAGAAAATCAAATACAAACTTAAGAGTTAATTTGCATACAACTTTTTACTCGTCGATGCCATGGTATAAAAATCGAAAATTGTCAGCACTTTCTGTTAACGAGCCGGTCGAGCTTACCTCGTTGTTGCTGTCAGTAATTTCCTGTTTCTCTTTTCGCGGAGAAAACTCCTCTCCGAACACTGCCATGTAGTCCTATAAAGACGATACATACAATGATTTAAAAAATGAATGATTTTATGAAATACAATATCGTATAGACATAAATTCTGGGCCGTAATGTATTTCAGAACTGCCATTTTGTCGAACCTTATCACTTGAACTATAGACTTTCTTGACCTCGCATCCGAATAATTTTGGTTGATGTAATTTTTGTAGTAAATATTATTTTGGCAAATTTGTGTAATATCAATTTTTATTTGTCAAACTTCACCTCATATTTGATGAAATAACCTATCAATCTATCCTCGGATGCCAATGTTTTGTCGTCGTCTGTTATGTGAATAAAAATCGACCATGCCCTCTTGCAATTTTTCGGCTACGAAAGTTCAAACATGCATGCCTTATATTGAAAAATGATATTTTTTTTTAAATTACCACATTTGATGACTCATTTTATCTAACTAGCGAGTTGATACCGAGAGATAAAAAACAACTTTCTTCAAATAGAAATTCAAATAAAAATGAAGTTTAACGAGAAATATGGCTTATTTGAGAAAAACAAACAATAAAACCAAATATAACCATGTAGAAAAGGTGCACACATCAACAGATATCGATCATTTTCGCACCATTATTTAATTTTTATGTTTTTGTCATCAAAATGTAGTACCCGTGCGAAGGATGATTTTATAGAAAACCTGTACTTTTGTGTCACTCTAAGCTAACTCAAGTGTCTCTGTGATTTAATGGTGTCATCAGAAACGGAAGTGCAGTCACATGTCCGATACACATGTCGATCTTTTCAAGTGAGCGAAATTGAAGTCTAATCCCTGAATTTTCATGTCACTTATGTATTTGATTTGTGGAAGTTCATCGGCATAGGGTTTCGAAACTAATGTGCCAAGGATACCAACATCGCTCTTTGATTTAAGATCGACTTTCCAAAGTCATCTACAATATATTTTGCAAACATGGTTTTGAATGATATAAAAGTTTGACTACCTAGCTACCATCCATCGACCCCCAATGCATACAACACAAAACGTACCTCGTCATCAAAACCAAGGCCAGAGTCATCGTCATGGAAACAGGTAGTGTTCCTCTTCTTCTCAGGGGTCATCATCTCCTGGATAAAAGTCACATCCGGGTCAGAGGTCATATCCTGATCAAAGGTCATGGTCTTCATCTAAATATAAATGAATGAAATTGTTATGATGATTGCATGGAACAAGTGTAAGCATTTATTACATGTTGAAACAATTGTTATTGTGAAAAGGTTATACCTTTATATTGTTGTTTTGCATGTATCTGAAATGAAAAATTATTATGGCCTCCGAAAATTCTTTTTGATATTTCTAGAGTATAAGTTGATTTTTTCGTTATATTGTAGTTAAACGTTTTACAATTGGAAAAATGAAAATAATTTTACTTTATTCAAAATGTTTACAATTGAAAAAAAATGAAAATTATTATTTTAAATAACCCAATTTAAATATATATTATTTGTCATATCAGAGACATATATATACGTCTGTAAAGCATTTTCTTGCGGTGATATAAATCTTTGTACATGAATATTTCACTTATCGTTAATAAACAATTTGTATATGATCCCAAAACCAATTCAATACAAATATTTGAGAATTCACTCACCTAGAATATATTTTGTCAACTATCGTACGTTACTCGAAGAAAAATAAAAGTCGTGTATATTTATTTGTCCATATCAGAGACGTATGTAACACATATATTGTGTTATATACGTCTCTGTCCATATCAATATCACCGTGACTACAGGGGCTATACCTTGTGACGATCCCGCGTACATCATGTGTGTCACACACAGTACCTGTCAACGGGCCAAGCTGTTTAGAATCACCTGACAGGTTCGTACACGTGAGCACTTTTTTGAAGTCTCCAGAAATGGGCAAATATCATGTTCTATATTCTTCGTTACAAACATTTTATTTCTATTAAATCGGAGGTCAGTTTATCGTATCGCTTCTTTTCCCAATGACTTCGCTAAGTTATTGTATGATAGGGTTTGTGAGGAAATCATTATAGTGCTTTTGAAATAAAACCCTTTTTATTTAAGAAATACATCGTCAGAGCTATATCAAACAAAGTACCATTTAGAAAAGTCTTTTTTCGATTTTGTATTTGTTAAAACATGAAATCACACGTATTTTTTTCATAATGAATATTTTCAGGGAATTGGAAATGATCTACAGATTGAAACAGGTTCTGAATAGCTGCAATATTTATGTCCTGAACTGCACTGTTTCAATGACAAAATATGTCAATTTTACTGTAATAAAGAAATGTAATTGTATGTATTTTCTTATCTCTTACTTCTTGCTTTATACCTGGTTATGCTGATTTCATTTCTTTGTCAATATGTCCGAATTGAACACGTTTTCATAAGTTTAAGTGTATAAATAAATAAATAAATAAATAAATAAATAAATAAATAAATAAATAAATAAATAAATAAATCGGGCTAATAATTAATTAAAGTTTGTCATTAAAACAAGAAAATAAGAAAACCATACTAATGAAATTATCTCAAAAATGTATATATTCACCTTTTAGCGTTGATCTTCGTCCGTAAAGACAGAGGTGCTTGTCGTTCGTCGTCCCTAATTCTTCCTAATGTCGTTCGCTGACCGAACACGAGTTTATATAGCGTCTACAGCTTTCCTTTAGTTTTTCGTTAATGAGAATGGTAAAAAGTGTTCACCTTGGCGTATGCTCTGTCTGAAGCCAGGAGCAGGGCGACTCAATCAAGAAATGATCACTTCTCAATTGCCTATCTGTGACAAAAAGATGAGATCGATCGAAACTAATCAACACTGTCATGGACAATTGATGGATACATACAGGTAAACATGACGGGAGGTGTGGCGGCAGGGCGGGGTCAAAGGGAAGGGTCGTGAGCACAGGTAACCTTTGACATGTGTGTTCTTAATTAATACACACAGGTAAAAGTCAACATTGATCGTTGATTAATACACAATACCGGTAACAGTCTCTGGGATAAGAGGTCGTGAACACTGTTTCGTAATGGGATTTTTTTTTGACAGAATAGATTTAATTTGGATGTAGTTGGCTAATCAGTAATGCAAAAAGTCCATCGTGGTTGTTACATCAAGCTTGTATTAACATTATCTGCATGTCACCTGCAATTTTAAAATAAGATATATACGTGGAAAGACGATAGAAAGACGTGAAGCCTAATTTATTGAACTATATCATGGGGTGAATAAGTTCTTTATATTCGTTTCAAGATAAATACATAAATAAATGGGTTTTTTTTTATTATTCTGACGAAAACGTCGTGATTTGCCAGTACTACGGAATATGTAAGCCTGTTCCAGGTACCATTAAAAAGTCTGACAATGCTAACTTAAAACAAATTTTATAGGTACATAAAATGAAAAGTTAGTATCTAGCACAAATTGTACGCTTGTAAGCCAACAACAAATCAAAGCAAATATTGACAGTAATTTTCTGTTCACAACAGATACGAGCAAACAAATAGTGTCATATCTATTTAAAGGTTGTGATAAAGTAAGAATAATAATAATAATAAATATTTCAAAGATAAATGTACAGAGCTGCTAATAATTAATTATTCGGTGTCTGTCCGATTCCGTGGACAGCAAAACCACTTGTCCGGTGTCCGAATAACTGAAATTTTACTTTTCCCCGAATATTCGTACAAAATCATTCGTTTCTTTAAGTATTTCAAGTTCTTGTCTGAAATAGAATACACAGTATACCTATTTGTGTAAATTTCAATTTCATCGGATATTCTTGCTAATGTAGTTCTAGTTGTTTATTACCATGTACAAACTTACGTTTATTGTGTGGTATGCGTTGGCAGGAAATTTGAGTAATAATACAAGGACAAAGTCAAATTCACTCCACACCGTCTAGATTACAATAAATGCGTACATTTACGGAATTAATTGAATTACGGGGTTACTGCACCCGCATTGAGGTTTTGACGCTTCGTACGATAAATTTGAATTTCCCGCAGGCGTCTCCTAGGCTTCAAAATCCAGGCCGTTAGTTTCACTGACGAGTCTTTGAAGGAGTAATATATTGTTTGGTAAACTGTTTCTAACTCTAAATTTGTATTAGAAGTTGCTGCTAGCTTCTTTGTCTTTCGTACGATTTTTATTGGTCTGCTTGTCCATCTAAACTGATTTCAAAGTCATTCAGACCATAAGTTGTTGAAAAAGAACATATGTATATATAGATACAAGTGAACGATCTGGGAGTTTATAAACCGGCCTTGGCCGAGGTTACACATGGAAATAATCGAAAGAACACATCCGGTGGAAAATCCCACTAGCAACACAACAAAGTAAGTTTGATCACAAATAATGTATATCTTATTTGATAAATTCAAGCTGATTACGCCGCTTTGTTTACATTTGAAAGTAAGTAAACATTTATGTATATGTAGCCAAACTCTACTTGTACAAGCACGGGGACCGATCTCTATTTATAGATGAATAGACAACCCGGAATGAAAAAAAATAACATCGAAGTACTTTACGTAAATACTATATTGTTACTGGTCAGTTTCATGGTCAGTTTGTGAGTTTGATATAAAGAGTCGTTTACACAATAGTACCGGAATACCAGCGCGTTGTTGACATTTATCAACAGTGTAAACTACAGCAGATTCCGTATCACGACTTCCTGTGTATAACTCATTATAACATGCCGTATTACGTATAGGCTAGTTAATTCGATAAAAGAAAACAAAAGACAAAAATGTTCGTTATTGAGACACAGACGTGTTCGATACTTTTTACTTATTATTTAAATTCCCACACAACACATCTATTTAGTATCACATAATCCGCCTGTGAATCATCCCATGTAATATTTTGTGTTTATGTCACTAGTGTGCAAGGACTTTATATAAGTCGTAAAAATTGTGTCCAATCCTATTGCTACTTATGTGCATTAAAATATGTTTAGATCAAAACAGCGTAATACACCCTGGACCGTGTGGCGGTCAGAAATCAGTTGTGATGTCCTAATCCTAGTGACAATGAATTAATTGAAAATTGCCTCCATTTGATTTTGTCCTCCATATATTATCTTTAAATCTATTACAACCTAACCTTTATGAGTTCTGTGTAAATTGGTTTTTCATTTCACATGGGATATTATGAAACTCGTCTCGAAGTTTTAATTTTTGCTAATTTTGTCTGTATTAGGGTTCCGTGTACGTTAACAAATACAGGTTGTATTTCTTAGTATAGGTACAGCATGAACAACTTTAAAAAAGACCGTCATTAAACAAGAGCTCAGCTTTATCATTTCCTCTGAAACTAGTTTCGTTTTCCGAGTAAAAATAAACGCTGATAATTTGACTATTGAATGAGTTATTCCCCCTCTTCCGGAATTTATTTCCGTGTCAGGCAGATTCACAAGACTTTAGATAAACGCGGAAAAATTATATTAAACTAAAGTTACCGCTACCTCCTCTGCAGTAAGTTCTCTATTTTGATTTTAGCATGCTCGTTCTTATGGTATGATATAGTAGTCGAACGTCTGACTCGCCATCCAGCATAGATCTTGTTTGGATTCGACTATAGCTAACGGCGTTTACGCGGTTCAACCCTTTACATGTACGTAGACCCTTATTCTTCGCAAGAAGAAAACGTTTATGAGATCATCAGTTCAGACTTCCGGAAACACCCTTTATTCATTTTTGGAGGCGAGTTCTTAACCGGGTAACAAAAAAGTAAAATTGCTAAACTCATAGAATCAAAATACGTATTCACAGGTGGTGTTTTAATAAAAGTAATATTCAATAGGATGCATTTTTTGAGGAAGTCGGATTATGGGAAGCTTCTAATTCTTATTTTTCTATTGTCAATTGTTGACTAATTTCTTTAACGCATCCACTCTCATTTCCAGCTGAAATGACTGACGAAGTCAAAGCCCTTCCTGAGAAACAGCCACACGACCCTACCACTGATGACGGTAGCGCTAGCATTATCCCAGATTCTTTGAAATGTCGAGCAGATAATTTTGGACTTGTAATGTTTGATGAACTAGCCTCTTTGTGGGAAAGAAATCTGTTCTGTGACGTCGTGTTTGAAGTTAACTCGAAAAAATACAAATGCCATCGCATTGTTCTAGCCTCGATTTCAGCCTATTTGCAACGTATTTTTCACCAGACACGAAGACATGTCATTCGAATTCGAAATATCCAAAACGAAATTTTTGAAAACGTTCTTAAATTTGCATACACCGGAAGTATGGAAATAAAAAATTCAAACGTATTTGAGATGATTTTTGTGTGCAGTTATCTGGAGATACCATCATTGGTTAACGTTTGTGCGTTGGTTGCTGTCGATTTGATTGACCCCCAAAACTGCTTTGAGGTCATAAAATTTGCACGTGAATTACGTATTCAGACGTTACACGAAAAAACATTAGAATTTATACTCCTATATCAGGACAAGCTTTTTAATGAAACTGAAATCTGCATGAACTCTCTGGAATCAGTTTTAGAATTTTTCAATGATAGAACTCAATTAATGACGAGAAATGGACTTCCGGTTTCGATGAGCACACGCGAGACTTACTTCATGAAATTTCTAAGCAACTATGTGTCGTTGAATAATTTGTTTGAAGGGTTTGCAGATTTGTTACAGTTTGTTCATCTTCCCATTCTTCCAGCCTCAAAGTGGAAACATATTCTAAAGTCACATGACCAAATTGTAGACAACGCACTGATTCAGTATTTTCTGGAACTCTCAGATTTACATCGTCAAGGAAAGCGCATTGAATGTATGCCAGTATTCTGGGACACTGTTCCACACGAAAAATGGAACATAGTTATGGACAAACCAACAACACACCCGGTGACAGAATCTCAGTTTCCAAAAGTTTGTGATTTTAATGACAATCTGGTTACAGGACCGGAAGTTGCAGTGACGTCGATGGAGCTTTACTTCCGTCCCTGGCTGTACACAGAAGACAAAGTAACTGACGTCTTGGGTGGTATGAAAATATGTTTTGAAAATGGTGTCGAAGTAAGTCATGGAATAAAACCGAAGTCTAAACCAACCAGACTGGAAAAGCACATAAAGAAATTCGAAATTAAACTGACAGCAGGGGAGCTAATCAGTGCCATGGACTTGACCTTCGGCTGGTGTATCAATGGACTTACATTTTACACCAACAAGGGCAGACAACTCGGGCCTTACGGAGGGATAGGTGGAGATGTGCACAAATACAAGCCACAAACAAATGGCCAGTTTGACCACTTCCATTGTTTCAGTGGACGCGTGGTCACGACTTATCAGATGCTCGCCATTACCCATTTACAAATCGGATGGGCTTGTTACGACACAGACAACAAACAAGGAGTAGGAGGTTCTGAAAACCATGAAACAGAGCAAACAGGTAAAATATTTAACAATTTTTTGTAACGATTTTTACAGAGTTGTCGCTCCTTACGTAACTCATTAAAAGAAATATTATTTCTTGACATTTGTTGTACCGGTCTGGTGTTCCGGAGAATACGCGCCTTCTGCTTCATCTACATTTGCAATGAAAATAATGAAATCAGAAGATGAAATGTCGTTTTCAAAGAAGAAGTATTAAATTGCTTCTTAAAGTTTTTGTTCTTTGGAAATGGAATGAAATTATATTTGTGATCAAAAGGTTCGTTACATTAAAATAAAAAATACTATCTTGGTCGAAAATTTAAATTCATATTGAAATTAGTAAAATTGAAATTTATTGCTTCAACTTCAGATCTAAAAATACAGTGACGATTATGAACACTTGGAGTCAGGGGATTACATGATTCGTTTCGGTAGTTTTCACGGCGAATAGCTGAAAAATACTTGATCACCAGGCAACATTTCTGCTTCTCCGCAAACCAATGATATTCAATATGACACCTGATCTTTTCATCCTTGAAGAAATAGTTCGAAGACGGCATTTCTGTGGTTGGCTACAAAGTCAGAAAGTAAAATCTTACCGACACAACCCTTCTTCGAGAAATGAAAAGTCGTTTCATGGCCATAAATATAGACTTAAATACTTAGGAGTTCTCCCCAGGGACAGGGTTTTGGTCACCAAGATGCTGCCAGGGAACCATTTTCAAATTAAGAATATATATATATATATTGGCAAGAATTCGCTGATGAAATTTTAGTGTCAAAGTAGTTTATCCAATAAAAAACAAACAAAATCATGCAAGTATGGAGAAAAAACATTGTTTAAATATTAAAGTTGGTTTATTTTTATCGTCATATGAAAAGACAAATTGATCTAATTGATTAAATAACAAGGAAGCAGCACAAGTTGTACGCCGCCAGTGGATGAATTATAGGCAAAAAGTGTAACATTTCTGCAGTAGTGAAACTCCGAGTCGTATTTAATAAAAGCCCGAAGAACTGTGGTGCTGTAAAAGTTGTTAATCAACTGCAAAATGATCGGTCTATCGATATAACGCTTGTTTTGTACAGGATTTGTTTAATATTGCAAAAAAGGAGGATTGAATATAGACCGATGTACGTAACTTTTCGCGTCAACAAACGTTACGTGCACGTTTCCCTCAGTAAATTTGTTTGGAAACGCAATATCGACACGGCATTTGCAAATTTACAAAGTGTCAACACAAGGTACGATATGGTTGTCGTAATTTTCATCAATCAACTTGAGTTCGGAAAATATATTAGGTAATAAAATATTATTAATTTCCATGTCCAAACTACCCTAAAATACCCCCTCTCGTTGAAACAGTTGTATTTCTGTAACAGATCGCGTAACGATAATGTTTTTTGCGATATTTCGACCCGCTCCAAGTAACGTTAACAAGAGACTATGCAGTTTTCCAAAATGGCGTCTTTTCGGTGTAGAGGAACTCGATGAAACCACGGAATCTGGTAATTTTGATCACCTAACGAAGTGTTACTCACACATTCGGAGTAAAATATGATCTTTGATAATGTTGTCTGATTTTTTCTTTGTATTTTTCAACAAAAAAACAAAAAAACAAAAAAAAAAAAAAAAAAACAAAAAAAAAAAAAAAAAAACAACAAAAAAAAAAAAAAAAAAAAAAAAAACAAAAAAAAAAAAAAAAAAAAAAAAAAAAAAAAAAAAAAAAAAAAAAAAAAAAAAAAAAAAAAAACCCTTATATTTATCTCTTAGTAATTGCATGTAACATTGACAGAACAATAAGAGGAAACCTGTTTTCATAGAATTTCTGAAATACATAATAAATTTGAAAAATGCAATTTTCTAAGTCGAGATGATGGACAATGTTTTGAGATAAACAAACCTGATACTAAACTTTAAACAGGTCAAAGAACCATCAATCTCAGTTTGGGAATAGTGTCAATGTTTCATGTTCTAAATTCATTAATTCTCTGAACTGAAGTAGGTTTCAAAATGATTTTTTTTGGTTACACATAGAAAGACACCATTTACAGTTATAATTCAAACAAAATTTGTAGGCTTATGAATATTTTTATTTTTTTCTTGCAATGCCACACTTAGTGTTACAGTAGCTAATTCTTGTCCATATATATATATACAAGCTAGCGCTTCATCTTACTATGAAGACTATTATGACTTTCGGATTCCATCAAAGTTGGGTAACAATGACTTCAATGACTTCAATGACGCTGCCTAAGAGCGAGCGCAATGTGACCAATACTGTGAGAAGCAATGATGTGCGGATTTAGGTCTCTTAGTCATAAAAAGGAAGTATTCCGTGTCCCTATATATCCTCCAACCGCCGACACGTAAATATTTGATAGATTGAAGCCACATTGAATGCAAGACATATTTTAGTTTTCCACGTGGGGTAAGTGATGATAGTGTTTCATATAGACTGGTTTACTTGCCTCAGTACCATTTTCCTCTGTATGGTTTTGTACTATATATAACGCATCGATCCGGTTTTAGTAAATCCCGAGCTCTAATCCGGAAATTAAATTAACAGGTTTTATTCTGATATTTATCATGATCGACTTTCTCGAATGTTTTTGGCATCACGGGTTTCAAAGTGCACGTTAAGTCTATTCGATTTTTTTTTATGTTTTATTTCCGCATAAATATTTTGGCGATTGAAAAGATATTTTGTTGGTCATTTTAATTTTCATCTAATCACGCCCGATCTATCGCCAAGACTGACCACATGAATGCAGTTTGTCGTTTTTCTTATGTTTTATTTTGTTTTTCATGAATTCCGCTTTTTAAGATAGATAACTTCATTTCATCAGTTCTAATTGGCAGGCTGCCTATTGTATCCGTGTAATTAGTTTAAACTAATAAATGATCCATCATTTCCATGAAAAATATAGTTGTTGTTGAACTAGAATATTTCATTTATATTCAAAATGAAAGTTTAACTTTTTGCGCTCTCTGTGGTAAAACGGAAGATGAGTCAGGGCGGCACATATACAAACACGTTTCAGCGGTAAGTGTACCGGTAAAGTTTAGGTTTTATCTCGAACTCTTCACAAAAGGTCGTCTGCGTTTTACTATAAAAGTAAACACATGGTCTGAAATAATGTGTACATGTGAAGGTATTCAGAAATCGGCCGTGGGCCAAATCGGAGTTACATTTTGCGTACATGTAACCCACTACATTGGTAATAAACGGCGCACTTGTATCGAATACACATGATTAAATGCACCGACATGTAGAGAGACCGTAGTCAGACATTTTGTGTACTACCTAGCTAGGTAGTGTGTTCTATGTATGTTTAGTCAAGCTTGCAGTCGGAAGAGGCACAAACAAGATCAGCGAGCCGTGACGTAGACGAGAAACAGTGTAAGGGCGTGCCACCAGAGTTGAGAAATCTTTTACTAAACAAGATGGATGTACAAGTTGCACCGCCACCCAAAGGCCCTGCCGCGGTTATAAAGAACCCGCCAACTAAAAGCCCGGGGCCCGGGGCGGTCAGGAAGTCTGTTGCCATGGACTGGGGCGAAATGATTTTGGCATTTGTTGCAAAAGGTAGAATAAACAAGGCAGCCATTTTTGACAGGAAGGGAAAGTGTATGTCAACGAGCCCCGATCTCAAGATTCCACAAGATGAAGTTATATCTGTTGTCAGATGTTTGGACGCGGAATTTGTATCCCTGAATAAACCACATTTCGGACTTTTCTTCGGAGAAGATCGTTTTATTTGCTTCCGGGCCGACAAAACAACTGTGATCGGACTAACGAAAACAGCATTTTTTGTTGCACACATGTGTGAAGATGTTGTGATTTTCGCATTCTCGGATATGCTTGAAGAATCCAATGTGTCGTGTCTGGCTGAAGTTTGGACATTTGCACGTGAAGTTCGATCAAGAATGGATCTATCGGCTTTCATAGGATAGAAGGTGTCATTCATTTTTTGATGAATCAGCAAACTTAAGTACACCTGAAACTTATAGTATATACATATGTAAACTTCATCATAAATATACAAATTTGCATTTAATGAAACGTGCTTCCCGTGTTAGGTATAATATTGGCCGTCAAATCCACTTGGGGCCGTGGGCGACATTAATCTGTCGACATGTGTACTTACTGAAGTGGAGTATGTGGAAGAGATTACAGTAATTCTGATATTACATCGGGGACAATAAAAGGCCCGTACACGCTCTTTGTTAACAGATAAATTCTGTTGACTATGTGAGGTTATTGGAAGCAGCCAAGAGAAAACTAGGAAAGTTTGTTCTGGTGTGTAATGTGTTTACAATACTCGTGTGTTTTATATGTGTACTTCACCAAACGTAGGTACATTGTATACGTGTGCTCGAATTGTCTACATTTATGTTACATACGTTTGGATGAAAATTTATTGGACAGGAATAAATGGAAGGAGTAACAATGTTACAGATTATGCATCAAGTGACAATTATATTTAGTGTGTGACTAATTATGAATAGCCATTGTATTTTACCTGATGTAGTGTGACAATTCAAACAATAGGGTGATGTGATATGTGTGGTTAATGTTGTAGGGTTTCAAAAGTTATGTATATATATATATAAAGACACCCTTAAAATTAATATTTTCTAAAATCAATATTTCGACTTATTAAACGAGTGTATATATTTATCCAAGCCCGTGATTTAACGTGTAAAGTGAACACACAGCTAGTTTGTCGTTTATGCCAAATAACATAAAAACGTTTTCTTACAGGTAGACTTGTATCTATGCTGATATTAGGTTGATTTTAAACCAATATTGATAAAGTTAAAATGCATCCTGTTTAACAATAGAGTTTCCCCACTTTTTTTGAGAACAATGAAACTAGCTTTACGTTATTCCAGAGATATGACGTAATGCCGTATCTGTTTACAGACCATGGGACACGAGTTTCTACCACACGTTGATTTCATAGACAGAAAATACGATATGATTGTTATATGGTAAATTACTGGCACATTTTGTGGGTAGCAGGATGTAAAAAAATATAGTTTCCTGTCAACGTGGTAAACAATTGTAACACAAAACATACCTGCTTGAAAGAGATTACATGATTTGTAAGAGATCGAAAGATAGATTACCCATAGTGGAGCGTTTGTACAATTGTGAGTTATCGTTACATAACAAAGTGTACATGAGACAGGGACTTGAGAAATGACTGCATGACGTCTGTTCGTGGTTTGGTAAAATATAGTGTTGTTGCTGAAAAGATAAGGATATGTCCACATTTAAAGCCCCATGTCCAGAGATCAGAGTCTCTATTAAGGTCTCCATTATATATATTCTGTAAATGAAAACGTTCTTTTAATAAGCAGTCTTCTCTACGCATCAGACATTTTCAGACATCGAATTCTCAGGTCCCTACGACTATTGTGAAATCGTCAAACTTGCTTCTTAAAAATATCCCGACTTGAGACATATTGCCGACTCCTTTCGTTATGCCGGCCATAGGATTGGGATTTCGTGCCTCTGTGTGTTGTGTGACAATCCTTTACGAACCTTACATCCACTTAACTATCATTTTGCTATGAATGGGAATGTGGTTGTTATTTAACTGAAGTTTGGTTTAAAATTCGTTATTGTTTTTTAAGATGATAATGGGATTGTACAGTTGA